TACTCGGTCGCCACTTTCGAGCACGAGTACCACCGTCAGTGAAGGAAATTCCCAAGTCGAGAAACGTTCTCCGACCAAAGATGAAATCCCTAACAGTACGCCACGGGGCAAACTTTCCATCAAGATTGCCGAAGGTCGGGACTTGAAGCCGTCATTCGATCCCTATGTAGTCTGTCAATTTGAATGGAATGAATATGTCTCCAAAGGACCCAGACATGACAAGATGGATGTCGACGTCGATGACCGGAAAGGCCCGGTTGGTCAGTTACAGTCAATCAGGAGATCTGACAGTGACATGGGAAAGCCAATGGCTATTCCCATGAGAAGTCGCCAGAGCAGCACAAACGGAGATGGCAGAGTCACTGACCCCCAGTGGGACCACGAGGCCATCTTGTAAGTGAATCTAGACACACCTCGATCTACTTTTCAACTAACTGCTTTCCAGCGACGTCGTGAGCGACCAGTCAGAATTGGATGTGACCGTCTATGATCGTCACGCAGAAACATTCCTGGGTCATATTAGATTGTGCCTAAAGCTGACAGAACAAAATCCTACACTGGAAGGTTTCTTCAAACTGGAACCTCGAACCCCAGATGATCACGATATCACAGGCGAGGTTCACATCAGGATGCACTTCTCTCCAGTCGAAAAGAAACATGTCGGCCCAAATGATTTTCAGATTCTCAAGCTGATCGGGAAGGGCACCTTTGGGCAAGTTTATCAAGTCCGGAAGAAGGACACTGGCCGCATTTACGCCATGAAAGTCCTGTCCAAAAAGGTCATTATTCAGAAGAAGGAGATTCAACACACGATTGGAGAACGAAACATACTGGTGCGGACGGCAACCACGGAGTCTCCCTTTATCGTGGGTCTCAAATTCTCGTTCCAGACCCCGACCGATCTTTATTTGGTTACCGACTTCATGTCCGGGGGCGAGTTATTCTGGCATCTTCAAAAGGAAGGTCGATTCAAAGAAGACCGCGCCAAATTCTATATCGCAGAGCTTATCCTTGCTCTCAAGCATCTCCATCAATCCGACATTGTCTACCGAGATCTCAAGCCCGAGAATATCCTTCTTGACGCGAATGGCCATATTGCTCTGTGTGACTTTGGACTCTCCAAGGCCAACTTGGCACAGGACGACACTACCAATACCTTCTGCGGAACAACCGAGTATCTCGCTCCGGAGGTGTTGCTTGACGAGCAGGGCTACACTAAGATGGTGGACTTTTGGTCGCTCGGTGTCCTCGTGTTTGAAATGTGCTGTGGATGGAGCCCATTCTATGCCGAAGACACTCAGCAAATGTACAAAAACATTGCATTCGGTAAGGTGCGGTTCCCGAGAGACGCTTTGAGCACCGAGGGTCGAAACTTCGTCAAGGGACTGCTGAACCGCAATCCTAAGCACCGACTTGGTGCCCATGGAGATGCGGAGGAGCTGATGCAGCATCCCTTCTTTGCGGACATTGACTGGGATGCGCTTGGCAAGAAAAACCTCGTGCCTCCGTTCAAGCCCAAATTGACGTCGATCGCTGATACTTCCAATTTTGATCCTGAATTCACCAACGCTCTCAATACCTCATCGTCTCTGAATGCTCGAGCGGCCGCCTTGGCTGCTGGCGCCGCACCAGCATCGACGCCGTTATCGCCCACGATGCAGAATGCCTTCCAAGGGTTCACCTTTGTGGACGAAAGCACCATGGAACAACAATTTGGTGGGGCACGAGACGCCGAAGACCATCGGGTCGACGACAATTTCCTCGCTCGGACGAGAACGCTTGAGCATCGAATGAGCGGTGTACAGAAGACGGGTGAGGACGGCTTCTTTTTCGAGGAATGAAGGTCTGAGAAGCTATTTGACGCCTATGCCCTTGTTGGATACCTGAGCCCGTGGCGCGATCCCCACAGGCGCAGGCTTCCTAATGTGGCTCACTAATCCCACGTACACGGCAGCTTGTCGGACCCATTGATAATACCCAACGGACGAAAAGGACCCCCAAAAGCCACCATACGTTCATAATGATTTTTCTGTGCATAGCGTTGCTCATGCTGGAGCATACCTTGAAGTGGGGTTTGGCGCAGCATACTCGATTGCATAACCCACAAAACAAAAAGCAAAACTGTTCTAATTTTTTTTTTCACCCTCGGTCGTCATGTGTTTCCACGCGCTACGTTTTAACGACTCGGGAATTGATTGGGCTATCATGATCTGGCGAGACGAGACAAAGATGAAAAGGCAAAGGGATCAAGCAATTGTTAATCCCGAATGAACGAACCCAGTTCCAATTTGACATGGGTGGGCGGCGGCCCTGGATGGATGGGTGGGTGGATGGATGGTATATGGCTTGCAGCCAGGGGGCATGGATGTATGTAGGAGCCGAGCTGGAAAAGCAAATATTATCTACAAAAGAAAAACCAAAACGAGACAGTCACATGGACCCTGGATCTGGACCTGGTCGATCGAGGAGACCTGGAAAAGCGTTCGGACTCGAGAGAGACACGGTGATGAGTAAAGCAAGCATGCAAAACAAGCAGATTGATACTGTACATCAAAAGCCCCGTTGAATCAATCTTGGAGTGTTCTTCCAGCCTCTTCCAGCCTTCTCCTTTTTAACACGTTTTGCTCTCTGTTTTTTCTTTCTTTTTGCTGGGACTTGGTCATGCTCATGCTCATCCTCATCCTCATCCTCATCCTCATCCTCATAACTCGTCTTCGACTGACCTGGTGTGACCCGATCTGATTGAAGTCATATGTATATCATATCATATCATATCGAGCGAGCGAGCCATGAACCTTGGTGCCAATGTGAAACTACGAGTACTCTCGGTAGGTAGGCGTAGAGGTGTATAGGTACGTATGTATCCGTACGTATGAATCGAGTAATTTGGAGAAACACTGCTCGATGTATCCTCGTAGCTGGGATCTATGGGATCTATGGGAAATATAGTCGAGATGAGACGAATGAGACAAGATGAGATGAGACCCTTGTACCCCTGCGGTATTCATTTCCCTTTTTCTTCTTTCTTTCTTTCTTTCCCTTTTTTTTCCCCTCCAAGAAAAAGGGAATTCTTCTCTTCCGTTCCGGTGCATCATCTCTCTACCCTTTCCGTCATGGCTTGCACTTGTGAGAAAGAAAAACGGAACAGAAAAAGAGGAGGGAAAAAAAAAAAAGAGTGGCTGTTGGCGGAGTGGTCTTGTTTCTGTCTGTCTCTGTCTCTGTCTCTGTCTCTGTCTCTGTCTCTGTCTCTGTCTCTGTCTCTTCCAGTTCTCTCGCTCTCACTCTCGCTCTCATTCTCGTTCTGATAGCTAGCTAGCTAGCTAGCTCAAGACCACGTTGCACGTTCCACGATTTATTGGTGCCTGGTGACTGATGATTGGACAGACTAGAGACTTGCTCAGGTCCGGTCGCCAGCAAGACCCCTCCCGTGCTCGGCGGCGGCGGCGCCTGTACCTGTACCAGTACCTGTAGAGGAAGTAGAAGAGGCCGACTCTGGCGGCACGACCGTGCCCCGCTGCTCAGTGCCCACTGGTGGCTTGCCCGTCTTCGCTGCCAAGCGCGCGTCCTCTTCGCCCATCTTTGCGAAACCCTTGTCGGCCATGTGTTTCTGACCCAACACGGTCCCCGTGGCCGCTTGGAGCGAGCCCGTCACCCCGTGCACCGCGCCCTTGATGTCGCCGAGGATCTTGTGCGTCGACGGCGCGTGCGGTGCGGTCGACGGGTCTGAAGAACTGGTATATGTCGCGCTGGGGGCGGTGGAGATGTTGTGGCCTTGGCCCGTGGTGATGGTGCCCATGGTTGTTGCGGTTGGGTCCGTGGTTATTCTGTCGTGCGTGGTCAGACCACCAGCACCGCCGGGGTCGCTGTGTCCTTGCAGGGATGGATGGTGGTTGGGGTTGTTGGCGTGGTTGTGTCGGTGGGGGGAGTGCACGGAGGAATCATGCGTTGGGCCGTGTTGGTGAGACGAGTGCGCGTGGTGATCTGGGTGGTTGTGATGGTGATGAGAGGACATGATTCCGGACCTGTCTTTCTGACCGAGTGTGCGGGATGTGTGCAAGTCTCGATGAGGTTGGTAGTTGGGTTGGTGGATGTGCTGTGAGGTATACTGGTAAAGGTTTGCTCTCGGGGGTCTTTTTTTGTAGATTCAACCGTGTGGGATCAGGGAGCTGTGACAAGGGAGTTGGAAGAGGTTGCTTTCATAAGCCTCACTTCAGCCTGGCGTGTGTAGCATGACATCTATTCACCTCGACGAGTCCCTCGTTTCTCACAAAGGTATTCAGTGAATGGAATTGTCGATGACGTAGGTCTCACGTCACAACTCTGGATCCAAGCACGTGCACGCATTTCGCTTGGTGCTAAGCATAAGCCAATGAGAATCGAGGCAGGCTTGTTTGCCCGATTTGCCTGATTTGTCTGGTGCGTGTTCCATCTTCGACGCCAAAGCTCGCGCCAGATACACCCGGGTGTAGTCCCCCAGTTCTGTATTCTCCTGGATTGAAGCCGCTTCATGTACTCTGTAGTGAAGACAGGTTGTCGGTCTGGAAACTCAGTCAATGTGACTTCCCTGACCAAGCAATGCTCTGCCAAGTCCATGGATCTCGACATGCGCCATCTCCCCTACCGAGGCGGTCGTCTCCGTGATCGATGAAGTCACGCATCATTCCACGGGTTTATCGAGGCTGATAAAGGGCAGACACTGCCTCTGTCCCACAATCAGGTCGACTGTCATCAGCGGACATTCAACAGGGGGGGTTCATTGTGCAATATCTCCCCTGCCAGAAGATGTCTCATATCAAGAGACCTCTACAGCAGAGTCGCTGTCGGTGCGATTGCCATTAGCAGAAGAAACCCTCCCAGGGGCTGAGACCTGATCTGCAGCAGCCTCGGCTACTGGGCAAACTCTTAGAGTACCATGCTCAAGCTGTTGAGCAAGCTGACGCTCATACCATTCATTAGATCTGGAGCCAAATCAGCTGTGTTCCAAGACGCTGGGCAATCACTCACTGTTGGAGGAGGACCTCCTCGCTCTCCCTCGGATGCATCTTTTTGAGGTGTTGCTTGAAGTTGTCCAATCGAGGCCATTCCTTCTGCGGCCTTGAACAGTCTCTCCCGAAGCACTTGTAGGATTTTAATTTCCGGTTGTTGATCCTGTGGATGACAAAGAGATGTCTGTCCAGGTCGTTGCGGGTGGCAAAGCCTTTCCACTTCTGCGGGCAGCCCTGGATCGGACATTTGTGGTCGCGGTTGTGGCGCGCAAGGTGTTTTCTTGTGATTAGTACGTCAGCAGTGATCTTTCGAATGCTATAAGAGCGGGGCGGATGTGTATACTTAAGGTCTGAGCGGCTTTTTCCACGGTAGCCGCAATCGCCACATTCGAGGTCTATCAGACTGCTCAGTCTTCCGATGCTCGTGCGCCCGTCTCTTGCAGCGGCGACCAGCACTGTTGCCGCAGCATGTGGCAGTCTCTCCTCGAGCGAAGCCGTAGCATGGACGTTCTGTAATGGTCCCAGAGCCATGGTGTTGCCATTTTGTGGAGACAATTCTGAGATGTTGGTGCGAGCATCGTCTTTCGAAGGGTTCTGTTCACCAGCAGCGAGGCCGCTGTCCTGTGGACTATAGAAGGGAGGCTGCTTTCTCCCAACAGCAGAATCGTTGGCGTGGACATGTCCCTGGAGATCCTGATGGAGGATGTCACGTATTGTAGGGAGAATCGGTTGACGCACAGCCTCCTTGCCCGGCGGCGCAACAGTGGGAGCGGATCGTCTCCTGATGGTGGATGTTTGGCCGATCAGGTCAGACCATGTAAAGTCGAGGACACGGCCCTTGACCACTATGAGGCGCTCAAAGACACAGCCATCTGGCACAGAGCACTGCAAGCAGGACGCCGAGCCCTGCTCTACGTGACATCTACTGCCCGCCCGCATACAGGAGAGGCACCGAGCATCTCCCACCAGCTCTGTGACTGTTGCCGGCCTGGAGATCTCGATGGTCGAATCGTCGTCTGAACCCGCGTCAGGCTCTGCTGCTGCTGCCAGTGGAGTTGGAACGAACTTGTTATCGATTGAGGTTGGCATTAAGTGGGCTTCAGATATGATTACCATTTACCGAGTTAGTTGGTATTTAGAAGTTCCCGTGCCAGATGCCAAAAGTACTTTGTAGTTCAGTCCTTTCGTGGGCGGTGGGTTTTCTAAAAACAAGGCGGACAAAAGTGTGGCATCCAGCCTTAATGCTGAGTTGATTGGGCTGCGTTCTTTTGGGGGCCGAAATTGGGTACCCAACTTGCCACAGGCATTTCACTGGCGTGACTGGGCGTCGTGGGCATCTGGTTGCCTGTCGCCAACACTTGTACTCGGTACTTCTACCTGTTACTCGGTGCTTCTGCCTGTGACAGGGGGGAATTTTTTTCTCGGGGTTTCTGATTGGTTGCCTTGCCGCGACAGCCTTGTCTAGGTCATTACTTTTGGGGGCATATGATTCGCCAGACTGTTTCTACGGTAGTGCATTTGAGCTCGATATGTATGTGTCAAGCCTCACCCTTCTGATCCAGATATACACACGACGATACAGATCACCTAATGTAATCCCAGCAACCCAACCACCATCACCAAAAAGTCCAACTTCATAAGATAACCAACCTCTAAAACTCTTGACAACTCACACACGATCAAAACGAACAACCATGCCCACCATGTCCGGCCGCGCCAGGCCGATTGAAAAGTTCGCCGCCGCCGCCGCAAAGTGTTCTGTCGAGGTATGTGTGTGTGTGTGTGTGTGTGTGTCCTCTCCGTTTTTGATTCAGAGATCCCCAGAGAATCGCATTTCGGCTGTCTTGTCCATGGTGACTGACGCCGTCTCTTTTCAGGCTTCTGCGTACGGGAAATGTATCTTGGCGGATTACCAGTCGACGTACCAGGACATGTGTGCCAAGGAGTTTATGAGGTTGAAGGACTGTTATCTGGTAAGTCACCATTTTTCATCCTGGCGTTGGGGGAACGGGGGACCCGTGAAGTCGGTTCGACGATACCTTTCGATGTTCGGGAGATAAGGAAAGAAAACCATGGAGGTTCTCTCGAAAAGAGAGGGGGGAGTGGTTTACTTCTCGCCTCTGTATGGAATGATTCAACACGACTCGGCCCCTTTCTCCTTCCCAGGTACTCGACTGGGGCGAAAAGGCCGAGATGGACAAGTCACGAGTGGTTTACACCATCCTCTCGTCGAAGTTCTGTCTATCCATTGCTTTCTGTGGCAAAACATCTAGCTAATTCTTTTCTTCATCTGCGCAGAGACACGCAAAGAAGTCATGACATGCTCGCTCTATGTTTTACACCTTTTTCTCTCTCTTTCGGACGCTCTTGGGCAAATCTACAACACACCCCCCTTTTCACCGACTCCATCGTTCTGCAAGAAATGTCATAACAACGTCATCTTCATGCTCATGCTCGTGATGCCACTGAGGAAAAGGCCTCTTGCTCAGAGCTTCAACAACCTCAACAGAAACGTCGCCTTTTGTACCTCCTGCACCTCTTCCACAATCAAATCGGCACCGCCTTTATCGCCATTCACAATTGGTCCCTCGACCTCCGTTACAACGTGATGATCAACGGGCCGTCTCAGCGCCTTTTCAATAAAGGAGCTTTGTTGCTGGAACACTTGCTCGAGCCCGATATTGTCCGGGTCTTGCTGGACTTTGTATTCCATCTTGACATCATCTGTCGGTTTCAGGTTTGCTTTCTTTCGGAGTTGCTGGACTCGGTTGATGATCTCCCGGGCGAGACCTTCCTGGGCCAATTCCGGGTATATAGCCACATCTAGAATGGTCAGAACGTCGTTATCAGTGTTCGTTTCTTGATTCTTCGAAGTCTCGTCTTCCTTGAGCGCCCGTCTGACCACCAAATCGCCTTCAACCAATTCTATCCCAGCCACCGTCAATTTCCCCTCTGACAGATACGTCTTGCAGTCATTGCTGGTGACATCTGGAAGAGCCTTCTTGACTTTTTGCATGTCCTTCTTCAATTTCTTGCCAAGGACTGGCCAGTCCGCCGTTACGCTGTACTGTACATTATATTTGTCTTCGTCTGACGACAGGACGAGATCCCGCACGTTGAGTTCTTCTGTAATGTACCCTTCAAGCGACTTGACGTCGTCAAGGTACTGCTGATCTTTGTGAATGACTACTAGCGTCTTCAATGGCGTTTTCAGGCCGATAGTTCTTCTTTCTCTGGACTGTCTGGCCAGTTCAATGACCTTTTGCATCCGTCCCACTCGTCGTTCCACGACTGGATCAAACAACTCCTGTCGAACTTCGGGGAAAGAGAGGAAGTGAACGCTGCGCATGTCTTGGCTGTGCAGGGTTTTCGGTATATAAGGCAGGAGTTTAGTGTAGATGAGATCGGCGATGAATGGTGTGAAGGGTGCGAGTCCGCGGACGAGAGTGAAGAGGACATCAAACAGAGTGTTCAAGGCATGCAGCGTGTCATCCACACCCAGCTCGCCCTTTAATCTTTTTCGGTTGAATCGGATGTACCAGTTTGTGGTCTCATCGATCAGGTTGAGCAGCCCCGGCACGACCGTGTAGAGTCGGTATGCCGCCATTTCCTCGTTGATATATTTCAGCAAGCTTTGACAGCTGGCGAGAATCCATTTGTCCATGACGTTGGTGTTGGTGGTGTCCATTTCCGGCCTGAACTCGTAGTCAATGCCCTCAATCTTCTTCAGTAGCTCTACTTGACCTTCAAAGAATTTGTAACTGTTCCACAGAGGCAGAAGAACTTTTGCAACAATCTCCTTGACACCGGATTCCTTGAATCTCAGCGGCTCGGCTCGTACGACGGGTGAGTTGATCATGTACAGTCGCAGGGCATCTGCACCGTACTTGTCAATGACTGTGTTGGGGTCTGGGTAGTTTTTGAGTCTTTTGGACATTTTCTTGCCATCTTCCGCAAGCACAATACCGTTGACCACACAGTTCTTGAAGGGCAATACTTTCTTCAAGTGGATGCCCAAGACGACAAGGGTATAGAACCATCCACGCGTCTGGTCGAGACCTTCGGCAATGAAATCACCCGGGAATGTCTTCTCAAAGTATTCTGAGTTTTCGAAGGGATAGTGTGCCGAGGCATAGGGCATACTTCCAGACTCGAACCAACAATCAAACACCTCTTCAACGCGGCGCAGAACACCATTGCCTTTCTGGCTGGGAATTGTAATCTCATCCACACTGTCACGGTGGAGGTCTGTGATCTCGCCCTCGTAGCCACTGAGCTTCTTCAGCTCTTCTATGCTGCCGACAGCAACAATTTCCGAGTAGTCCTCGCTCGCCCACAGCGGAATAGGGGTTCCCCAATATCGGTTTCTCGAGATATTCCAGTCACGAGCGTTCTTGATCCACTCCGCAAATCGCTTCTCTTTTACAAAATTTGGGACCCAGTGGGATTTCGCAATTCCGTCGAGCATATCTGGAATGATGCTTGGCACCTTGTCATTCCCAGCAATATTGACAAACCAGCCGGATACAGCACGGTAGATCAAGGGTGTGTCTGACCGCCAACAGAAGGGATATTGATGGGTTAGTTGGCTGTCCCGGATGAGGCGCCCAGTACCCTTCAGATGTTTGATGATGTGTTTGTCTGCTTCCTTCACATGCTGACCCGCAAAGTCTGTGACCTCTTTTGTAAAGCGTCCTGTCTCGTCCACGGGGTTGGGAGGGAGGTGGTCGTGGCTGATGATGCCATTTTCCATGGCCACCCGAAAATCTTCTTCACCAAACGCGGGTGCTTGGTGGACGACACCGGTACCATCATCATCCGTGACATAAGCGGCATTGAGCACTCTGAAAGCACGATCCTTGTATGCCTCATAGAAGTAGTCGAAGGGTGGTGAGTATTGCTTGTCCTTGAGGTCTGAACCCTTGATCTTCTCTAGCACCTTGAACTTGGCTTTCTTCGGGTCTTTATATAGTGTTCCCAACAATTTTTCAAGCATGATGTACTTGCGACCGGAGTCTTGGTCCACAAACTTGATGTACTCAAAATTGGGATTGACGGCCAAGCCGATGTTCGACGGTAAGGTCCAGGGCGTAGTTGTCCAAGCAAGAAGGCTGGTCTCAGGATCCTCAAGGAGCGGGAAGGCGATGACCACTGCAGGGTCTTGTGCCTCCTTGTAGTTGGATTGAGCTTCGTGCTGGCTTAGCGGTGTGCTCAGTGCGGTTGAGAAGGGCATGACTCTGTAGGAGCGATACACCATGCCCTTGTCGAACAGCTGCTTGAAGACCCACCATACCGACTCCATGAAGGTGGGATTCATGGTCTTGTAGTCGTTGTCAAAGTCAATCCACCGTCCCAACCGGTCAATCGTCTCCCTCCACTCGGCTGCATATCGCATGACAATAGCCTTGCACTCCGCATTGTATTTTGCAATTCCCATCTCTTTCACTGCCGCCGGTCCTGAGATGTTGAATTTCTTGTCAATCTCATACTCGATTGGCAAGCCATGGGTGTCCCAGCCGAACCTCCTCTCGACATAGTAGCCCTTCATCGACCAATATCTCGGAATAATATCTTTTATGGTAGAAGCCAGCAAGTGGCCGTAGTGAGGCAAGCCGGTCGCAAATGGCGGGCCATCGTAAAAGGTGTAGGGCTTGTTGTCTTTGGAGAGGCGCAGTTGGGTCTGGAAGGCGTCAATCTCGCGCCAGCGTTTGAGAGTCGCGGCCTCTTCGGCAGAAAAGTCGACTGCCATGTTTGGAGGGCTGGATCTCGGTACGAATTGTTGGGAGCTCTGAGAATGAGAAGTGCTCTTAAGAGGTTGAGTGACTCAATATTTGATACAAATCTTGGCGGCGACATGCGACGCACCTACGCCGCTTTTAACCGCCGCTTGACTCACCAAACTCTCTCTCTCTCTTTCTGAGGACACTATCCTGCTACAAGTCTGGGTTCGCTAGGTTCAAGAAGAGCCCGGACAGCCCTTTGTGTGGCAATCGGTGGTACTTGAGCACTTTAGGGTGCTAAGTTATCTCTGGAGTCGCTGGTGAGCATGCGCTATTGTCTTCACACTTCGAATTCACTAATGCAGCATGCCTCCACCCTTCCCAGACACACCCCCAGCTGCAGATGAAACCGTTGCCCCATAACCTCGCCTGTTATGGTGCTGAACGTTCATGCGACTGTGATCCCCAGGTTAAGCGAAGCCGTCTCACTTGGTTTGTGCTGTATTGTCTGAAATCTCATCGAGGCTTTTCTTCAGTTGCTTCGAGTATGGTATTCCAACTGGGGCGGACGCGCTACTTCGTAACCATATTGAATCGTTTGCTCCAACACGACGACTTGTTGGTTGGTTTCATCAATCCTTAGTCTGGCGGTCAGATCGTAGATGAATGTGTCCATGCGATTTCTACGAAGACATTTTTCTCACAGTGCTGACAAGTTGACATCAAGACCGCTTGGAGACGCAAAAAAGGAATAAAATGGAAAAATTGGATTCACGAGACCTACCATCCACCCATTGATCCTCGGACAAACACTTACAATAACACCAAAAGCAGAGCTGACAAGCAGAGAAGCATCTTTACCGTACCCTTCCAATGGCAGAGTCCACTACACCCTCCTCAGAACCTTCATATGCGTCGCCGTCCCAAGGTTCTGTGCTGAGAATATCCAAAGCGGCTATACCCTGGCCTCCAACCACGCGAATTCCACTTTCTGAGACATCCACAAGGAGATCGGCCCCAGTCGCGCTTGGAGAGCCGTTGGAGAAAAGCCAGCAGAAATATCAGCAGGTCAAGAGCAAAGTGTCTTCGCGGTCCACAGTGACGGCGGTCCAAATGAGGCTATGCGGGGAATTTGTCTCCAAACCGAATTCCATACTTCCATTATGTAGAAGTCGGATCAGAGAGAAAGAGATACATTCCGTGTGCATCGATAGTGAAGAGGAACAATATGGAGGACAGCGCAGCTCATGAATCCTACAAGCTCCCGACGGACCCTGTATATGGCTTCGTCGGGATCGGTGTGATGGGATATGGAATGGCAATGAACCTCCGCACCAAAATCCCCGAGACAGCCAGGTTTGTGCTGTGTGAGATCAACGAGACACGAAGGGAGCAGTTTCTCCAGGAATGTAAGGCTCCTGTGGAAGTAGCACAGTCGCCGCGCGAGGTGGCCGAGAAGGCTGTAAGTGAGTTCCAACGCCATGGAAATACAGAATGAGTTTGACTCAAGGGAAGCAATCATCGTCTAGGACATTATAATCACTATGCTGCCACGAGCACCGCACGTCCAGGATGCCTTTACAAACCCCGAGACAGGCTTCCTGGCGGGACTGTCGTCTTCGTCGTCCACACGACTGTTCCTGGAATGCTCCAGCATCGATGTCGCAACATCAACAGCTCTCGCAAAGAAGGTGGCTGCCACAGGACTGGCCATCTTTGTCGACGCTCCCGTGTCCGGAGGACCTCAGGGGTCCAACGCAGGCACCTTGACCTTCATGGTTGGAACACCTAACGAGCGGATTTTCGACGTCGTCAAGCCAATTCTGGCCATGATGGGTAAGGAGGACAATATCTACCAGTGTGGAGGATTAGGTGCCGGCCTCGCGACGAAGCAGTTGAATAACTATTTGGGCTATGTTGGGTATCTGGGGCTTTGTGAAGGTAAAGTTGCTATAGATCCTTGACCACCGCGTGGCCACTCGCTTTGCTCCCTGAGGTCAACAGCTGACCTTGTACTGCATTTCAGTGATGAATGCCGGTACGCTGTACGGCCTTGACCCGAAAATTCTATCAAGTGAGTTTCCACATGGTCCACGACACGTACACACCCTCCCATGCCATGCTACTACCCCCGGGCTTTCCCCTTCTTTTGCTTGTTCTTCTCGCCGAGAAAGAGGAAAATACATACTAATCCCGGTCCCTTTCTCCCTTTCGTTCAAGACGTCATCAACGCTTCGTCCGGCATGAACTGGAACTCCCTGCACCACAACCCGGTCAAGGGAGTCAACCCCGCGGCTTCGTCAGCGCGAGATTTCAAAGGCGGCTTCACAACCGAGCTGGCCGGTGGCGTCATCGACGACGCCGTGGCCCTCATGGACTCTGTCGGTGCCAGCACAGTCCTCGCCGAGCCGGTGCAGAAGGTCTTTGTCGAGGCGAGGAAGAACGACAAGTGCAAGGGCATGGAGGCGAGGAGCGTGTGGAAGCTCTTCGCTGAGGACGGCGGGAGTGATGTGCGAAAACTGTAGATCTTTAGGAGCAACGGTGTCGAGAATTAAAGATTACAGTCTCACAATCTCGCTCTCGACGGGGTTTCTTCCTGTTCTTCTCCAACAGTGATTCTCAGGCTGCTATCACATCACTTGATAGACGTGATGATTGTGGCAGTCATCGTTTCTTTCTCGTTTTATCCCTTTCTCTTTCTCTTTCTACGCTTCCGTCTGCGATATAACCTGCGTTCTCGAGTCCTTGATCTCATCAGGAACCTGTCTAATGTGAACCTGTCGGATACTATAGTGATATCGTGATATGGTATTGAAGAGTCAGAGGACAGAATTCCCAGAATCTGCATCCCCCCCGGAGGATTCTTCCAGTGGAGTCGAAAGCGACATATACTGGTGGGACATTGCGAGCTCCCACGAGCCAACGCCAACAAAAACGCTGCTCGCTGGCTGGAGCCCCATGCGTCAAGTCGCTGTCCACGAGAAATGTGGTACAACAGTTGCTGGGTATAGACTACTCGGGGCCCATGAATCTGTAGAGCTGCGGGGTATTCTTCTGGTGAAAAGGAACATTAATTACCTACTGTACAGGGTATCGTTCTATACTGTGTCGACCTTTTGTTTCCAATTACATGGCCCCCGGGTAAGCTGCGCGCCTCGCCCAAAGCATATACGACGTGGTAAACTGGGCCGGGGTAGCATCTAGGTGACGCACAGGGTTTATCAGTCCACGGCGTCATCGCTAGCTCCTGCATCCTCGTCGCCATCGTCTTCGGCATTGTCATCCTCCTCTTCTTCGTCTTCATCTTCATCTTCGGATACTTCCTGGCCCAATTCCTTCAGCTTCTTCTTGTCAGCAGATCTCTTGGCTTCGAGATCGCCAAAGACGACCAAAAGGTCGTCGAGTTCAGTCTGGACGTCTTTTCGAGCAGCCTTCTCTTTCTCGAGGTCTTCGACGAGGTGCTTAGAACGGCTCTCGGCGTCTTGAGCACGACTCTCCGCTCGCTTGAGACGCGCTTCCAAACTCTCGGTTTTGCTCTTATACTCCTCGTGCGCGGTCTCAAGGTCCTGGATATGGTTGGCGTCGGCCTTCTGCAGCTGGGATTCCAATTCCGAAATCCTGCGCTTGAGGTCCGCAATCTCGGCCGCTTCTCTCTCTCGCGCCTTTTGTGCTTGAGCTTCTACCTCCTTGAGTTCTCGTGTGTGACGCTCATTAAGAGCCACCTGCTCTCGCGTCGCTTCTTGTTCAATCATCTTCAACCGCTGTTCGAACCGTTGGACTTCCAACTCGTGCTGCTTTCGCGACGTTTCAATGGCGGTGAGATGTTCATTGCGTCTTCGGTTGAGTTCCTCTTCGTGATGCTTCAACAGAGTGCCCTTCTCTTGAGCGAAGTCGTTTTGTATTTTGTTGATTTCGTCCTCGTGGTTTTGGTGCAGGCTCTGATTGATTTGTTTGATCCTGGTGAGCTCAACCGTCGTAGATTCTCGCGTCCGGCGGTGATCGAGCTCCTCTTGTTCCAATCTCCGCCTGAGCTGCAGCAATTCACCATTGGCAGCCTCCAATGCTTGTTTCTGTTCCTCGACTTGAGCTCTGAGACCGTCGACGAGGTCTCGGGAGATGCCCTTCTGAACGCCGTTGCTCACAATAGAAACCTCAAAGTTCGGATCCCGGTCAATGGCTCGTAGGAAACGGCTATAATTGTCCTTCAGAAAGTCGATGAAAGTCTTGTCGAAGAACACTTCAGGCAGGCCACCGTTGCCGGTCTGCGGTAGAACTTCAAAGTCTCGCACAAAGATATTTTCCCGCAGCTTTGTCAAGCGATCCACATAAGCCTCCCTGCCCAAATTTGCGGTTAGAAGCCCATGAAGCGTGCTCCGTGGAATAGGAGAGTCCTTTGTTGAGAATTCATAGATTACTCCTAGCACGAATGCGCAGAGACCAGCAACGAGAGGCATCGAACTTTTGGTGAGCTTGACAGCCGCAATAAGACCTTGCACATTGCTGCCCTCGGCAAGGAAGTCGTTGACCGATTCTGGATCCTCAAACAGCCATATGGATAACAACATCAGATAGCCGAGCAAAGCACGTTCATCCTCCACGTGTTGTACGCCCGCCACAACATTGCTTGCGATGCTTTGTAGGAAGGTGACGACCTCTTCGCCACTTTCGGCGTCACCCTCTGTCACTTGCAGGGCCATCTCCTTGGTCTCAGCATTGTCGTACAGGAGGTGTAGCAAAAGCACCGCGGCCATCCATTGTTGGTATGGGTCAGAGTTGTTACGTGACCCAGGAGGTTGGAGCAAGACGGTAAGCATGTTGGGAATGGCATCGTCTCCCGCTTTGTGTCCCTCAATAGCCCTCCGCAGCACGTGAGTCCGGATGCCGACATGGCCATTCATGAAAGCTTCGAGGCAGGAACATGCAGCCAGTCGGACGTCGAACAGGGCCAGAGGAGCTGGCTCTAGTGTCACTTCTAGAAGTGACTCGATTACGTTCTGAGTTCGAAAGGCAGGCTTGTTCGGCTTGAGCGACTTCTCACCGGTGGCATTTGATGGGTGGCCGTTGGTAGGAGAACTATCGGGCTCTTTGACTTGGACTCCAAGATCTCCGAACCGTTCCTGGAGACTATGATTTGCTCGAATGATGTCGCCACACGTTTGCAGTGACTTTGTTCGCACACTGATGCTGAATGCAGGATGGAAGGCAATTCGCAAAACAACGTCTAGAACTCCGGTCGTCCAAAATACCTGTTGATTGACCACGGTCCCTTGGGCACCCTGAGCAAGAAATAACTGGATAACGCCCAATAAGCCCCAGACATTCATATCGCGCTGTGGTTTCAGCCATTCTGAGCTACCATCCCCCGAATCTTCTTGGTCCACGGCGGCCAGCAAGAGTTTCTTGATCTTTAGGATTCCCCCCACCTCTCTGAAGTACGATTGGTTCGATGTGTTGAGGTTCAGAAGATTGGCCAAAAGTGATAGGCAATCTTGAACGGTGGTAGAGCCATGTGTGAGACCACCGTCGCCGTCAATCAGAGCAAATACACGGTCAAATGCGTTCTCAAATGCCACCACTTTCTGTATTTCACCAGATGTGGGAGTCAAGGCCACCAGCAGTACCAATGCCTCATTCCGAATCGCTTCCCGTCTGTCATCCAACATATTTGTTATCCGAGAGACACCTAGAGGCGCGGAGAAAATAGCCTCTTGTGTGCGCTGTGGCCGCGCGGTGGATATATGGAATAGAATCTGGAGGACATATAAGCGTAGGTAGAACTCATTAAGCTCGAGCAAGTCCAAGAGAGCGGTGATGTTGTCTTGTCTCTGCGTGAACTCGTCGGCCAGCCACAGAGTGATTTCCTCCGAAGCCTCAGTTGATTTCTCATCCGGTTCAAACAGCATCAACAGTGTCTCTAGCAAGATCTTGATCGTGTCTGAATCTTCTCCATCTCGCCTCAACCCGGCAATAAGATCTCTCAATGCGCCGGAAGCGACCGAAGCAGGGTATAACTTTGCGAAGCTACGCAGACCGAGTATAGCAGCCCGCCGATCTTCTAGTAACGTGGCAGTTGAAAGGCGGCTGCTGAGTGTCTGAATGGTGTCGGTGGCAGTCTGTCGTGCAGGCGCCTGGGCTTCGAGGATTCGCATCATCTTGAGGGCAGGGTCATTGTCGTGGGATGGAAGGTCTTATATTGACTCCGCGTCTGTCAGCCATGGATTAAGGAATCTCTGCGCACATTCTCGACAGAGTCAGAACGGGTACAGAGGGGCGAACTGTAAAGGCTGGCGACGGTTGACTTAAATGACCAGTGTTCGCATGGACCGCGTTTGTGCCCTGGGAGTCTGGGGTGACAACTTGTCCGCAGGCCAAGAAAGACTCCGGGCGTAAAAGCAGCAGCACTAGTAATCCACCCGTCACTCAGCCTCGTCCTACAGGCAAGGCTGTCTTTCCACTCAAGCCACTCCACGTAGCCCGAGGCAATAAAGGAGGACTCCCCTCTCTAAAGCTCCCACACATCTCCAACAATGACAATTCGGGGTTGACGAAAGCAATATGTAAGTTGGCAGGTGTATGGGGCAGTCGGCGCACTCTGCCTCGTATGAACGAGTTTCAGAGCTATTGCACGAAAGGCCGCCGCTCATCGATTCCACATTGCCCCCGTCTTGTTCTGTGTAATTGTGTAATTGAGCACGCTGCGGATCCCAATTAGGCCAGGCAATGCTCAGATCTCCTTATAACATCGATATCCCCCTTCTCGATGTCAACACCTTTGTCTTCCGATCTGGAACTGAAACTTCGCGGGAGTCGCCTCAATACTTTGATGCTGATAGTCCTGCCAAATGTTTCAGTCTGGCACAGGGTGAAATCTATTCCAAGAGACTGGCCCTTGGGTTACAACAACTAGGCCTCCAAAGTGATGAACGCATACTCCTATACTCCAACAATCGACTTTTCTTCCCGATCGTGATATGGGGAACTATTGCTGCGGGATGCACTTTTACTGCCGCCTCACCTTCAGCATCCGCGTCTGGTGCGTTGTTTTCTGGCCGTCTTATAGAACAGCGTTGTTCAACAGAGGATGTTGCGTCTACTGACTTTGCATCGAAGAACTGGCTTACCAGGTGCGGGATTCCGGTGCTTCATTGCTGCTCACTGGACCGGATGGGATTGATGTTGCCCTTAAAGCTGCTTCGGAAGTAGGGCTATCACGGAACAGGATTTTAGTTTTCCATGATCCAGATGAAGATCTCTCATCGTACCATCTCCATGGCTTGGAATCATGGACGAATATCTGGACGACTGAAGACGCCGTTCGACAGTGGTCCTGGAAGCGTCTAGCCACAGTCGAGGAACTCGATGGAAAGACCGCAATCGTCAACTATTCCAGTGGGTAAGTTTCGGCAAGAAACCTCTCAAGTCTACTAAGGTGCTCCATCACTTACTGACAGCATTGGAGAACCACCGGGCTGCCAAAAGGGGTCCAAATTTCTCATTATAATCTCGTCGCCAACTCAGTACAACTTCTTTTCAAACGGTCTATGGTGGGAAACACCGCAAAAGCACGTGCTCGTAAGGAACGACTCGACGTGTCGGGCGAACGATGGCTAGCGCCTCTGCCCATGTATCACGCCTATGTGAGTGATAGCTCTGTCGGGTGTGGGTGTTGTACAGCCAATCCGTAAGACAAACTTACGTGGGTGATAGGGTCAAACATATTACGGTATAAATGCAGCAGCATGGGGGGCAAAGGTCTTCATAATGTCAAAATTCAACGTTACGAGGTACTTAGAGTACCTTGACGTCTATCGCATCACGTTCATGACAGGGGTTCCAACCGTCATTGCTATGTTGTGCAAGCAAAATGCTCCCGAACGATACAATTTGAAGTCCCTTGAGCAGGTTGTGACCGGCTCAGCGCCTCTCGATCCCGGGCTGGGGCGACTTCTAGCAAGGATGTATCTTCGGCCAGGTGTGCAGGTCAAGCAAGGCTGGGGAATGACAGAGTGCACCTGTTCCGTGACCAGTTTCCCACCAGATGAGGAAGATGATGGGCGCTCAATTGGTTGGCTGAATCCTAACTGTGCAGCGAAGATTGTCCCTATTGCCGAGGACATACCAATGTCCACCTCCTCGGGGCAGGAAGCTGGGGAGTTATGGGTATCAGGGCCTAACATCATGAAGGGATATTGGAACAAGCCTGAGGCGACCGCAAAAACAATTGTGTACGAGGACGGCCACCGATGGTTGAGAACTGGTGATATCGGATACTATGATGATCAAGGGAAGTTCTACATCGTTGGTCGGCTGAAGGCAAGTATTTCACCTGGTAAATCGGGAAGTCGGGTATATCGGTCTCTGACTTATGGACTCATCAGGAACTTATCAAGATAAAAGGTCTTCAAGTTTCGCCCACAGAGCTGGAGCTGACACTTCTCAACCATCCAGAAGTGACAGACGCCGCTGTTGTGGGTGCCATGATGTAGGCTGTCACAGTATTCTCGGCTTCTGTTTGAAGATGGGCTAACTGATACGGTGATAGAAACGGGGAGGAATATGTCAGGGCGTTTGTTGTCCGAAAGAATGATTCACTTACAGAGAAAGAAATCTTCGAGATTATCCGGAAGAATTTTGCTCCTCACAAATGGCTTACTGGAGGAATTTACTTTGTTGATGAGATTCCAAGAACAGGAAGCGGAAAGATTATGAGACGAAAGCTACCTCAAGTGTTGTCGCCTCGGCCTTGGAAACTGTAACTGGGTCAAGAGTACCGAAGGGGCTCATGTGAATCATCTTTGACGACCAGATGCTCGTGCTCACGAAAGAAGATGACACTGGCAGGCGGTATCAGGCGGCCTTTGTCCTTTCCAGACCCACCTTGTGATGAAAGCACACATGTTAGAAGACGGGGTAAATAGATAAATGGAGAACTGTGCAGTATCTATGTAGGCTGCACCCACTGTCGCGACTGGTAGATGTGAAAATATGTCATTTGTGGCCCACCGTAGATGTGCTGTCAAGGCTGCTCTACAATCCTGTGCTCCGCCGTTGTGAACAAATCTGCCAAGCCCACGCCAACCGGATTTGGACACGGCGCAGGGTCCAGATGCAGACTTGTTCAGGCCTGAAGGCGCAGTTTCGTTTCCGGCATTCGTTACCATCTCATCTCTCTGCAACAGACGCTTCGCAATCTCGAGTCCGGTATGTTTCCTTCATGGTGACTCGGATCGCACACAGTCCTTGAGATCTCTTCTGTGCGCAGAGTAATAGCATTCTTCCATTGTGTTGCTTGTGACAATTAGGAGTGTGATTCCTCACCAAATTTTCCACAGGCAACGACTCAACTTCCGAGTTGATCCCTTCCTTTCTCTTGAACTTTCCCGCAGTGTTGTCAAGTCACGATGGGTGTCCCGGCTCTCTTTCGATGGCTTACCAAAAAGTATCCCAAGATTATCACTCCCGTGATCGAGGAACAACCTTATGAAATTGATGGCGTGCAATACCCCGTGGACACCACCAAGCCCAACCCGAATGGAGAAGAAATACACAACCTCTATCTTGATTTCAACGGCATCGTCCACCCCTGTTCGCACCCTGAGAACAAACCTCCTCCAGCAAATGAGAGCGAGATGATGCTGGAAATCTTCAAGTACACAGATCGTGTCGTGAATATGGTGCGACCGCGGAGACTGTTGATGATCGCAATTGGTAAGCTTCTCCCTCCCTTGATGTGCCTCCCGTCCCCGGTGGTCATGAAACAGTGTGAATCTGACGTTAGAACAGATGGGGTTGCTCCTCGAGCGAAGATGAATCAGCAACGAGCTCGTCGTTTCCGATCGGCAAGAGATGCGAAAGAGGCGGACGAAAAGAAGGCAGAGTTTCAAACCCTCCTACGCCAACAGCAGCGTGATGGAGATGATGACGAAGACGAAGAAACAGTGGACGACGTAATCAAGAAAACATGGGATAGTAATGTCATCACACCTGGCACGCCTTTCATGTTCATTCTTGCTCAATCTATTCGATATTGGGTCCAGTGGAAACTGAACACGGATCCTGCCTGGGCTCAACTGAAGGTCATTATCTCAGACGCCAGTGTGCCCGGAGAAGGTGAGCACAAGATTATGCAGTTCATTCGTTCCCAACGCTCGGATCCTGCCTATGACCCAAACACAAGACACGTCATGTATGGACTTGACGCAGACTTGATCATGCTTGGAATCGCCACCCATGAGCCTCACTTTCGCGTCCTTCGAGAAGACGTCGAACTCAGAGATGCCAAAGCCAAGACCTGCAGAATCTGCGGTCAACAAGGTCATTATGCCGAGAACTGCAGAGGGGAAGCCAAGATAAAATCAGGCCAGTTCGATGAAAAGGGCACTACAGAAGAGCTGAAGCCATTTGTCTGGCTAAATGTGCCCATCCTACGTGAGTATCTCGGTGCAGAGATGTTTGTTCCTGGTCAGACGTTCCGTTTCGATCTTGAGCGTGCCCTTGACGATTGGGTCTTTATGTGTTTCTTCGTTGGCAATGACTTCTTGCCTCATCTTCCTAGTCTTGAAATCAGAGAAGACGGCATCGATAAGCTTATTGCCATCTGGAGAGACAACATTCCCCTTATGGGTGGTTACTTGACTTGCGATGGACGAGTTGATCTTGCACGAGCCCAAATTATTCTACAGGGTTTGGCGAAGCAAGAGGACGCTATTTTCAAACGCAGGAAAGAAGTGGAAGACAGGCGAGCTCGAAACGAACAGCGCCGCAACCAAGCCAACGAAGCTCGAGAGGCTCGCGCTGCAAAGAGACGACGTAGCTCCCCTGATTACAGCAAAGGTGGCAGGGCAGATGCTCGGGTACCTACTGGACCTGTTGAGACGTTCGAGGCTTCTAACTTTCCGGTTCTGGACTACAATTCTATTGTGAACAGAGCTGCCGTCGACAAAAGTCTAGCGTCAAACAAAAGCGCAGCAGCGGTTCTGAAAGAGCAGATGCTCGCCCGAAAGGCGGCTGAGACACCTACTAAGAATGGTGCTAACGGCATCAATGGCACCCCCAATTCCTCAGCCGGAAGCCCTTCGTCAATCCTGGGCAAACGAAAGGCCGAAGCATTGGAAGAAGACGTGGAAAGTGAAGGGGCCCCTGCATCGGCAGTAGACAAGCTGAAAGCAGCCACGATGGATGAAGAGTCAGATAGTGCTGGCACTCCTGGAAGAAATACGCCTGTCGAGAAAAAGACTTTCAACAACGGAGATCCCAACAACCCTCCACCAGATACAGTCCGCTTGTGGGAGGAGGGATATGCCGACCGCTACTATGAGCAGAAGTTCCATGTGGATCCCAAGGACATCAGCTTCCGCCACAAGGTAGCTGAAGCCTACGTCGAAGGGCTATGTTGGGTGCTTCTCTACTATTTCCAAGGATGCCCGTCTTGGACCTGGTACTATCCTTATCACTACGCTCCGTTCGCTGCAGACTTTGTCGATATTGATAAAAAGACAGTCAAGTTCGATAAAGGAACGCCGTTCAGACCATATGAGCAGTTGATGGGTGTGCTACCAGCATCTTCCAATCATGCCATCCCGACCGCTTTCCATCCGCTCATGACCGATCCCGAATCCGACATCGTCGATTTTTACCCAGAGGAGTTCGACCTCGATCTCAATGGTGCGAAGCAATCCTGGAAAGCAGTTGTGTTGCTACCGTTTATTGACGAGAAACGACTCCTTTCGGCCATGGCCACAAAATACCACTTGTTGACGGATGACGAGCACGCCAGAAACGAGCGCGGCCATGATGCTCTGATAATATCTGATCAGAATCCTTTGTACGACACCTTGGCGATGAAATTTTACTCGAAGAAAGCTAAAGGCGGTCCTAACACCGTGAAGCTGTCAATGCAGAAGAATCAGCTGGCTGGTGAGGTGATCAAGAATGAAGATTTCCTGCCTCATATGGACCTTGTTGGGCCGCAAGACGACATCAGGCTGGAGCCTGACGTTGATGATGACCGCTCTCTGAATGTATTTTTCACGATGCCACCTCCTACCCATGTTCACAAGTCCATGCTGTTTCCAGGGGTTGTCTTGCCTCCTCCCGTTCTTGATAAGGGCGACCTAGCTATGGTGCGATCAAAGGCGAGGGTATCGGGAAGAGACTTTGGTGGTGCGCCACTATATGACAATACTCGACGTGACCGTTTTGATACGCAGAACCGGGGAGGACGCATCAACTACGCTGCCGACCGACCCCCCATTGACGCAGGGCCTCCTGGTATACCACCACCGAGTCAATGGCCTCCGGGCTTGCCTCCCCCTCCCCCACCGGGCTACGGTGGTCCAGGAGGTTACAACCGAAATCCGCCACCGGCAAATGGTTATGGAGGATATAGCACGCATAACAATCAGGGTTATGGTGGTCAGGATCAAGGCTATTATGGTCAACAAGGACAGAACCAACACTATGGCGGACAAGGCTCCAACCAGTACCACGGCGGTAACGGACAATATCAACAGAATGGTGGAAGGTCTTTCAGTGATGGTTATTATCAAGGCCAAAATCGTGGACCGCCAGCGAGGGACAACCGAAGTGGAAACTATGGTGGCGGCGGCGGATATGGCCGAGGTGGTTATGGTCGACGCTAAGTCGCTACTACGCAGCTCTCAGGTCTGTGTGACCAGGATCGGATGGGCAAAGGAAGAGATGCGGCTGTAAATTTGGAGAGACGAGGAACCTAGTAGTTATCAGTCTTAAAGTACTGATATTTGGCTGGATTCAGGCGGGTATTTGTCAAGGTATTGTCTCACAGTGCTAGGTAGCTGGACACCGGATGGTGATGAGGCTGGGCGGTGTTGAAATGAGTATGGTATTCGGCGGCCACAAGACTCCTTTCCCTAGTCTGCAACTTATCAGTGCCACAAGGGATACTTGTTGCAGTCATTAGTCTATGTTCGTGGTATCGAACTTTTACACATGCCGTCAGTCTGTATATTCGGCTATGTCGACACATTACCTCAACAGTCCTGGCTACAGGGGGGATAGAACCAAAGCATCTTCGCATCTTCTTCCGAAGTGTCCGGTACTTGTCTGCGGAGGTAAAGCTCAAAGAGCTCCCTCGCTTATGCCCGTACTTTATCAAAGTCCAGCTCTGGGGGCACCCAGCCCTCTTCATACGAGCATAGAATCTCTTGGGTGTATTTCCGCAGCTGGACCCAGTCTCGGTATTCGCTGAGTTGTGTTTCGTGGGCAGTCAGGTCCTCGCTCGACACAGTAAACGGACAGTTCCCGCTGAGCCTGATCCTGCGCCAATTGCTGGACAGCTGGATCAGACAGTCCCTCAACGGCACATGTCAAGGAAACCGTTTGAACCTTGTACTAGTCCCCATACGGACACTGGAGTGGAAAAATGATCACGCGCTTACCTGACAGCAAAAGCAAAAAAAATTAATAACTCGATGGCGATGGGACTCGAACCCACAGTCTTTGCCACGCTCCTGATTGATACAAGAATGTAACCGGAAAGCAACGCCTTACCATTAGGCCACGCCACCATGATAAGCAGGTGTAGAAGAATCGCATTTTCTGTGTGCGATTCGTGAGCCAAATCAGAGCTATAATCGGCTATTTTGTTATATATCTGACAATACAAGGTTCCCTTGGCAAAGAAGTCAACTGTTACCTGTTTCAAGTGAAACACTTTACTTGTCCAAGTCATTCACAGTCTCGGAAAAGGAATATCAAACAGTACGATCAAAATAATCTCAATGCGATATTTCGATTTTGATTAGATTTCGAAAACTTATCTAGTAGTTCCAAATCCCTCAACGTACCAGGCCGGCGTCAAACAGGTTTGGCAGTCAGCGCTCAAGTCATGCAGTTCATCAGGCATATGTCAAGACGATGCTTTCTTGCACATAGCCCCGTGGTCAGACAATATCTGATAGCTGTTTCAATCACTCTCAGCCAGCATCTCCAAGTTCGACAATTCTCGTTTACAACTGGAGGGAAACTCCGCACTTTCAAAGGTGTGAGGTGTTCTCGACGCTCTGACCGATCCACGTCTCAAGCTGTTTCTGGTCTCGAGGGATGAATCTCACCTTGAAGGGTTTGGGCTGAGTGACCATACTTGTCGGCACCGAGTTGCACTCAATCGTGTCCAGAATCGGCCTGTCCTTGGGATCGGTGGCCTCATGGATGCGGAAGGCCAGGACTAGGCGTGTGAAGATGATGTACAGCTCTCGATTTGCCAGGTGTGCTCCGGCACACATCCGAGTACCGGCGCCATAGCCAAAGTGCTGTGTGCCCTCTCCGGCGCCTGATTGCCCCAAGAAGCGATCCGGGATGAATTCCATCGGAGACTTGAAGTGCACAGGATCATGATTCGCGGCCCACATATTCTACGAATGGATTGTTAGCACGATCGTCGGGTAACGGCCCCGGAGGTGAAATCTCATACCATCAAGAAAGGCGTCCCGGCAGGGATAACAGCACCTTTGTAAGTGATGTCACTGACACTTTGGCGATAGAATGACAAGTTCAGAGTGGACCAGAAGCGAAGCACCTCCTTCGATATGGTCAGTCTTCGAGTTGCTGATGGCAGAGGTCACTCTTGAGGTCCCGGCACTCACCTTCACAAAGGAAATAACGTACTCAGACGTCTCTTCGTATAAGCATCCATGCCATGGGTCTTTTCCAGGGTAGGATTTGATGATTTCGTCGTACATTCGTGCTTGGATCTCCTGGCCGTGCGGTGATGAAAGGTAAGCGATCGTCATGTTGATATTCCCTGGCAATGTGTCGAGGCCGGCAGCGACCATGGTCAAACAGATGGATTTGAGTTCATCTAAGCTTTGAGTCAGCAATCAAATGTCGACAGATAGCACCCTATGATAGCTCACTATCCGCCAATTTAGCCTCTGGATCTTTCAGGACATTGCCAGCAATGCAAGGGTGGTCGGTGCCGTTTGCGATTCGTTCTTTCAACTGGTTGAAGAAGCTAAGGATGTATTCGTCTCGTCGAGCCCGATACTTGACAGCATTCGACTTGTACCCCGGTAGGATTCGGAGCAATGGGACATAATCTTGCCAGTTATGCGCAATGCCACGAATGTTTCCCAGCTCTCGCTCAACGGCGACGACTTCATTGAGAGTGCTGTCTTTGACAGTGCCCTGGATACGAATACCGTAGTTCAGGGTCAGGCTGATGTTCAATGAGAAGCGTTGGAAATAGCCATTGGGGTCAATGTCGTATCCAAATTTGATGTTCTGGACCAGTTCGTTGATGCTGGTGGTGGACTCAAGGTCGATGAATGGGAGGTATGTCTGCACCGCCTGTCTGTTCAGGGCCGTGGCCGCCGCTTTACGGGCTCTCTTTAGGGATTCAGACCATGGCGAGGTCCCCAGGGTATACACTCCCTGGGTTTGCGAAACCACGTCGTGGAATGTCCAAAACTTTGGCCGAGAGATGAGTGCTGACTGATTTTTGATCCATAGTTCCTTCACCGATTCGAACGAGTTTGCATAAATGAATCTCTGGATCACAAGAAGAGTCAATACGATCGACCCCAGTGACATATGACCTGGGACTTGGGGACCTTCACTCACGCGGTTGCCCAGGCGAACCTGGAAGACATCGCCATACGTCTTGGCCAGCCGAGCGCAGTTTCTGGCATGATACTTGCCCAAGAGGATCAGACTCCCAAAAATTGGCACCCCAGGAAGTTCGGGTAGGTTCTTGATCTTTGGGATATCGGTTCTATTGGCCCATCTGATGAGCAGCGCGAGTATAGAGGCAACAAAGAAGAATCCGATGGCGGGATGCATGGTGAATTGGCAAAGGTGGTAATCTTGGAGCGTCTCTCTCTTCTTCTGTGAGCTTCAATTGGGAAAATCCACCCTAGGATGAAACCGAGGGTCCGTGGACAAATATCGAGGGGTTTTAATCGCCTACTGCGTCTGCCGTGTCACTTACAAATGCTATTTCAACGCGACTTATCTCCGTACGATCCTGGATCCGCGAGTCTCCAAGTTGGGGTGGGAATGCATTCTTCCAATTTGGGTTGCGTTCTACAGAAGGCCTTACCTTGTTCACTTCAGGTCTACATTGAACAAGTATCGATCAGCCTCCGATTTGGAGAAGCATATTCCTACGATAGCCGTGGAGAGCCTCATCAACATCGATATCTGTCCAAAGTCTCCAGGTCCGCGAGACCAATTGGTTGGCATCTGGCTTTGGAGCTCGGGATTCAGCACTTCGCTCTATCCAACTCCCGGACAGGCATATTGAGACAACATAGCATCAAAATGGCCACCTCAAAGATACGTTTAGCAATACTGGATGACTACCAGGGCATTGCTGCAGCCAAATTCGCTCATCTACAGCACAGAGTCGAAGTCACCACTTTCTCTGACACTATCAATCCGAGCGGAAAGGCGGAGAAGGATGTTCTCATCGGGCGTCTTCGACCGTTCACCGTTATTTCGACGATGCGGGAGCGAACAGCCTTGCCGGGAGACGTGATTCGGGCTCTTCCGAACCTCAGATTGCTTCTGACGACCGGAATGAAGAACTCGGCAATCGACATGGCTGCCTGTGCGGAACAAAACATCATCGTCGCTGGAGCAAAGGGAATTGGAAAGTCTGGGGACGTGAGCTTCCCTACCTCGATTGATTCTACTTTGCAACACTGCTGGGCACTCATCCTGGGTATCGCTCGGAACATTGCCCGTGACGACGCCGCCGTCAAGTCTGGTCTCTGGGAGATTTCTCCAGCTACAGGGCTGAAGGGCAAAACGCTAGGTCTGTTAGGATTTGGCAACCTGGGTGCGAGGGTTGCCTCGGGTGGTGCGTGGGCGTTTGGAATGAAGATTCTAGCATGGTCCAGTAGTCTCACGCAGGAGGTTGCTGAGCAAAAGGCCAAGTCATTTGGTCTTGCACCAGGGACGTTCCAGGTGGCGAGTAGCAAGGAAGAGCTCCTCAGGGAAGCGGACGTGTTGAGCATTCACTACGTTCTGTCTGACCGAAGCCGAGATCTTCTAGGGGAGAGAGAGCTCGCGTTATTGAAACCCTCTGCTCTCCTCGTCAACACCTCGAGAGGCGCCCTCATCAACGAGAAGGCTTTATTCGATGCTTTGAACCACGGCAGGATCAAGGGTGCAGCTTTGGACGTCTATCATGTGGAACCGTTGCCGCTCGACAGCCCGTGGCGTACGACTGCTTGGGGCAAGGACGGCAGAAGCCAAGTCCTACTCAGCCCACACATGGGCTACGTCGAGGAGGGAGTCATGAACCGATGGTACGAGGATACAGCATCAAATCTGGAGTTGTGGCTCGAGGGAAAGGACATCCCGACAAAGCTCAACTGAAGTAGGCCTCCAGGGCCGTGCTACGTCTGGGTCGATAACAGGAGCATTCGGAGCTGGATGACTTGCCGTGAACGAACGCCCTATAGGCTGTCCTTGTCCCACCAGCTCGAGATATTAACCTCAGATCACTTTCTCATCTCCCAATCCGGAATGAGACCCCATGTGCCCCAAATTGGAGCACAGTCTGGGCAAGGAAGTGCCATCTTCCGTGATGTCTGGAATGGAGTCCGGTCCTGTTCAGAATAGTTACATCGGGACTGGGTGTCTGGATCTCCACGGTGGGCTTGAGACCATGGTGGCCTTCATTGATGCGAGTTGTCAAAGAGGCATCGACGCGTGATTGAGAGGTTAGTGTTACGAGCCCTGGACTCATACCTGTCTCGATTAGCGAGGTGGCATTTGTCCCAACGGCGTTGCCAGCCATTGATGCAAGAGATACTAGTGGCACGCGAATCTAGGCACTTTCCAATTAAGCTGGTGTGCAATATATGCGCCTGTATCTATCCATGCGCTGTGAAGAGGTAGTCGCCTGATGTACATTCCAGACGACCAAGCCGTAGAATAGGCTGCGAAGGCATGAGAGGTTGAGGTTGACTGTCGTTCACTTTGACATATCCACGACCAGCTTTCCACTTGCACCTTTATGGTAGTCGTCTACCAGTTCGTTTAGCTGCTCCAGCTTGTAGGTGGTCACTCGCGCCCTCACTCCTTCCTTCGCTGCGAAGTTTAGCATGGCTCTGAGCTGCCGATTCCGCCCGACCAAGACGCCGACCATGGAGATGTGGCGGAAGACGAGATCCCGCGGTTGCATGTGAAAGCCCTCCTTGGGGAAACTGACAGTCACGCAGACGCCATGGTTTTTTACCAGCTTCATCCCGTACTCGAATGCCTTCTGAGACTCGGGGAGGATGAGGACCCCATCGACGCCCTTCTCGCCTTCCAGGCCGGGTTCGGGAGATCCAAAGACAGACACGCGAGCGTCCTCGGCAGACTGTTTCCGCGCATCGAGAATGGTGACGTCGGCACCTGACGGCCCTAGATCCTTGACCACATCCCGCAGGAGAGCTAACGCCGGGTCAGACGCCTCGATGGCGACGACCTTGCACCCGAGCTTGACGGCGAACTGTACGCCCAGATGTCCAAGGCCGCCGCCAGCACCGGAAATGGCAATCGTGAGCCCTTTGCCCCCTCCGGCCTCCATTTTCACCCCCGCCTTTTCGAGGGCATTCCAGATGGTCAGACCGGCGCACATGAGCGGAGCGGTATCGACCGCGGTCATGTTTTCCGGCATGGGGGCTATCTGGCGAGAATCCGCGATGCAATATTCTTGAAACCCGCCGTTGGCCGAGAGACCCAGGTTGCCAGCCTTGGTGCACCACACACCGTACCTTTCCGGATCACCGTTGTTGTTGAGGCACTCGTAGCACGATCCGCAAGGATGGAAGGCTCGACCTGGAACGCCCACGGGCATTCCGACCTCGAGATTCAATTTCGGCGAGACGTCCGGGCCCATGGCGACGATTGTGCCCGCAAACTCGTGCGATCCTATCCGGGGCAGGTCTTGCCACATGGCACCAGACGCGAAGACGGCGTCGGTGTGGCAGTACGACGCCGCTCCGACTTTGACCAGGATGTCCTGACCAGTGGGATCGGGAGGGACAGGTACATCTTTGAATTTGTAAGGCGTGTTGAAGGCCTCTAACACTTGTGCTCGCATCGTCGAGATTGTGGTCTCACAGGATAACCTCAGACACTCTTATCCTTACAGTGGAGTTGGGATTCGATAGTTTGTATACACCGTTTGGCTTCACGGCCTAACACGGCGAAACTGGGAATATGTATGGAGGAGCGTGCCACTTGTAGTTGTTTGTAGTCTTAGTCTCGAGAGGTGCGAATTTGGTGAAGTTTATGCGGGTGCCATTTGACTCGCAAGTCCTGTAGGGAGGGCATGATGCATAAGAGCATCTCGGCTGCTAGAACGCCGGATAGATCTGGAATAATTTGGGGAAGTGTCTGAGGTGGTTGGTGCTGATGGAGGGAGCGTGGACTTGTGGGACTGATAAGTTTGGCTGCTTATCGAAACCTGGCCGCTGTCGTCGTGCGAGCAGAGAAAGGCCCAGAAGAGGTGATGATACGACGAGCCTCGGACCAGGACCGTATTCCTGGCCAGCCAATTCCCTTTCCAAGCAGTTGTCGTGGCGTTGGATTGTCATGTTCTCCGAATTGGGGGAGGTTTAAGTCTCCACGAAGAAGTAATTTAATTGGTGCCCGCTCTACGCTAGGGAGTAGCCGCAGCTACCGGGATCCACCAGCTTCGTTAGCGTTTAAACTTCATTGACTTCCACACATCCCCACAATTGTAAACCCTCAACCTCATCTTCCAACTCTCATCTTAAAGAATGTAGCATCTTCCCCGAATTCATTCTCAAATTCCCCACTGCCCGCCAGTGCCATTTCTCCTACGCGCGATGAGCAAGGTCTGAACCATGACAACAAATCTCGCCACTCCTGAACGCCCTGCGAAAGCATTCGTGTGTCATCGCTGTGGCCGTGGGTTTGCCCGCCTGGAGCATCTCCAACGCCACGAGAGATCGCGTAAGGGAAACTCAACAAAGGCGGTTTGAGAAGCATTGACTGACTCGGGCCACAAGACACCAAGGAGAAGCCGTTTCGCTGCTCCGCTTGTCAGAAAAGTTTCACCCGAAAGTACGCCGCTCCAGCCCAGGAACCTAATCCGTCGTTTATCTGTCGTCTGGCTGACTTTTGCGAGCAAGAGATTTGCTGACCCGCCATATACGCTTGTCGCACGAGTCCCCTCTACCGAGTCGCTCTGGGCAGAATGTATCGTCAAACACGGAAACGCTCTTGCCGACACCATTGCCCCTGGTGGATTGGCCCGAGTACCAAGCTGGGTCTGGCCCAGTTCTTTCTTCCCAACACCGTGCAGTCCCACCGACGACTCATTCCATAGCAAGCAATCCCAGTGGTGAACAGGAACATATCAATCAGGTTCACCTGTCGGCGCGCTTCTTCACCCATCCTAATGTTGAGAGTCCAAGCCAGTCCAAAGAGTCCTTTTCCGGACCGGTCTCGGATTACACGATGAATCTGGGCTTGCAGGACGGCGGCTTCGACGCGCTCGAGCCAGCCTATACACAGGACTTTGCTACCTTCATGGACAGTGTGCCCAACTTCACTCACCCATTCTCTCCGAGCTACCAGCCGCTGCCTGTCTTCTTTTCCAACCTAGACTTACCCTTGGCGGGTGTTTTCGAAAATACCAACGATCCTAGAGACGGCAACATCTCGCGTGATGAATCAACAGTAACGACAACCATCCATGCCACATCCACGTCACTCTCCAATATCCGTGCAAATGACTCGTCCATCTCTCGGTTTGGCTCTCGGCTTCCATCTCTGGCTCCCGAGGAAAAGCCTCCGCCCAATGGTCCCCACCCACAAGGGCCCACGAGGCTCAATAGTCGAGATTTATTTATCTCGGCCGACTGTCGACAGCATATCATCGATGAGCTGGCGACATTTTCCGGCTGTATAGATGGCGACTTTGTTCTCCCGTCTCGTCATGCGTTGTCACGATTGATAGGTGGGTACTTCAAGAACTTCCATGCTCATTATCCCTTTTTCCACATTGCCACTCTGCGAATGGATGCCATCCATGTCGAGTTGCTCTTGGCAATTGCGGCTCTCGGAGCGCGCTACACGAGAGAGCCAGAGATGGGTATTGAGCTGTTTCGTGTGGCACGAGCCATCGTCTTGGAACGCCTCCGCCGACGCCAGAGACGAAAAGCAAACATGGGATTGGACCAAAGATTGCAGTATACGCCCATAGTGATCCCTGACCCAAGTTGCCGCGGAGACGAAAGATTCTGCGTGGTTGAGATGGTGCAGACTTTACTGCTTTTGATCGCCATCGCGTCCTGGTACAGACGCGAACCCGCAGTCACCGACGCACTGTCCATCCGCAGTGTGCTGCACTCGCTTATTCAAGATGACGAAATAACGCGAGCCCGGGAGCAACCAACCGAAGACTGGCGGGAGTGGGTTCGGTTCGAGACGATCAAAAGAACCCACCTCGTGGTCTTTTGCTTCTTCAATATCCATACCATTCTGTTCGACTTACCGCCTATGATACTAGCAAGCGGCCTCCGGCTCGAACTTCCCTGCTCCGAGAAAGAATGGAAGGCAAGCAACGAGCTAGAATGGCGAGAAGCTCGTGCCGGATCAAGGTCAACTCGACAAGACTTTCAAACCGAGTTTTCGTGTCTCTTTTCAGACCTCGGTGAACGGAATGGCTCAACCCAAGCCGTTGCGCGAGGTTTCTCCGCTCTTGGCGGCTGTGCTCTCATCCATGCTGTCATTCAGCAGATTTGGCTTGCACGCAACGCTCGACTACCCATCGTGCACGACGATTCAAGCGGCCTCGCAGATGAAGAAATGAATGTCTTTGAACGAGCCCTGAAGCGATGGGCCAGGTATTGGGAGCGCGATCAAGAATCGTCCATGGATCCCTTGAGTCCTCACGGGCCCGTGACTTTTACATCGACAGCACTCCTTCGGCTGGCGTATATTCGGCTCAATATGGATTTGGGCCCTGTTAGATCACTGAGCAGCTGGGACCCATCCATGATTGCCAACTCACTGCACCAAAGCCCGGGAGTCCAACGAAGCGACAAAATGACCCGGGCGGCACTTCATTGCGCACACGCCCTCAGCATTCCCGTGAAGCTAGGGATCAACTACGTCGCCCAGACACAACTCATCCTCTGGTCGAATCAACACGCCCTCTGCTCGTTGGAGTGCGCAGTCCTGCTTGCAAAGTGGCTTGAAGCGGTGACGGTGCTCGATCCGAACCCTGCACTGACGCCCGCGGAACAGAGGGTGCTCGAATTCGTCGTCCAGCTGGTGGCTGAGACGGAATACAAGGTGAGCTGCGATCACATTCTCGCGCAAAAGGCTCGGTTGAGTGGCATGGTTGTCAGGCTGTGGGCGAAACTGTATCAGTCGAGCAGCGTGTGGCAGATGGTCAATTTGATTGGAGAGTCTCTGAGGATATATGCTGATCTCCTGGAGGCTGGGCACAAACTGGTGATGTGATGATCGAGCCAGGCGCGGATGGCGTGGTCGTCTTACGAAGTCTGGGTCTCGGACGAGCTTTTTATGTTTAAGATGATTTACTCACGGCTGTTGTCATTCTGAAAGCAAGCGAGAAAGATGAGAGCGTCTACCAAGGCGGTGATAGTGTTAATGGACGTTGTGAGCTTACAAGGTGGAGTGTTGGCCGTTGGACATCGCAAGGCGGTCCCTGTATCGGCTTACATAATATCCTGACTATTCCCGATTAGTAAACCAGGGATGGTCACTCCACATTCTGCCGATTTCAATTGGCAACTTTTATTTTTCTCGAAGCGCGTCCAACCGCGTTGTCGGATTGGCGCAGTACAAAGACCTTGCTGTACCGCCAACCTTCGTAGCAGCTTTCATGTCGAGGAAAGCACTCGAGGCGAAGGCGTTCCTGCTCCGATGCAGAAGGGCATACTGCACCACGAGACCGCTCTACCAAGAATTCCGCCCGGCGACCGCGCCGCGACAATTCCCTCCTCTCACCCAGATCCGAGACAACGTGGAGCTCTACGAACGAAACTGCCGGGTGCGAAACTATGGCAGCCACGAGGACATCCCGCGCCGAGTGGCGGACAACGTGAGAAAGATGAGGGACCTGGACCAGCGCATGGCCGGGTCCCGTCACACGTTGAAGGAGCTGCAGAGACAATTGAACAACGCGGCGAAAGAGAGCAAGGCGGATATCGTGGCGCAGATGAAATCTGTCAGGCCGGAAGTCGACGCTCTGCAAGCCGAGCACGACGCACTCGAGCTCGAGACGCGCAATATTGCACTGTCCCTGCCGAACTTGACGTATTCGGACACACCCACCGGTGGTGAACCACGGTTGCGGTCCTACGTCAACTATGACCCGGACAAACCGCCGCAGTATGGCCCGTCGGCCGACCACTCGATAATCGGCGAGAAGCTTGGTCTTCTTGATTTTTCGTCGTCGTCGATGACATCTGGTTGGGGGTTTTACTTCTTGCTGAACGAGGCGGCTCTGTTGGAACATGCCCTGGTCCAGTACGCCTTGTCTGTTGCCATGCAGCGCGGCTGGTCCGTTGTCTCCCCGCCGTCCCTGGTCTACTCCCACATGGCCGCCGCCTGCGGATTCCAGCCCCGGGACCAAAACGACGAACAACAGATCTGGCAGATAGCGCAGCCGGAAAAGGATGCAGGAAAACCAACCCGCAGTCTCGCAGCAACGGCCGAGATCCCTCTCGCAGGGACGTATGCCGGCAAGGCGATTCCTGCAGCACGCCTACCTCTCAAGCTCGTTGGGTCCAGCCGCTGTTTCCGCGCCGAGGCTGGTGCGCGCGGCGTCGACACCAAGGGTCTGTACCGGGTGCACGAATTCACAAAGGTCGAAATGTTCGCGTGGACCGATTGCCCACCACCAAGTAGCAGCGGTGGAGGCTTGACGGACGAATCAGAGTGGATAGAGGATTCCGGGCGCGTTTTGAATGAGATGGTGGAAATTCAGACGGAGATTTTGTCTTCGCTCGGCATCCCCTGTCGAGTCCTCGAGATGCCCACGTCAGACCTGGGTGCGAGCGCGTACCGCAAGATCGACATCGAGGCCATGTTTCCGTCGAGAAAGAAGAAAGACGAGGGCTGGGGCGAAGTCACTTCGGCGTCCATCTGCACCGACTACCAGAGCCGCAGACTCGACACGAGGGTCTTGGAGGGAGATGGGTCGAGGAAGAAGTTTGCACACACCGTCAACGGGACGGCCATTGCAATCCCGAGAGTTCTCGCCGCGCTCTTGGAGAATGGTTGGCGCGAAGACCAGGGCTGCGTGGTTATCCCGCAAGTTCTGAGGAGGTACATGGGCGGACTGGAGAAGATTGGACCTCGTTGAGTCTACGCCACGCAGTCTTGTGGCTATGCGGGAAGAATATGGTCACACGTCGCGCCAGTTGTGTGGATCTCGAAGCGGACTTGAAGACGAGCTCGGCACCATGTACTCGAAAGACACATCTATATGATGGATGGAGAATTGTCGGTTCCCGGAACCACTCACAAATCTCCTATGCGTTTGGACAAGTTTCTCCCTCGGCAGTAGGGCATCTTTGATTGTAAGCGTCGCATCGAGACGATCCCTGGTGTCCACCGGCTTCATTGCTGGCATCGTTGCACAGCTTGGCCGTCGTACCGACTCGAGACATTTTGTAACAACACCTACTCATATAAATCCTACCCCACGCCAGATATACAGATAGATATAAAAGAATTTCAAGGACAACACTTGTTCAATCAAGATCCACACCACATTCACAACTGATGTAGCTGTACTTTCCTGTGTATCTGTGTATCTACATGTGCTATATATGTACATATGATATATATCTCCGGCTTTCGCTCCTGACTTCTTTCCCTTGCCCTTGTCTCTAAGACATATATCTCGTCGCCTGTGCCGGTGCCGGGCAACATCTTCGTTTCTTTCTGTCTTTCTATCGAGGCTATTTACGTGTAGCTTACTTTTAAAGAATTGGGTCAGAGATGACGCTCTCTCTCTCTCTCTCTCTCTCTCTCTCTCTCACACACACACATACATGTATATACCCCTCGGAGAGAATCCAGGGCATCAGGATTTTCGCCACACGGGCGGCGCGGCAGGCACTGACACTTGAAAAAAAATAGCTGGCTTGCCTATCTGGATGTACGTGTGCATCCTATTGACAATGAACTCGACGCTGGGAGAAGACAAAGGATTCTTGTCCTACTGAAAACGACTCGACGCAGGATTAGGACACAGGAATTCTTGTACATATCCTCTCTTCAGTCCCATACAACGCAGTCCCCCCTTTGGGCACGTTATATCAGCGGCTCCAGAGCACCCTGGCCGCTGATCTGGACAGGGGCGATCTCGCGGACCAGACTCTTCCGCGGTGTGAGGGCCGAAGCGTCGACCCAGTTGCCGTGGATCTGGGCTTTGACGTGGAAAGGGAGCTGGACCACGGCGATGGGCGTCTCGAAGGCGGCCGTGTCCAGAATCACCACGTCGCATCGTCCCGCGCCCCGCCTCTCCACCAGGCACATGACCCAGCCGTCGGCCTCCGGGGCGTCGGGCGAGCGTGGGATGAAGATGGGTTCCTGGCACAGCGAGTCTTCGCCAGCGTAGAAGTACCGGGTCAGACCGGTCTTGTTGTTGTGCATGGCCAGGCCGTTGAGACCGTGGAAGATGTTCCGCGACCCGTCCATGTTCGTCGGGATGAAGACGTTCAAAAACACCACCGTGTACGGCTGGGTCATGAATCTCTCGTCGATGCGGGGAAACTCCGAGGGCAGATCCAGGACGACCAGGGGGTCCGGCACCGTCGCACCGTCGGGTTGGGAGAGATCGAACTCCCAGCGTACAAAGTCGGCCTTGGTCTGCGGGTTCGGCATGCGTCCGTCTTCCGGAGGGAAGAAAGGGAACGCATTGTCGTGCACCCGCGAGCTCTCGACGCAGATGTTGCCGGCTGACGTCTCCCACGCCGCCGCCGTGTGGATGGCCATGCAGTTCTTCCATTTGTACGTGCGGTACTCGCCTTTCTTCCACCCGAACCGGGCGCCACTGTCGTCGTGCCTCGGGACTACAATGAAGGTCGCGGGAAGGTCGTAGTCCCAGGCCCAATGCTGCTTGCCTTGCTTCATGCGTGTCACATCGGCCTCAAACGGCCACAAGAACAGCACAATCCAGTTCGGGGTGATGGCACAATCATGGATGAAGGCACACCACGGGGCCTGGGCCCACAGCTCATTCGTCTTCTTTCCGGTCCGGTCCAAGGCGTAGGTGACGACGTCCTTGGTCGCCAGACCTTTGGCCTCATAGCCGAACACCACCAGCTCGTGTGTCAGCGGATCCACCTTTGGGTGCGCCGTGAAGGTCTTGGACTTCACCTGGCCCTTGAACGGATCATACTCGAGTGTCTCCAGGGTGTCCGGGTCCACGGCGTAGGGCAGAGCCACTTCTTTGAGGGCCAACAGCCGACCCGCCCAGTGGACCAGATTGGTGTTTGCGGTGGAGTCCACGGCCGCCCGCACGCAGGGGTGGTGGGTAAAAGGATTGCGGTAGAGACCAAAGAGGGCTTTGTTCGCTTCTCTCTCCAGCTTGTATCGTTCGGTCTCGACGTAACGCATCTTGAAATCGCATCTGCCCCGATGGAAGCGAAAAGCCGAGACGTGGCCATCGCCGTCAATGGGCACATTGCCTGGATGTGGCGGGACAAATGGGTCGCACATGACTCGATAGAAGGTACCGTCGATCTCTTGGGGAATATTCCCAAACACGATCAGATCTCCGATCTCGCCTTCGAGTCGGCACGGTGCGCTGGACCCAGCGAGATCATACGCAACCGGCCATTTGGAAGTCAGGCCATAGAGTCCGTCGACGTCTGTGTTGGGTGACATGGTGGGAGCAGGCGCTTGTTCGGCGAGGTTCCCATTCACATGCCCATTTGTGGGTCGACTGTCAGTCATGTTTCGGTTGTTGCTTGCTATTCACAAGGTTCAGATACAGTGAGGAAAAGTCTGGGAGTCGCACAGGTCAGACAGGGTATCCGGCCCGTCCATATATAGACTCTGAGAAGTGTTCAACTTCAACGCTTTCCCGGACTCTCGGAACGTGCAACAACAATAATTCGGACTTGACCCGGTGAAGGCTTTGAGATCTGGCTGATATCACTGGTCGGAGATGATTGTGGGGGACTGGGGTCCTCGGGGCAAGTTTGTGGGGGAATTAGGAATCAGGAATTCATTCCATCTGGGACACAGTCTATCATTGGCCCTGTCCAAACCATGGGCTTAACCTTGTTTCTCGCTTCAGATATTGATGGCCAGGATGACAAACGTCCGCAGGTGAATGGTCAGGCATGGTTCCGCGCCTCAGCGTTGCTCGCAAGCGTTGGGCAGCGGCAGATGAAACGGTGGACCTCCGTGGTGTCGAAGGTATCCATGCGCTGGATGATTGAAGGCCCAAGATTTGAACGCCAGCTGCCAGGACCGGACAAATCCTCGGAGGCTTCTAGATCAGCCTGACAAGACTTCATGCGCTGCAGGATGTGCCGAGCCAACAGCCACCATTCGGGGGCGTATCTCATAAGCCCGGGCCGAGTCCACAGGGGACATGCGTCTCGGTCGTCCACTTCCGATACTGAGGTTTCGCCTGGCTTCTGGACAAGGTGCTGATTCCAGACTCGCCGCCAATTGGTCAACGCATTGTCGTGGGCCAGGAACTGGGACTTGTGACCAAAGGCAGGTTCAATGTTGAAAATGAGAATGTGCAATGCCGAACACAGCACCCAGAGGTTGAGGGGGCCAGCCCGCGCGAGGTGGAGAAATACTTTGTCGTCCATATCTCTTTTTCGAAGACACTTGATGGCTCCATAGAGGATGAACCCGTCTCCGCAGAGCGGGAGCGAAGCCCATGGTCGGAGATGGTAAAAGCAGCTGCTGGCATCTGGAGCCTGGAAACACTCTTCGGGCGAGGCGAGATCCATTTTCAACTCTTGTATGCTCATTTGAGGAGGCAGGCTGTGAAAGATGACAAAGTAGGTGTCGACCAAGAAGACATATATCACAGTTCGGATGACCTGTTCAATCAGGGCAAAGTGCTGCCAGTGGAAGCTTTCGGGTCTGACCTTGTCAAGTCCTGTGTGTTTTGCGTAGGGTATGAGCGCTCTCGCCATGGTCACGACCGTCCCATACCTCTCGTGTCGGATTCTCTTCGCATCGAAGTTGCGACCTTCCCATATCTGATACATGCACACCACAAAAGCAGCCTGGAGAGATCGGAGCTGAGCCCTGACCCCATCGGTCGAGAGAGTGACATCGGACGTGGCAAAATCGGGGGTGCTCGACATGTCAACGAACACCATTTCTTCAACATAGTTGCGCCAAAATTGGGCATCTTCTCGATCACTCTCCTCCGGCGAAGCGCATGCCCCAATTAGAGCCATGGCAGCCACCAGAGATCGAGGGGCGTCCATTGCACTAAAGGAGGGTTTGTGAATAGTCACCCAATGGGGGTACCAGTAAGTCCAGAAGTGATCCAAGTATCGGCGCAACCGTGCAGGATGGAAGAATTGGATGCATGTTTGCCCCAGAATCGGCGACCACCCCTGGCGATTTCTTCGGAGACAACCAACCTGGGACATGGCCACTTCTTGAATTCCCAACAGTATCTCATGGCTCTTCAAGGCAAGAGGGTCTGTGTAGACGTCTGGCGTGCTTGAGAAGGCACCTCGAATTCCATCATGGGCATCGGAACCGTGGAAGGCCGCCACTATGTTGAAGTTGCTCTGGTCTCCCGGGTATCCGCCCGCCAAAACGGTGCAAAACTCCAGACTATCTGAGGACCAATTGGCTCGCCCAGCTTCTTCCAAGACTGGCACGGGGCTACAGGAAAGACCCGAAGCAAAGAGTTCAGAGTATTCGCCGGGCATAGAGTTGGGAAGTTGGCGACAAATGTATTGGCTGTAGTCCTTGGGACCCAAGGTGAGGCCTCTTGGCTCATGTGTTCTGATGACGCCATTGAATTTGGCTGAGATGCCATAGACTTTGGGGCTGGTAAACCGCATCAGAAATTCAAAAGATTGTACTGGATCCTGATCGAGGACCCCTAGATAGACAGAGAGAGAAGACGAAAGAGCATAAGGGATCGTTGGTGGGGAGCCCAACTCAAAACCTGAGCGATTGCTGTCTGAAGCAGAGAGAGAATAGGTGGAGGGTAGGAACGGAATTGCGTCCTCGTCGAGGTCGAGATCGAGATAGTCCCAAAGCTGGTCCTCATCAGGGGCCTTCCATGTCGATGATTGCACGCTGGCTTGAGTCATGGGCCCGTCGCCGACAGTCTTCCAGGAATAAGAGCATGTATAACCCCTATTTTTGCAGCTGATACAGGGCTGACCGCCATCGCATGCACGCTTCTTGGACGCGCATTCATCACATGCTCGACGTTTTTGCACTTTTTCCCGATACAGAGATCGAGCTCCGTCTTGATCTTGACATTTTGCTTGATGCCGTCGTAACACATCCCGCCGTCTATAGCCTTTTCCGCAGCTGGGGCAGATATGTGGTCTGTGAGTATTGTGTGAATTCAAATGGCGAGTTAGATGGTCTGCCCGGCTGTACACCTTGTAGCAGACTGGGCACGACAAGGGCGGCTCAGGTGGCATCGTCGCGTGAAGGCCTCTGGTAGACTTCGCCTTGAGCGAGCGGTTCCTTCACTTTTCCGCACAAAAAATGATTCTGAAGGGTGTTCGAGCCGCGAAAACTACCCGTGCTGGAGGAAGATGAAGCAGGAAAAATGGGGACGCGGGGGACTTCCGGGGGTTTACGCGACTTCTGGAGCTTCAATTGCCGGCTACGGCAGCCAAGATCGGGGCGCCAATGCGTGAGCTGCGTGCAATTGACGTCGGCGGGGGTGGTCAAAATAACGTGGGGCGGCCACTCACTGTGGTGAACGGCTAAGTTTCCCTAACAATGTGGCCAACGCTTGGAGATGGAACTGGCGTATCTCTCGACAACCTCTTCGGGGAAGCTCGTCGTGCCGGAGTAGCTGCCGTGGTAGAAGAACGGCTAGAGCATCTGCTTTTCTTTGGTGGAGCCGAAGTCGTGGCCCACAACGTAGGAAAGAAGTGATGTTTAAGAAGTCGAGAACAGCCTTGGTGTCGGCCGCGGAAGCCGTTGCAGTATAGCGCCCGGATGGCGGGGATTGATGAGTCTCCGGTCCCGCTGCAATCGAGTGCTATGATGGTGTAGTTGTTGTCTGCTAGGATGGGTCCGCTGATGCGCCATGTGAGGTTGAATTGCGGCCTCCTGCGCAGTAAAAGGATTGGTGGGTCCGAGCCTGCATAGCGTAGATGAGATGAACGGAGACGTTTTCGAGCGCGCCGCCTGATGAACCCAGTCGTCGAAATTGGTCAGGACTGAGACGAGGGTTGCTTGCATTGCCAGAAATAAGATGACGATGGGTAACCGGCAGTTGGGGGGACTCGTAATGCTTGCCTAGGCTCGAGCAGAGGATCCCCGACTCAATCAGTGCAGCTGAGTGTCGGCAAGTTGAGGCAAGCCATAGGTTTAGCCCTTCATACCCTGGCGGACGCCCTGGTTGCTGACAGCAATGAAACACCGCTTTGTAAAACCAAAATCCACCATGGAATCTTCTCCGTAGTGCTAAAAAGAGTGTAAGGCTTTCGGAGAATGTTCTGTGGATATTCCAACATTATGCCATCATTAGCTTACCCAGTCACTGTCAGCGCGCAAGTAGCCATGGCGGTTTACAGAACATACAAACAGAGAAATGAATTAGCCACACTAGCCTCCTATCGTTTGTGGCAGTAGAAGCGCCGGACGTTTTCTCGGGTTTAGTATTTCCATAATTGAATGACTAAACCGCATGTTACCAATATGGGCGTTGGCTCTCCGGGATGTCGTCCTGGATGATGGATTACTGAACCCAGAAAGCAGCACAGTATCTTAGTACTCGCAAATATTGTCGGTAAATGGAGTTTCCTGTCCGCTGGAAGGTGTGTTTCCGTGGTTCCTGATACAAATACAGAGGAGCTGTTGAGGAAGAAGACATCCCCTATAAAGCATGGTCAACCTTCAGTGCTCGGATGATCATCAACTCGAACCTGGCAAGTACATTGCATCTTCGATTGTCCGCAAGCATGCCTAGTGTCCTTCTCACGGGGGCCAATGGCTTTTTGGCCACACATGTCCTCAAATGTCTTGTGGAAGTGAGTGTCGACCAAGGGTCAGCGATGTTTCCGAGCTCGTGTTCTAACATCCCACAGGACGCATTCGACGTGGTTGGCACAGTTCGCTCTGAGGCCAAGGCTGACGACGTGTTTGATGCTCATCCTGAGTTCAAATCGAGACTGCGCCTAGCTGTGGTGTCAGATATGTCAGCTCCTGGCGCCTATGATAAAGTCTTTGAAGGAAGGCATTTTGACTATGTCATCCACGCGGCAGCGCCGGTGCCTGATGGTGATGGGACAGATTTTGACCGGGATTTCTTGGGGCCTGGTGCTCAGGGGTGACCTACCTTTTCCTCTCAACGGCAACCTCACGTCTTTTGCTGATTTGCGCTAGCAACCTCGAACTGCTGCACGCAGCTCAGAAGTATTGTAAAGCTCTCAAGCATTTTACCTACACTGGTAGCATGGTGGCTGTGCACGATGTAACAAAGCCATTAGATGGGCATGTACTGAAAAGTGCAGATTGGAACCCGGTATGTTGCAAGTCGAAGTTCGAAGACTAATGGCAGGGCTGACGCACAGTCGGACGGTGACAGGTGAGTCCTGAGGTCGCTCGCCAATTGCAGCACCCGGGCGCCAGTTATATGATCTCCAAAACTTTAGCGGAAAAGGCTCTTTGGGACTTTGTCAAGAAAGAGAAACCATCATTTGGCGTGTCGGTACTTTCGGTGTAAGTCTGGGTCCTCAGGTTATGGTCGTCATGTGTTAATCCAACAAAGACCGTTGATCATCGGGCCACCTCTGCAGCACCTACACCAGAATGGGGCTGGCAAGAGTCGCTTCAACATGAGCGCGGACCTCTTTTACCAGACATTCCTGCAACCTGTCTCGGGCACAGTCGGCGGGCCTTCGCGGCCACTGTATATCGGATATATCGACGTTCGTGATGTCGCCGCGCTACATGTTCAATCAATCATCAAGGGTGGAAGCGAGAATAGACGTTTGTTGGTGGCAAGCCCAGAACCATTCCTTGCAAAGACAGTATTGGGGATCTTGGCCGACAAGTTTCCACAACTGGTCAATCGACTTCCATCGGTGCGAGCCGCCGCAATCGTGGCGAATGGTGAGCAGGACGAGCATCATCCACTCAAGGTGGACGACTCCGAGGCCAAACAATTGTTCGGAGGGAGGATTTACAGACCGCTCGAGCAGACTGTTGTTGATACAGCGAAGAGGCTGTTGGAGCTTGAACGATCATCAACATGAGATGGTCAGACAAGGCGCCATAATAAAGAAAGCAACTTCGAAGCTTGATGAGATGGTGAACTTGTTAGCAGAACACGTGGATGCGAACTAGATGGGAAAGTCTTCCGGAACGCTAATATCTTGGCGGATTCGAGTTGCTAATCACGCTGGTCTTTACCATCGTTTGCGGTCATCACAACTCATTCACTTTACAATCCTTCAGAAAATATCACAAGCAAATACCTGAGAAGGACCTCTGTCTTCACCCACAGCATCATGAGGTGCCAGGGCCTACTGCACCGGCATGGGTTTCGCGACCAAAATGATATGGGACGATTAGTAATACTCTGGGTCTGATAAGGCTGAGTAAAAGCCTCTGCCTTTGTCGGACGAAAAACCGGATGTACAGAACTACTTCACGATTCGTGATAATGTTGTGCCCTCGTTCGATTGAACCGCGCAAAACTCTTGCTATGGCCATGTCAATGGTTTAGAAAATCCCTGCGCATAGAGAGTTTTGCTTTGAGGCCATGCAGTCCTCGATGTACCACAACAGACAAGCGGAACAGTGTCGGACTGCGGATAATAGATCCTGGTCTGCGAAATGCTTGAGTCTAGAATGAATGCAACCAACGCCAGGTCTGGCTTGCGACAAAGAGTGCCTCATTTGAACATGCGGAAGGGCACTAAGAGCTGCCATGAATGTAAGACTGCCTTTCCAAGTTGGTGGCTTGGTGTTATCGAATTTCCGCACTCAGCAACCAGCAAGACCAGTCAATTTCTGGCTGAGACAGCTGATCTGAGGCCCCGCAACAGGTCGACGTCGAAAGACTAAATGCACCTATCGTGACGGAAGTCGGTCGAGGTGCGAGGAATGCTATGCTCGTGGCACACCTTGCGTGGCCCAAAGTCAAAGCCCCAAGACGACGTCTGTCATCAATACTGCATCAACCAAAGCAGATGGCAATAGCGAAGAAGCGAAATACAGTCTGCGGGAACGAGTTGCTCGTCTGGAGGATTTTGTTCAAAACTATCTGAGCAATGAATCTAGTTCCAAGTCGTCGAACAATCGGCAAAGTCACAACACACTCGACAATCATTCCGCGTATACCGGTAATTAAGGCATAATGCATACCTAACCCCAGCCAATATCAATTGACAATGTATGATAGACCCAAGAGCAGATGGAGGGACACCCACATCCACCAACGTCCCTTCCGCCTCGAACCCTATCCTGAGTTTATTCGACCATGATATTATCACACGAGTATACCATACGACGCACTCTTCACTTGCCCAGCCAGTGGCGATGACAGAGCCACCAGCTTTCCATCCTGGTCGATACGAGCTTCTGGTGCTCCTGCCTCATGATCCAGATCTCGACACCCTGATCAGTCTGAGCGAAGACTGGTGGAACTCGGCTCCTCACAGATTTCCAGAGCTATTCGACCGCGAAGAGACGACTTCTGAAGACTGGAGATCGGTGCTCAACCACAAATTAAGTCTTGCCAATCCGGCCGAGACCGCCAAAGTCCTCCTCTGGGCCTTGATCAGTGCCGAGAGGCTGAGTGAAGAGGTCTTTCAAGGTGGCACTTTCCGAGATCCTGGAGCTCTAGCTACTTTGGAAAGTCGAATTATCCCTACCATTAACCGAGTAGTGGTCTTCCAGGACGACATCACAACAACATTACCCGGTATAGAATGCTTGGTACTTTTGGCACGCTACCACTGCAACCACGGCCGACTGCAGAAAGCCTGGCATCTATCCCGGCGAGCACTCGAATACGCCCTCAGCATTGGTCTTAACCGCGCCGCCTCGATCGAACAAAGTCCGATCACGCCAGGTCAATCGCTTGGTCGACAAATTGAAGCATGGGAAGCAATCTGTGTCCTGGATCGATACATCAGTATGATTCTCGGGCTGCCCTATGGTGTGCGACGTCCAGACCCAGACTTACGAGCGAGAAATGTAAACACCGTGCCGAGCACTTCACCACAAGCGACATTCTTTTATGCCGCCATGAGCTCTATCATTGGCCAGATTATTGATCGGAACCAGGAGCCGCTCGACGACTCTGATCTCTTTCTCCGAACGCTGAAGACAGATCAGGAGTTGAAGGAGGTCATGGACAACGTGAACACGATTCAGTGGGATGTTGACCCAAGATCCTCCGACCCGCCGACACAGGAGGCGTTTGAGCGCATCGAAGCATATTTCCTTATGCACTTTGTTCAAGCACTACTCCACCTACCGCTGATGCTGAAATGTATCGGCAAACAAGATAAAGGGGTGTTTGACTTTTCATACGGCGCCTCCCTCAAATCATCGCGTCAGGCGCTGGTCGCGTACAAATACCTCCGCGTCGGCTTGCGGCTCGACCCATATTTATGCGCAATGCTCGATTTTCAAGCATTCACAATGTCCGTGCTGCTGACACTACATTTACTGAGCCAGAGGACCGGAAATAACTCAGAATCAAACAGTGGATTCCATACTTCTGGAGCACAGGATGAACGCGACTGGAAATCCGTCACAGACATTGCAGGGATTCTTCGAGCGGAATCGACAGACAATCACAAGAGTATTGTGGCTACGCAGGCCGTGGCAATTCTGGACGTGCTGTTAGATGCGCGAGGCAAAGTGGGCGAAAACATCGATTTACGCCCTCAATCCGAGTCCGACGGTAGCGAGGAGTACCAGAATCACATCAAGATGACCATCCCCTGTTTCGGAGACATCACCTTTACGCGAGTCACCAAGGGAGCCCCTCGCTTTAGTCTCGGCGCCTCTGCAAATACGCTGGGTTCCGATCCTGACACGACCGCTGCATTCTCGCCACTTACAGAGCAGGGTGAGACAGTCCTCGATGCGACAGATCTGTGTGCGATGGCAATGTCACTTGATGACAGTTCAGCGCGTTTTGACGGCAACTGGGACGTGCTCGCTAGCAATGTGGCCTCTGCAGTGGCGGCAAGCTCCAAATGAATCGCAAGGATACGATCTCCTGTTTCGTTGGCTTTGGCTCGGTGATGGGCAACCGCCCGGCCATTCGAGCTTCTCATTGTCACGGCATTGCGCAAAGGGAGAAGCAACGCAAGTCGTCCGTACATCAAGCGAAGCAAGGAATCTGGGATGCTAAACTTGATGCAATAAATAAATCTTCGTCGATTTTGGTCGCAGCACACAATTATCTATCTACGGTATACCCCCCAAAACGCGTGTCGAATAAAAGAACGTATCGCCACATCACAAGAAATGAGAAAAGAAAAACCAAAAAACGCTCATACCATACGTTTGATCACTCAGTCAATCTGGCCTTCAGTCACGAGGGAGTTCGCCCTGCACGTGCATTGGCAGTTCTCCACCCGACGCTCTGATCACGTCTTCGAACCTGTATAGTGGCAAATAAATGAGATTGAAATTAGCCAAATCTGTTAATGGGTTCGTTCCTGACATGGGCAGCAGTAGGGAGAAGGTGGAGAACTCACGCCGACTGAAACATGATATACACCATCTCGTCATTATACACGTTTCGCGAGTACTCGGCCTCTTCGTGCGCGACCTTGATGGTCTTTGTGCCGCGGCCCGCGCAGGCCGCGTCGGCGAGCAGCTGCGCCTGGATGCAGCGGTCCATGGCGCCGAAGAGGAACGCGGCGCCGTCGACAGTCTTGGCCACCGTCAGGTGGCCGTGGTTCTGGAGGATGACGCCCTTGGTGTTGCCCAGCGCCGCGGCGATGTGGTGGCCCTCGTCGGCTTTCTGCTCGCCAGGAGGGAGGGAGACGTCGTTAGCGGTCGAGTCTAGGACAATAATGGCGTCGAAGGAGAGGGAGGCAATAGAGCGGAATGGTCTCTCTCTCTTCCCCCCTCACAGACACATATAACAGGCAGTCAAAAAGGACAACACTTACAAAGGCAATTCCGCCAAAGCCAGAATAGATGCCGTGGTCTTTGTAGAATCTGGCGTTGAGACAAACAACCCCGTATCAGCATGCGCATGTCTAGCGATTTTCGATCCCCTCGCATCCAGAGAGTACCAAGACACTTTTTTCGAGTCCGAAAGGAGAGAAAAACCAGGCCCCGTGCAACTCCCTTGGTTCCCCTTGCACCTCCTTCCCATTGCTACCTTTTCACCCACTACTTGAGATGAGACTGCCACACTTACCGACACGCGTCCTGGTTGATCGGCTCCAAGTGGCACCCGAGCGCGGAAAAGGCCTTACTCGGGACACTGTGGCAGTGGACCGCGGCGACGACGTCGGGCCTCGCCTCGTGCACGGCGCTGTGGATGACCCAGCCCGCGGGGTTGACACTGTGCATGTTGCCGCCCTCGACGACCTCGCCCTTGGGGTTCATCAAGACCAGGTCGTCGGGCGTCATGTACGAGAACGACTTGCCGTGCGGGTTGATCCAGAAGTGGTCCGGGAGGACGGGGTCGCGCACCGTGACGTGCCCGCCCGCGCCCTCGTTGTTGTATCCCTGGTAGCCCAGCCACCGCAGCGCCGCGGCGTGGTGCAGTTTGCGGAACGCGCGCTCGCTCTCGAGTGATTGGAATTTGGGGTACCGGATCCGCTTCACGGGTCGCGTGCCCGTCTGTTGGTACGCGCCGTAGGTGAATTCGGGGGAGAAGTTGGGCGGGTCTTTTGGGGTGGTGCTGTTGGTGATATGTTGAGCGGCGACCGCGGCGGGAGTTGTCCGCGAGATGGAGATTGTGCGACGTGTGCGGCCTGCCATTGTCGATTGAGCAAGTGAGGATGATGACGGCCTCGCAGCAAGACCTCGGGAGACATGTTGCGCTCGCAACGCGATCGAGGCGCCCAGTGCCATCTTTGTCCACAAACTATATCGAAACCCTTCAATCACACTTGGTAGAGGAAGGTAATGAGGCGTGTTTGTTCGTTGCCAAAGTCACTCAACTTCAATGTAATCAGTGTTGGAGATAGCGGAGTTGTACTCGGTATAGTGTCTCCCAACCCTTTTACCCCGGCAATTTCGGGGCTCGTTGATGTTTGCGGGGAAATGGTCCGGTAGTCAATCAAGGTCGATGCCGAGAGGGCAAAAGTCTCCAAAGTTATCACCGGCCAAGAGGTGATCCGAGGTCAGTATGCCTTGTCGTGGTAGGTCAATAATCAAGGTCATCATTGGACAATGCTTGTCAGTCTCTAACCCCGTTCCTGGCTGGGGTTTGAATGAAGCCTTTCAAGCACAAAACACAAGGGGCTCAGCCTCGTTGGTGGAGACATTTGCCAAGATTTGCCATCGAGGGTCGAAGGGGGTGAACCGAGTCACGGTGTGTGTATACGAGATCTGCGACGTGCAGAATAAACAAGTACCGCCCTCGACTGCCTGATGTTGTCGGCAGGATCGCGTCTGCAACATCTTCCGGACTCACCGCGCATTCATGATCTGGCCGAGTCTCCTTGTTCAACTCACGAATCTCCATGTGCCAGAGGCTATCCCTCGAGACATTGTCCACCCAGGCTGGCAGGCTCGAGCAAATAATGTGACTCTCAGAACTACCCTATCATTTGCGCAAGTTCGCCTGTACAAAGGCATTTGAAGTTTCCTGAGGCCGCTTGACGCCGTCGAACATGCTAGTTTTGTCACGGAACAGCTGGCGTACTTCTTGAGGGACAACCGCCGACGCTGTTCGGCATCTCGCGTCCCGTCATACTCGGTTGATGTTTAGCAAGCATGCTCCCTCCACGCGAACATTTACCTTGTGACAAATACCCGACATGATATGTGATTTGTCTCCATCGGCACGGCGCGGAGCGGACGAAAGCATGGTCCAGGAAGGTTCGGAGGCCTTGGTTGCGGGAACGAATAATGCGTCCAGGATACTATACCGAATATCAAACGGACGACGGTCTCTTCAAGCAGTTTGGAAGCGTAAAAATCTGTGTGGAGTCGTCATTGTATTCAATTAATTTTCTCGCATCAAAGGCGGACAAGCACCCCTCGAAAAGAGAAATTCTCCTGTCCATACGCCACTGTCCTGCCTTGGCTCAACGAATGATTACCCAAACGCTCTCAAGAACAACCAAAGACCGGCACTGCTGAGGAGCGGGATGGTCAAATTGTCATCCCAACCCCAGAGATCTATAAATTCGGAGAGGCTAGCGATAAGCCCCGTGCAAATGCTCATGACCGCGAGTGCGGCGTCACCGACAATAACTCCCTGGTTCGCTTCCCAGCCTAGGAGCCCCTTCACTTGACTGGGGAGGGTCAAACGGTTTTGGAACATATAAGGTTGGATGGGGTCGTCCACGAACGGGCCTGTTCTCGGAGCCAGATAACCCCAGAAGAAGAGAGCCGTGAGCACGCCCGTAAGAAAAGCGGCTAGGGAGCCTGCCAGAGACTTGCCTTTGCGCAGACGGATGGTATAACGACCATACAACCGACCAAAAGTGCTGGCGGCAGTATCGCACCAGGACAACAAAAGAATCGACATAACCCCAATGTCTTTAGGAAAGAATCGCAACGCCCCGTATGCTCCGACCAAGTACCAAATGACGCCGTTGTATCCTTCCACCTCAGTTTCCCGCATCAGCGCCCCCAACACTGAGATGTAGAATCTATTAAATCGTTCAGAGTGATGACGGAGGATGTCAGTTGGGGCGATGATGGCAAGCGCGCCCAACAGCCACGGCGTTATTGCCCAGGTTTGTACGCCTGTCACAAAAAAGCGCAGAGTAAAGAACCCGATTGAAACGTGGAGGACCTTCCGCGGGATTTCATGCTTGTGGATCAACGTTCGATAGTGGCGGTGGAGTGGGATCAGGCCAAGCGGTGAAGGAGAGCGGGAGAATTCTCGCCAGGATTTCTTGACTCGGTCATAGGGTGAAAGATGCCCGTTTGATTGTGGATATGGGATTGTGCCATTTGTCAGGGGCTCTGATTTAGCGACCGGTTTGATCGAAGTGAGGCCGCTCATGCGTCTCCTCTTGCTGGTGTTCGCCGAGCCGTTCATGTGAGTGGCAGCGGTCAAGATGGGACTTCTAGAGCGCGCTCTGGCACGTTTCTCCAGGCTTGAGTCGGACCCGGACCCATCCTTCTCTTCATTTATGGGGTCGGGTTGAGGGGATCGTTGTCGCCGGGTTTTCGCGGCCGATCGTGTGACAGGCGCAAAATAGGAGTCCTGGCGTTCGGAGGACTCGGAAGGGGTAGGGGAAGGTGAGATAACTCTCGGAGTGGAAGGGATGGGATATTGGTAGGACATCTGGAGGATTTCAGGCTGGCAGATGAGGTTCGAAGGTGGTAGTGAGAGGGGCCGGGAGCCAGCAGGGTGAGATGGAAATTTCTTACAGCCTGCGCATCTGCGCACCAGCCACGGTAGATAGGGAGGGCAGAGTCGAGCAGAAGAATCAAATTGGCAGCATAATGATGAAGGAGTTGCAGCGCTTGCGTCGCACAGTGTCTCCAATGTGGCCGTTATTCTGCGATTTGACGATGACGCAGGAGGGCGATGCGCATGGATGGGATCTTGTGCCCTGGATTTGGGATAAAGAAAACTGGGTGTGGAAGGGGGAACATGATGGGCACATGCAAGGATCCACAGAACACAGAACACAAAGCAAGCCACTTTTTTGTGGACTCGTGAGCTGTGCATAAGCCACAAGCCCCTCGTGGAGTCGTGATTCCCAGGCGCCTCCAGCCACTGCCGACCCTTCGATTGCTCGGTCCAGGCTGCCATGCCGCCCGGAGCTCGCTTATCAAGGAGCTCGGAGCAATCGACATGCCGTTTGACTTTCTACTAATCATACTAAATCATGAATGTGCTATCACTAAATACTGCTTTGGTGCATTACTTTCGTTAGTGTGGATTTTGTACAAATGCTCTCATAAATGCAATCTGATAAACGACACTTACCAATTTCCCGTCTTCAAGTTTGGTAGACCCTTGGTCGATATGTCCCTGGTCAAGACGAGAATGGGAGAGAGGTATGCATTAGAGTCGGTAGATGATGAGCGCTTGTCGCCGCTGACCATTCGTCCTCCAACAGTATATCTGTAGAGCATCAATATAATTTGCAGCATTCAAATCTCTAATGCAATCAACCACAGGATTTGGAAAACAGGGCTTCCCGTTCGCTCAGCCATACTTAAGCCAAATACCGATTGGTTAGTACCAAGGTGGGGGACCACTTGGGAATCCCAATTGTTGATTGTTTTTGCATTTTGACATGCTTGAGGCCTGTTGCTTGTGGCGGCTGGATAAGGTGTAGTCTCCTGGGGAGTGAGAGGCTCTACCTTCTCGCGAAATAGTCCATTCAGCCAGGCGATATCCCTCGACACACGATCAATTTTTGATCAAGACACCAGTCTCGATATCAAGTGGCCCAGACAGTTGCTGGTAGTGCTAGAAAGGGTTCATGTTGGTACTGGATCAAGGCCCCTTGATTCTGTTTCTGGAGGATCTGCTGGTTGAGACAAACGTAAAGGCTCCGAAAAGAGGTGACCGCTCGTCTCATCTTGAAACCAGTCATGGACATAAAGAATGGCATGCTCGTAGGACCTTTCAAATTGAAAAGGCGACCATTCTGGGCATGGCTCCGTTAACGTACTCAACGATCTTTGACCCGCGGTAGTTTCGCCCCGAACAGCCTGTGGGTGTAGTCTCGCGTCTTTGGAAATCCGGAAGTTCTCGAAGATTGTCTGAAGGTCGGAGTGACTCGTTGCCATTGGGAGATATTCTTTGACGATAGTCCACCTGCTCAAGGCCTGGGCATCAAATACGGTTCCGATCACCCCGAATTGTGTATCGGGTAACTCCACCCATAGCATCCACAACTCCATGTCCCATTCTCCCCGAGAGAGTCAAGTCGCGCGAACGCCCGGCTTTATTGGGCGAGTGGCGACGTGTGTATGGCGCTTTCGGATGGGAAGAAGGCGAGACCGGGCTGTTTCCAGTTCTTGAACTAAGCAATAGGTCAGGACTGATAGATCACTTCCAGGATGGATGTACACACCACTTTCAGAACATATTGGCTGCCCTGCATGTCAACTGGCACCACCGATCCATGTTCCCCCCAGCCAAGAAGTTGAGGGTGTGGTATACTCTCCTGGCTGTGGGTAAACTGGCTTGAGTGGTCTCACGTCGTCTTGTCGACTGATCGTGTGGCTGCTTCGAGAGTAATCGGCCAATTATGTCTCGGTCTATCAGTTCTGCGTCTATGTCTTCCCTCGTTACTCGTCTTCGTCCAGTCATGTTGTAAGTCGGTCAGCCTTGCTGAGAACGGAATCCAGTACGAACGATTTTTCAGGGGTGATGAGGTTCGAGACTGGACGACGGCAAAAAAACAAAGAACAAAAAAAGAACAAGTCCACTCTCTCGTTCTCTTTTTCTTTTCAACGGATTAGATTGACGAAATGACAAAAACTTTTTCACCCAACCCCTTTGATATGGGGGTGGATGGTAAGTGAAACTCGCCTTGTGGCAAGTTTTTTCCGTTTCGCAGATGATTATTGACTCCCCACCTCGGCTGGTGGGGTACCTGATAACATCTCTGTTCGAGTTTGCAGAGGAGGATCAGGAGGATCGGAGAGGAATCGCCCACTTTAACCCAAATTCCTTCGCAGGTGTTGACTCTGAAGTCTCTTTCTCTCTTGTTTTTGGTTTGTTGACTCTGAAAGTCTCTTTCTAAAGTAGGGGTCTTTGCGATTGTGATTACTTTTTCGAGACTATTAATTATATGTGATTATTTTTCTTTTTGTTTGTGTTTTGCCTGTTCTGGTCATGTAGCCTCGTTGACGCCAAGGTTGATAGAGGGTGTGGTAGAGAAAGGGGCACCACATTACCAAAGCGTCTGAGGAAGGTAACGCGAGAACAAATGCTGATTCATCCAGCACTGTTCGCCCTCCGTACCAACGACTCAAAATAGTGCATCCAACATAAGTGACATCGAGTTGGTGCTCGGAACAAATACTCGTATTATCTCGACTGCCAACTCTCACCCTTGCTTCTCTGTATTCCCTGGCGTGGTGATGACACAATACTGCACGCTTCTGTGCCCGTCTTCACGCTCTGCACTCTTCCAGCCCGCATCTGGATCTCTCCCCATAGTTGGACCCGGCATCAAAACAGCAGTAATTCGCAATAGCCTCGGTATAGATGAGGAGGCCATTGTTGAACCTCGGCGGCGGCCGTCCCCGCATCGCCTGTGTCGTGCCTCGTCTTCCTGAATAGGGGTTTTGATTGTTACTCTTCTCAGATCTGAACATAAGAGCCTATGCTATCATTTGGGCAGTATCCGCAACCACGATTATAGTACTCGGTCAATTCCGGACGCCGCACGAGAAGCCTCACCAGATGATCTTACCACAGGAAGGTGGACTGTCTGTGGGTGCATCTCGTCGTCCAATCCCAGAGGGTCCACTGGCAGTGGCCGAAGCAGTAGCCGAGCAATTTTTTCTAGATCATTCTGAACATTTCTTTGTTCCAAGTAATTCTTCGTCTTTTCCTTGAGGTAGTCCAGTCTTGTGTAATCTGACAGACCGACGACTTCCTTCATGGTCGGATTGAGCCGAAAGTAGGGTATCTCCAACGAGGAGAGGAACTGTTCAAAGCTGCGGTGCTCATTCTCTGCGTTCGTCACGAATTCCAACACAGCTCGGATTTGTGAAAGCGCCGGCCACGAAAACGAGGGGCTCTCAAGGTCCTTAATCTCAGTATAGTTTGGAGCATCCGATTTCTCCTGAGGTCGCTCCTGACCTAGACCTGTGCTCGAAATTCCTGTGCCGAGACTGATGACCACGGCCGGAATCCCGGGACCGTATTCGCCCAGAACTTGGCCGATTGTGTTATTGTTCTGCAAGCCGCCATCCCAGAATGTTATACCGTCAATTTTCTTGGCTGGAAAGTAGAAGGGTGCCGCAGTTGTGGCTCGTGCCGCCTCGACAATGCTGCAAGGGATGTGGTACGGCATCCTGAGCTCTTGTGGATGATATGAGCGAAAGTTGACAGTATGGCGTGTCCTCTTTGTGACAGCGCAAACAAAGCTAATCAACTTCAATGTTAGGTTTTTGGTGTTGATTTGGTTGGAATGTTTCCATACGACATACGTTCGACATCTCACTCCATCCTCCTGCATCATTGCGTCCTCCCGCAGGTTCTGGTCTACCAGAACCTTCTTCACTTCTTTCTCCAGTTCCGACCCGCTGAACCATGGTCTGTTGAACAGTGGTTTAAAGAAAGTGCCCAGACCTCTTGAAATGCCGGGCTTGAATATCCTCTTCGAGAGCTCGTCATACTTTGCCATTACCGTAGGTATAGGCATACCCTAAGAGTCATATCACACCCTGGCCAAACTTGAAGAAATTTGGAACTTACGAGACGGAAGAGCATTATTGCGATGAGGCTATATTAGTGAATATTAACCCGTTCAAAAGCTGGAACTAATGTGCACTTACCCCCCAGTACTTGTTCCGCCGACCAAGTCGAAATAGTGCTTCGGTAATGGCAGGTCTCGGTTACTCTCTTCATCCGTATCCCAGTTCTGTTCTAGATTCAGGTGTTCATTTTTCTCAACAGCCTGTATTGCTTTCATCAGACCTTGCAGCACTAGAAGACTGCAGACCCCGCGGACTCCGCCACCATCTATTGCGATTAGATATTAGTGTCCATCCTTGCAAGTTGTGCAACGGTTGCGAACCTATGGACAAAAGACGCCCGCCCGTAAACAAGGCTTTCCGTTTATCGCTGTAGTGGGCTTTGACGAGTTCGATGTCGTTGATAAACTTTGCATGTGAGCTTGACAAGTCAAAAGACAAATCTTCGTAACGAGGCCCATGGTTTAGTGTTTTGGTCATATAGTCGATTCGGTTCTTGAGGCCCTGGTACGTTCGGCCGTGCACCAAGCCGATCGGGATAAGTTTTTCTTCGAGCTCCTTGATGCCGATCCGGATATTGGTGACCATTGAGAGGACGTCGTCCCATCGCTCTCCTGACACACTCTCGTCGGCTCGTATCTGTCTCATGAATTCTTCCGCGGCATCCCGAAATTTCTTAATGCTCTCCTCCATCTCATGGATGTGGAGATTGAACTGCCTGTGAGAGAACGACAGAACTACAGATGTAAAAGGAGGTATCCGGCACTACCACAGACGTGAATAGCTAGGTGTAGTACAACGTAGGGGATGCAGTGAATTCAGAAAAGCGACAGCTTCCAGAAATGTTTAGAGGCTGATACTCATCTCTCTGAAGAGGCTGGGGGATCGGGCCTTTATCCTAAGATTCCGGCTTTTCTGCCCAAAGAGCGTGTCCCTTCCTGTTTGGCTAGATGTTCCACCCTCACGGGAGCTCTTTCCGCATGGCTGCGCCTACAATCAAAAGGACTTTTATTCCGCGGTAAGGTAATACTGGGCGACCCCACGCTCGCCTAAATCCCGGAGTAGAACCGAAAGGCAGAAGATTCATGGGGCGGACGGCGAGCTCCCACCTCCACGTGGTGTCCGCTGGGAACTCTCAGAGAAACAGCCCAGCTGTCTCTGAATGCCAGGAGGAGCTCAACAAACGCGGTGATCCTCTCGCGAACGACGCGCCGAAGTCCCGAAAATCACCCTCTACACCTCACGAAACACCCAACATACAGCCCCAGTACGCGGGAAGAGAGTAGTGCTTCTTTCATGGTACGCCCCTAGATGGAAGATGGACTTCAGCACTCCATCTTCCTACCCGACTATAGCTTACGGTATCGGAGGTTGAAGAGTATACGGCGAAGAGGCGGAGTTAAAGGGAAAGAGATGGTCCACTAAACAGAATGATCATACCAGACAGAGAAGAATACACACTTTAGGAAATCACCATATCGAATCACGTTACTACTACTAACACTATACATTGCTCGGAATAGATCTCTAAGATACGTTATATATTGATTAAGAAAATCTATCTATCTAGCGCCCGAAACTTTATTGTGTGCCGCAGGGTAAATCATTCGGCTAACATTCCCCATAGGGCTAGGGCAACAATATACTGCCACCTACATAGCAAGCCGACATCTCGGTACGTTGTCAATGCGAAGGACGTAGTGGCGACGCATCCAGCTGCTAATAGTGTCTTAGTTATCGAAAGCGAGTACTAACCCGGGAAATATCAACGAGCACGCCCCGAACACTTCAAGTACTTCCATTACGGTCACATCGGCACTTCATAAAGCGTATCCCAAACGAGCAACTATTGCAACGGGTAGCCAATCGCACAGGCAGCTCAGCGATAGACGTATAGACATATAGAATAAAGAACTGGACAGGGCCCGTGGATCATATCTAGCGGTCACGAACACGGTACGCACATACACCTACTGTAATGGGGAGGTCTACAGGCTGAAACGTGATTGGTGGAATTTGCCTGTACACTGTACAGGGCAGACACTCTTGGCCACTGGTTAGTTTAATCTCTGACGCTGGGTCGCAGATTCTCTTCTTCAAGGAAGGAATCCATCATCAAGAGGATCGATACCTCAAGCAACTCAATCAAGGAGTTGAGGACAGTTGTCTATCAAGTCATGGAATCTATCTGATCAGAACTCTCTATGCTGTGTTATTATTACTGTGCGATAGCCGTTAACCCTACCAACATGCCCACCGCCGTACGAGTTGATACCTCTGGCTAAGAGCCTCGCCCCAGTTCACTACTTACCCTCTCCGCCTTCCATAAGCCACCATCGCGGCCTCACCCTCTTGTCGATATCTCGGCATCTAGATAGACTCCCGGCTTCGCTGGGAATACCACTGTAAGAAACTGGAAAGTAAAGTAATATAACGACTGTCGGCCCTGTCAGCTCTTGCATCATCCACCTGGGGAGCTGGATTAATCAACTTACGATAAGTGTACAGAGCGATGATTGTTCCTTAAATGTTATACGGGGATACTTAGTCTGGCACGACCCCGGAGTGCGAGGCAGACGAAATGGCAATACCATACTCAACACGATCACGCGAATCCAGCGAAGAGCAGTATAGATTATTACGTGGTTCCGGACCGCAGCGGGTACGGCGGTCGATGTGGAAGCTAACCTACTGCCAGTAATGCAGTAGATTGAATAAACGGCCCTCGAAGTGACTATGCGTATACGAACTACGCCTCTCCCGAGGAGATCACCCTCATTGGACAGAATAGCGGGAAGAGCTCGTTAGACCGACTGTCTGATCTCCTCAAAAATAAATACCACGTCCAGCTCGAGCGACTAGAAAAGCGAGAACAATACGTGGTCCCACCATGGTGGACGCCACCAGCCATACATACTGATAAATCGGCCGAGGACGCCATTACGCGGCACGATACCACGGATTCGCGAACACTACGTTTGATGCTCAGCCAAAGGCTCAGGTAAAGCTCAGGTTAAAGCGGCCTTTGCTCACCCTCTAGCATCAAACCGTATATGGCAATTAGGTTTTTCGTTCTCGAGTAATAGAGGTAGACGACACAACCAGGACCTTAGGGGGGAATCTATTCTCATCGACGAGTTCCAACCAATGCAACAAGTGCATTGACTCTGGCAACAAATTGACTTACGAGTTTGTCACGGCGATATCCCCCGGACCAGGACGCCGATTTCGCCGTGTCAGACCAGAGTCGGCCAAAAGATACTCGGGCAAACTTTTACCCCAACCACGATGATATATATACTGATTTGCGCAAGCAAGCGAGCGACAGACTTCCTCTCACATCCCACAAGCTGGTCTTTAATTGTATCAAGAGGCTTTACATTACAGCGCAGCTATAATAACCGTCACCATGATTCAACACAAGAAATTGAGAATCGCCGTCATCCCTGGAGATGGAATCGGCGCCGAGGTCATGCCCCACGGCGTGCGGTGTCTCCAAGCGGCGGCAAGGGTATTCCACCTGGACCTCGAGTTCGAGGAATTCGACTTTGCGAGCTGTGAATACTACCGAAAACACGGCGACATGCTCCCTAAGGACTGGAACGCCACACTGTCCAAATTTGACGCCATCTACTTCGGCGCCGTAGGCATGCCGGACCAGGTCCCTGACCACATTAGTCTGTGGGGTAGCCTTCTCAAGTTCCGCCGCGAGTTTGATCAGTACATCAACTTGCGGCCCGCACGGTTAATGCCCGGCGTACGCTGTCCCCTCGCAGGGCGGAAACCGGGCGATATCGATTTCTGGATCGTTCGGGAGAACACCGAGGGAGAATACAGTAGTATCGGTGGGAAGATCTTCGAGGGTACCGACAGAGAAACAGTCATTCAAGAGACGGTGATGACCAGGACCGGAGTCGACAGAGTGCTAAAGTACGCGTTCGACCTGGCTCAGAGTCGGCCGAAGAAGCATCTCACAAGCGCTACCAAGAGTAATGGGATCAGCATCACGATGCCTTATTGGGACACGAGGGTCGAGAACATGACCAAGTCATATCCCGACGTCAAGGTCGACAAATACCACATCGACATCCTGACGGCGCACTTTGTCCAACGGCCGCAGATATTTGATGTCATCGTTGGGAGCAACCTGTTTGGAGATATTCTCTCAGATCTGGGTCCCGCCTGCACAGGGACAATAGGCATAGCCCCGTCCGGAAACATCAATCCGACAGGTGAATTTCCAAGCCTGTTCGAGCCTGTGCATGGCAGTGCACCTGACATTGCGGGCAAGGGCATCGCCAACCCTGTGGGAATGATCTGGGCGGGTCAGATGATGCTGGAACATTTTGGCTTCCAGGACGCTGCGGCAGCGATGCTAAAGGCGATCGAGAAAGTGCTTTCGCGAGCAGAAGAAAACATCGTTACGGCGGACATGGGAGGGAAAGGAACCACAAACAGTTTTGGAGAGGCGATTGAAAAGGAGATTTTGGCTCTGGCATAAAAGGACGAGCTGGTTGGTGTCTGGGAAGATAGACTTCATAAAGTGGCAAGATTTTAGTTTATCGATAAGGATAGAAAAAATAATTTGGTGTACCGACGAAATACTGACGACTTCTTCCTGCGCTGCGCTGCGCTGCGCTGCATGTTCCCTCCTGCGCAATCTATTGTCGCTGTCTGCATTTCTCTTGACACTTCATGGCCCCGGATAGGGGACAAGTCCCATCCAAGGGGAAACCCTCTAGAACGTGGGATACCCTCAACCCCCCACTATCACCATGGATCCTCGAAGCAGTGTCCGCCATGAATTTCACGCGCATGACACCAGTGCAAGCCTCGACCATCCCCCTCTTCATGGCCTACAAGGACGTCGTGGTTGAAGCTGTCACAGGGAGTGGAAAGACGTTGGCATATCTCATACCCGTGGTGGAAAAGTTGTTGAGACTGGAAGAGCCGCTGAAGAGACACCACGTCGGTGCCATCATCGTTTCTCCCACGAGAGAATTGGCCACGCAGATATACAACGTCCTGGTGTCGTTACTGAGATTTCACCCGCCTTCCGCTGCGGCGCTCGAGCCCTCGGATGCGCAAGACGACTCTGCCGGGAGCAATGACGCACAGTCTTTTCCCTCGTCCACTCTGAAAATTCTCCCGCAGTTACTTGTGGGCGGTTCGACCACACCGGCGCAGGACCTGAGTAAATTCCTCAAGACCTCGCCGAATGTTCTGGTTGCGACACCAGGTCGCCTTGTCGACATTATGACCTCAAGAGATGTCCACTATCCGAAATCTTCGTTTGAAGTGCTCGTGCTCGACGAGGCGGACCGATTGCTCGACCATGGGTTCAAGGACGAACTGACCAAGATTCTTAACCTGCTACCAAAGGAGCGGAGGACGGGTCTGTTCAGTGCAAGCGTGAGCGAAGCACTAGATCAATTGATTCGCGTGGGACTGCGAAACCCCGTGAAAATTGAAGTCAAAGTGAAAGGCGCCAATGGAGTGGAAGACAAGCGGACCCCTGCAAGCCTCAAGATGACCTATGCAGTGACTAAAGCTTCTCAAAGATTCCCATTCCTAGCAGCTCTTCTAAGACACCTTGATCCAATGCCGCTGCGGACCATTGTGTATTTGTCCACTTGTGCTGCGGTGGACTACTTCCAGAACCTGCTACCCTCGATCATGCCTTCAGGGGCGGTGCTTGTGCCCTTGCACGGTAAGCATCCAGCAAATGTCAGGGAGAAGAACTTCATTCGCTTCACCGACTCTGCCTCTCCCTCTGTTCTTCTGACGACGGATGTTGCCGCGAGGGGTTTGGATATTCCATCTGTGGACCTGGTGGTACAAATTGACCCTCCATCAGACTCCAAGGTCTTCCTGCATCGATGCGGGCGAGCTGGCCGCGCAGGTCGCAAAGGTCTCAGTGTCGTCCTTCTACTCCCTCATGAGCAAGACTACGTGGAATTTCTAAAAGTCCGACACACCCCGATTGAGCCCTTGACCGAACCTAGTCCTTCCGAAGTGCAGGACGACTGCCGTGAGGTTGAGGAGAAGTTTCGAAAGACTGTGCTCACGGATCGAGCACTGTACGACAAAGGTCAGAGGGCGTTTGTCAGCTGGGTGAGGAGTTACTCGAAGCACGAAGCAAAGTCCATTTTCGGTTTGAGTGGAATCGACTGGAATGACCATGCCGCAGCCTGGGGCCTGTTGAAGATGCCAAAGATTGCCGAGCTCAAGAATACCAAGTTACAACCCTACCAGGGACCTGACGTCGATTGGGACAAATACGGATACAGGGACAAACAGCGGGAGAAGCATCGGAAAGAAATGCTCGCAGAAGGTTTGAGCGGCTCCACTGCTAGTCGCAAGGACGCCGACTCCAAGAAACGGAAACAGGGCACTGTGGCTTGGTCCGAACAGCTCGAGCGCAAGGCAACCAAGGAAGTCAAGCGATCTAGGAGGGAGGCGAGACGACAACACGACCGGCTCACCAAGATGACGGAGGGCGAAAAGGAATACCAGGCCGAGACGGCGCGGATGGTCGAGCAGCTCCGCCGGCAGCACGTAAAGGCCAGTCAGCAGCGAGAAGACGTCTTTGAGGGCTTTGACTGAGGACGGCCAGGGTCACTCGCACCACCATGGGATCTCACACAAGGCCAAGGCGTCCGCAGCAAGGGGTGGCATTTACTTGGGCCCGACACGCCAATGCAAGTTTGTACTTGTACTTGACAGCCCTCTAAATGTGAAGTTTAAAATCTCAAGACTCAATTCTCGAGAATGGCAATCTCATCGTCATTGACAGTGTGTCCCTATCGCTACCGCTGGATTCGAAGATGGCGAGGCTGTAGAATTTCTCAAGTTGCCAACTGAACTATCCTGAGTCTGATTCAATGTCCGACCCTTTGTCCGTACTACAACATCACACGAGCTCTGCGTTTGTCGACGAGCCCTAGAAATGGGCGCCCATTCGCATAAATCAATTTACACCAATGTCCCAGAGCCTTCACACACCCTTCGGAGCCCCTTTGGAGGGCATCATGTATTGCAAATGTACATGGTTGTTTATGAAGCAGCATTGATCGATTTGAGCAAAATGTACGCGATACTAGCAATCCATCCACATTTGTCCGCCACCAAGATCAACAACCTCTTGGAGGTCAGGAAATGACGCACAAGATCTCTCTGGCTCTCTCGCCGTTTACTTTGCTACCTGATCGACATGCTCCAACTCAACCGTCTCTTTTTCGGCCTCGATATCCTTATCCAGCGCCTCCCGCTGCTCGGCGGTCAGGTGAGTGAGTCTGACCTCAATCTTGTCGCCGAAGATCTCGCCGACTTCCTCCAGAGCGAGGCCCCTCGTCTCGGGGAAAAAGTACCAGATCAGGGGCAGATTGATGGTCGACAGGACGATGAAGAGGAGGTAGTATTTCCAGCCGACCTGTGCAAAGGCCGTGGGCGCGGGGATGAGGTAGGCGATCGTGCACAGGAACAGAATCGCGAGGGACCATGCCATGCCGCGGGCGCGGAGGTGGGTTGGGAAGATCTCGGTGCAGAAGACGTACGAGGTCGCGTCGAGCGTGGATGCGTAACTACCCGGGCAGACATGGGTCAGCATCAAAGCCTTTTTACTTGGAAAAGAAGAAGGGAGATTTACCAGGCGATATAGAGGAACAGGAAGACCACGCCGGTTTTAAGCCCAGCCTTGTTGTCTGTGCCGGAATATCGTGCTGTCATGGCCGCTTCGACGATGAGGGTGATGAGGCTGCCGGCAATTCCAGCGACTGTGACATGGTTAGCTCTGCTTAATACCTTCGGCCAAAACATATCAACCAGGTTTAGAGGCCCCTTTACTAAGGGAGGGAAAATTGATGCTTCAATACTCACCTAGAAGGATCTTGCGGCCAAAGTGGTCGATGAGCAGCGCATTGACACCGTTCCCGATACACGCTATCGTCACAAACACCGCGGCAAGGAGTAACGAAATCTTGTTGGATAAGCCGAGCCCTGTGTAAAGGATAACGCTGTAGTTGTAGATGACTAGGATCCCCGTCGACTCGGTCGCAAACATGGTCATGAATGCACAGAACATGCGCTTTCGGTACGACGGCTTCGTGAAGAGAGTGGACAGAGTCTCGTTCCGGGAGATTTGGAGGTCGGCCGAGACCTGATGGCTCATCTGGTAAAATTCTTCACGGGCAAATGAAATGTGATGTGAGTCCGAATCCTTGTCGGTGTTGTGTAATAGGTTGATAACCTCCCACGCACTGTCGCGGCGATCTTGCATCAGGACTGGAGTTTGACGGTCAGTCACTGGGAAATTGCGAAAGGACAGGACTCAAACTCACGCCAGCGAGGGGACTCTGGGATGAAAGGGATGAGGAGGAACATGATTAGTGGCCAAAGCGCTTGTACGCACAGTGGGAATCGCCATTGGAAAGCGGCATTCGTGGTATAGGAACAGCCGAACCCAATCCATCCGGCGAGGGCGTACCCCAGGACCAAGATGACACCTAGTCCCCGTCAGTCTTGCTTTCAATGCCCTGAATAAGGAATCAACGACTAGCGTGTACATACCATGCTGAGAAACGAGAAAGCCACGCTGGGCGGGAGGTGAAATCTCGCATTGAAACATTGGGATCAAGACCATCAGTATTCCTGTCCATGGTTAGATACATAACCGCCATCTCAAAATGCAGCGTGCGATATCGGGGCACTCACCAACAGAAATACCCGTCAGAGCCCGACCGAGCAACAACATTGCAAGGTGAGCTGCTCCGCCTTGAAAGGCGCCTCCTACCACACCGATCGGAGTGGCCAGGTAGAGCGTCTTCTTCCTCCCAAGGGCATCGCAGGACCAGCCAGCCAGCAGAGACCCGATGACACCGCCGGCAGAGTAGCAGCCGTTGAGACCGCCGATGATCCTGTTTGTGAAAGCATAGCGGTCTGAGGTGGGATCGGTCGTCAAGCCAAAGTACGCATAGAACGGAGCCTGGCCCAACGTCGTCGCGGCGACGCTGAAGGAGTAGCCATAGGTCAAGCTCCCAAAGCAAAGTGCAAGCACAATCTATAAGAGTCAGACTCTGTGTGCAGACAGCAGGCAAAGGAATGTAACAACTCACTGTGAGGTTCAAGGCACTGATGCGAGCTGCTTCGTGTTTCGCCATTTTTTTTTTTCAACCCGTCAAATCACCTGAGTTGGATTCCCAGTGGTTTTTTTCGTCCCAAGCTGCGTGGCATGATTGTTCGACGCCGGGGCCCCATACCCCATGATATAGGTCTGGGACAGCACTGGACTGAGTTTTCTCCCTGAACGCCATCTTTGGGAGGCCCAAATTGCAAAATCTATAGAGGTGCTCGTATTCCCATCCCCGTTCTCCACACTCCAGGAGCTTAAGGCTCGTTAGAGCGTGATTCCTTACCGACTTGGGACCGTCACAGGATTGACTAAACCTCAATCTCGGCGCGCGAGGCTTTGTCCCGACAGGGATGCGAGAGACGAAAACCTACGCGCCGCGATCTCCGCGCCGAACGGGCCGAAATGCCCCGTGGGGTACAAAAAGTGTGGGGTCGGTTACATCATTTGACCAAGTCCCCTTCCCACGCACGAGGAACCTTGTCACGCAGTTGTAGGCGACTAGACGAGTGAGTCCCTTTATCTCGCCACGCAGTTGCCCTCCTACCAATCCAATTTTACACGGACACAAGTGTTGTATTCTGCACCCTCAAGTTGACCTGTCTCGTAAAATCAATTCACAAACACAACCATGTCCAGCACAGGCCGCCGGCTCGACGGAAAAGTCGCCATTATCACTGGCGGAGCGAGTGGCTTTGGCAAGGCGATCGCAGGCCTCTTTGCACAGCAGGGGGCCAAGGTAGTCATTGCCGATCTCTCAGCAGAAGCCGGGCAGGCGGTTGCCAAAGCCACCGGGGGCGTCTTTACAGTCGCCGACGTGACCAAAAGGAGTGACTGGGAGAAGCTGCTCGCGCTCGCCCTGGACAAGTTTGGCGGGCTCGACATCGTGGTCAACAACGCGGGAACGTCGTACCGCGCAAAGCCCACCGAGGACGTGACCGACAAGGACTACGACCTGGTCTTCGACGTCAACGTGAGATCGGTCTACCTCTCAGGCAGCGTCATCCTGCCGTATTTCCTCAAGAACGACAGACCTGGCAACTTCATCAACATCTCCTCAGCCAGCGCTCTCCGCCCCCGGCCGAAACTGGTGTGGTACGCGGCATCCAAGGGCGCCGTCAGCAACGCAACCAGAGCGCTTGCCATCGAATACGCCCAGAGAAAGATCCGCTTCAACACGGTGAATCCGGGCCCGGCCATTACAGGCTTGTACGTTTTTACCTCCATGGAACACTTTTTTGATCGGAACAGATTTCTGACAACAGATCCAGGAAAGACGCCTTTTCCGGAGGGGCGAAAGATCCCGACGCCGCAATGGTTCGGATGGTTGAGGATTCGGTGCCCATGGGCCACCCGGCAGAGACGATAGACATTGCAAATGCTTGTCTGTTTCTCGCCAGTGAAGAATCCGCATTCGTCACGGGCATTGAGCTTCCGGTATGTTCAATCTCGCTGACTGTCTTGCGAACTACGCTAACACACTCTTCTCAAAAGGTTGATGGTGGCCGTTGTGCATAGATAGTGAAAATAGTATAACCCTGGACATCAATCCACAATCTTCAGGAATGTCACCATGTACAGAATCTCCCAATGTGACTCTCTCGGTCAATTGAGTTAGCTATTGACCCATCCATCGTTCATAATTTGAAAACCTTCTTCAAGACCTCCAGCACTACCGCGTTGTACTGTTTCCCGGAATCAAGAATCGCTTTGGCAAATGTCTCAGCGTCACTCAACGTGAGCAGTAGTCGGGTTAGAAACTCACCATCGAGTTGCATAAACGTGTGCGGTGCGCCCTTGAACCTGATGATTTGAACCTCACACCCCGCCTCCCTCATCCTGGCCGCGTACGCCTCTCCTTGGTCTCTGAGAACGTCCATCTCGGCAGTGAGCACCAACGCGGGCGCCAGCCCTTTCAGGTTCGGAGCGTGGATTGGCGACACCTTCCAGTCCCTCGCGAGGTGCCGAGGTCGCGGGGAACCCAGGAAGTGCCGGTGAAACCACTCCATCCGTTCGAGCGGGAGGGGCTGTGTCTCCGCCAGGTCTGTGTAGGACGGGTACGGCTGGTCCTCGCGGAGGGAGCCATGTGGCGAGAAGACGTCGAGGTCGACGATGGGGACGGTCAGAATCTGCAGGGCCAGAGGAATGCCTTGGTCGCGGCAGACTTGGGCGACCACTGCACAGAGGTGGCCGCCGGCGGAGCATCCGCCGACTACCACGCGAGAGAGGTCGAGGTTGTATGTTTCTTTCAGGGTGTTTCGGATCTATAGGAACATTGTCAGTGTGAGCTTTGTAAAGAGATGGGAAAAGAAGAACAGATAGACCGACCCAATGCACAGCGGCGATACAGTCGTCCACTGGGATGGGATACTTGTATTCCGGAGAGAGGCGATAGTCGACGTCGAAGATGACGCAATCCAAGCTCCGGACGATCCTCTTGCACAGATCAAAGTCGACAGACAACCCTCCAAAAACCCACCCACCGCCGTGAAAGTTGATATACACGGGCCGAGGTCCTTGTCGTGTGGTGGAGGACCTGCTGTCGGACTCATAGACTCGCACCGTGATCTCGCCCTGCTCGACCGGACACCTGAGATCAGCGAATTTGACGCCCGTCCCGGGGACGAGCTCGCGTCCGTACGAGATGGTGTATTTCTCCGGATGGGCACGGTACTCTGCTATCGGGACCTGATGCGTGGCGAGGCGGCCCGCGCTGTATTTCTGGTAGTATTCGACGAAGACGGGGTCGAGTCTGGGGATCAAGTGAGGCGGAATACTATTGAGGAGGGGCTTTTCGATGATAACGTGGTTAGGGATGTCGAGGTCTTGCGAGGATGACATTGTGGGAAATCTGGGCTTGGTCTCTTTTTGATTGAAACGGTGGGAAGAAGATATTTTACCGGCCTGAAATGTTCCTTAGTCCGTCAGTTTATATACTACTGCAGAGGACAAACGCAATAGGACCGGAGTGGAACAACGACTCGAGTGGATGCCGACAATTACCGAATATGACTAGATTTGCCCGTCCGACGCAGCCACAGTGGAGTATATCACCAGTCGCCAGGAACGTCAACATGCTTCTCTCACTACTGAAACGTTCGATTGCTCGCCTAGGACGATGGAACAAACAAACTTCTACCAGAGATATCATTCCCTGACGCACTTGAACCAGTGCTGCACCACTAGAAATGCCAGTTGTATTTATGTATCCTCGACCGCGGACACCTACTCATGCCTTTTATGGACACGGTCAGGGCATTTTCACTCCATACACTCTCAACTCGAAAGAGAAGGGCAACTATAGATAGAGACCATAGCACGCAGAGTCGGGTACATCCTCCCAGTCTCTCACTCCGTTCAAAATCATGCTACCTACTTGGCCGGCGTCAAGGAATCCAAAAACGACCAGCGACTCTGTTCCGCCCACCCTTTGGCCTTCCAGTCATTTGCTTTCTGGGGGAAAAAGTCAATCACACCCAGCAAGCTCTCGTCGTGAGCGAACACGGTGAAGATGTTCTCGTGGCCGTCAAAGACGAACGCCTCGTTGACCGTCTTCTGCGCCAGCTTGGGATCCTCGTCAATATGCCCGTCTTCAGGGATCAGACAGAATGGACTTTCTCTGGCGGCTCCTTTTCCTGGACCTCCGTTCGAAAGTCGATGGAGATCGGAATATACCTTGGTGCTTTTCTCACCTCTTGCCGCGCTCCCTGGCACCTTCTCGGGTAGAGGGAGGTACTGGGTGGGTCTCAGAAGCGAGCTATGGTGAATGAGATCACCACCAAGGAAGATGAAGGTATCATCGTCCTGTCCAACCGTGGTCCGAGCGAGGCCGCTGATATGGCTACCCGTGTGGCCCGGGGTGCTCAGCAGATAAAAGCTGCCGTCTCGGAACCAGTCATAGGCAGAATACGGGCCAATCTGGAGAACCTGGCTTCCCTGTTGGAAGTCCAGTTCCACGATTTCCTTGCCCACATAGATGTCTGAAGTCGTCTCGCTGGCATCTGCGTCTGTCGGCCAACCTGGAAGATACTTATCCTTGTAGCCAGGACCAACCACAATCTTGGTGGAGGCAGGAAAGAGGGTCGGGTCTCCTGTATGATCCCAGTGATGATGGCTGTATATGATGGCGTTGATCTGGGAGGGCTGAATCCCGCCGTCGGCGATGATATTTCCCACGTCCCGCTTGACATCGACTTCCAGATTGAGCGGCGCGAGGCCGTTGAGGAGGTGAGGACTCAGGTGCGACGCCCAGTTCGTTCGTAGTCCGAGATCATAGAGCAAGCGCTGCCCAGTGGGTTTGTGGTGTATGAGGATGCTGAAATCTGGTATCGCAATAGTTTTCAACCCGGGATATATAGGATTGAAAAAGATCTTGCCGGGTACATTTCGTATATATGTCGTCGTATCAATCACAGATACCTCTACCGCGACTGTTGATTTGGGGAAGTTCAGTTTCCCGGCGGTCGAAGCCATTGTTTATTTCTCAAGTCTGGTTCTGAGCAAGAGGTTTGAGCCTGATAATTTTGTGGAATACGTCCTGGTCTCAATCGCGCAGCGCTTTTCACACATCGGTGACGAGATTCCAATACATACCATGCCCGCACATCCCCTTGGATGCTGCCCCAGCCGAGGCTGGAGCACGGCGACTTGCATCTTGAACTGTAGATCACCCCAGAATGTCAATACCCCGCGGGAACCTCTATTCACATGTGATCGCCGCTAAGTTCGCCGCGTCTGTACGCTGTGGGACTGACCTCCTGGTCGCCACGCCGCGGCGCGCCGCGGAATCCGCGGAAAATCAACCAATTATGCTGCAAGGGCGATCAAGTGGATCTGTCTCAAGGGACGACCGACCCTCTTGTGCAGCATCCCCCATAACCCCATATTCGCTCTCCTCGCGGCGTTCCAAAGTCCCGCGGATGCAAGTGTCTATGCTCGGTACGCACCGGTAGGTCTGGGTTCTTGGCCATGTCACATCTCTACAGGCCAGCCGCTGGTACACATTATAGAGCATGGATAGGACGCTCATTTCCAGCGTTCGAATCACACCAAGGAATGTCCGAGATTTGACATTGTCCAATGGCTTCCAGCGACATCAACGGTGGTCCGCCAGTGACTTCCGCAAAGATCAATGGCGTTGTGCCAGTAGCTTCAGACGCCCCAGCCTCCCGCCGTGGTAAGCCTCTCCCGAGCTCATGGGTTCCTCTGTACGCAGAGCCACTCCGGACAGCTACGCGGAAAGTGAGAATGGTGGTGGTGGGAGCCGGCTTTGCAGGTCTATCTCTCGCATACAAGATTTACCACGAATACAAACTCGAATCCATCATCGAGCTCGTCATCTACGAAGCAAATCACGATCTTGGTGGCACCTGGTTGGTGAATCGTTATCCTGGAGTGGCCAGGTCAGTTACAAATCCCTTCTACTTCTCCCGACTTAACACTGACGACAGTCCACACAGTGACATTCCTGCCCACATCTATACGTGTAGGTCCAGATACCCGTCAGCGCAAGAATTTTGCAAACCATTGACCAATTCTCACAGTTCCCTTTGAGCCGAATCCCGAGTGGAGTGCATATTATGCGACTGGGCCAGAAATTTGGGATTATATGAAGAGAACGGCCAAGAAATATGACCTGGAGAAGGACGTCCATTACAACCACAGACTGACTGATGCACATTTCGATGAGCAGCTAGGTCAGTGGAACATAAAAGTCCAGAATGGGGACACGGTGATTGAAGACAAGTGCGACATCCTGGTGTCCGCCAGTGGCCACCTGAGTCGCTGGCGTTGGCCTTCTATCCCGGGGCTGTCTTCGTTCAAAGGGTTTCTCGTCCACTCCGCTCAATGGGACCACGACTTCAACTACGCTGGAAAGCGCGTGGCCATCATCGGAAACGGCAGTTCTGCAATCCAAATCCTCCCTCAGGTTGCCAAAGTGGCCAGCCACGTCACCAACTTCATCCGAGGCCCGACCTGGATCATCCCGGGTCTGGGAAACAAGATGATCGGCGGAAAGGAAAACCACGTCTACACCGAAGAAGAGAAAGAAAACTTCCGCAACAACCCTGAGGCTTTGAAGGCCTATCGAAAACAGATTCAACACGGCTCCAACCAACTCTTCTCGGTGGTAAGCCTCCCCCTCGTGTTTTTCTTCGCTCCAGGCCACTCGACGATAACTGACCAAAAGGTGAAACGAAACAGTTTATCAAAAACTCGGCAGCCCAGGAGAGACTATTTGATGCCGCGAAGAAGCTGATGACGGAACGCCTGGGTGGCAACGAGGAGCTTGCAGAAAAGTTGATCCCGAAATGGGAGGTCGGATGTCGACGGCCGACTCCAGGGCCGGGATACTTGGAGTGCTTCACCAAGGACCACGTATCGCTGGTGATTTCCGACATTAGCGAGATCACCGAGACAGGCATCAAAACGGCTGATGGAAATCTCCATGAGTTCGACGTCATCGTCTGCGCCACGGGCTTCGATGTCAGTCACCGCCCTCCCTATCCGCTGGTCGGGCTTCACGGCACCAATCTGGCCGACAAATGGAAGGACGAGCCCGAAGCCTACCTGAGCGTATGTGTCGAGGGCTTCCCGAACTTCTTCATGTTCAGCGGTCCCAACGCCCCCGTCGGACACGGGTCCCTCATCAGCGCCCTGGGCTGGACCGCCGACTACATCCTGAAATGGGCGCAGAAAATCGCCGAAGAGGACATCAAGTACGTCGACGTCCGAGAGGACGTCTCCGACGAGTTCAACACGTACGCGGACGAGATCCTTCAGACCACGGTCTGGACGGGCGGGTGCAGGAGCTGGTTCAAGAACCACACCGTCGACGGCAAGGTCGTCGCCGTCTGGGCCGGCAGCGGTCTCGCCTACTACGAAATGCTCGAGAGCCTGCGGCCGGAGGATTTCAACATCAAGTACAGAAGTCGCAATCGGTTCCGCTTCATGGGCAACGGGACGACCAAGAGAGAGGGGAGGCCGGATGAAGATCTCGCGTGGTACTTGAAGAAGTGAAGGGCCAGGCTCTCTTGATGATTTGGGTGCCGTGGATCATTTTGGCCGCGGAGGAAGAGAGAGAGAGACACATGTGAACATAGGCTTAAATAGAGGTTTGGGAATACTAGAGTCACATTCTACCGATATCGAAGTAGTCGGAGCGTGCTCGTGAATGTAGGCAGGCTTCCACCATGACAACCTCGCCTGCTTTTCTACTTGGTAAATTGACTTGTATTCCGTACTAGCCGTCTTTTGGTATGATCTCCACTTAAAGCGGAGCTCGTACTTCCAATGAGTATCGATACCGTATAAGCGAGCTGCACGTGAACCCCTACTGCTGTGGGCTACCGGAGTGCCTCAAGGCCACAAGGATCCCGTGTCCCGAACAATAATGAGGGAAGTGTGGGTCTGAATCACGATCAAGCAGGCTAAGAATAAAGACCGGGTCTGCCTAGTTAGTGTAGTGATAGGTCGCCGTACTTGGTAGGTGCCGAGGCTCACTCACTGCGATAAGTCCTGTCCCTGCGGGGCGCACGAACTGGGAAAATTGGGGGGGAAAGAGCTAGCTGGCTGGGGTCCCCAGAGCCCAAAGCCCTGCCTGTTTTGTTGTGGTCGGCTATAAATCTCACAGAACCCCTGCCGTTATCGCAAATAGACACGAAATCTTTTTATTTGGCTTAGCTGGCAGCAAACATCTTCGAGTTCCTGCCTCGGCCGCAGCATAAACCGGCCAAATTATAGGTGGACTTTTAGTTCGTGTTTTCGGAAAAGAACCTCCAACTTCTCTGGTCAGACAACATGGCTTCGATGATGGATAGTGCGGCGCCGTTTGAGGAGTGGCCACAAACCGAGCAGTCGCTGGCTCCTCGAAAGCTGTATCCGGGAGCGATGAGGCGTCGTCGAGCAGATCAGCGAGCCTGCGATAGTTGTCGATACCGGAAGATCAAGGTCAGCATTCCCAGGCCTAATCTCTCACTTGCGGATGCGGCGACCAGAAGTCTTTCGTATCATGTTAACATCCGCGATAGTGTGATGTCCGGGATAGACGTCCTTGCTCAGGCTGTATCTCGGCTTCGATTATCTGCGAGACCAGCGGCAATGCACCCTCTGCCGGGGGCGCGGACCAGAAGAGGTGCGGAACGACACCCTTTCCCCCTTTGTTGAGTGAACAAGCAGCATTGTCGCTAACGTGGTCGACTTGTGCAGACTACAACAATTAGAAGACCAGATTGTGAGACTGACCGAAAAGCTCGCAGCCACCGAAGACCGGGTCAAGTCTCTCTCGGAAGGTCAAGAGCGAACGCAGGCCTGTCTCTCTCGATTTGTCGATTGCTCCGACGACTGCAGGGCCTCCCAAGGCAGCGCCAGTTTCTCTGGAGTGGGTTACGCCAGCAACATGGCCGGAGGACTGAATCCCAGGCGAAGCAACGAACTCGCACCTTCGAGACATTTCAGTCTCGCTCCGCCCTTGAGCCTGAGCACCAGTCCTCCGACACAACTGCATCATTCCGACGGAGAACCCCACAACTCTCAGTTCTTCGGTCCCACCTCTGGAGTTGTATTCGCTTCGGCGATCAAAGACTTCATTCAGCGTCAGGGTGGTCCAGGCCACGTTTCGTCCTCTCCAATTTTTCAAACTTCGCTACACTCGTCAGACACCAGGGTGCCATCGTCAGATTGGGAGATGTCGAAAGCGACACCTCTCTTGACGTTACTTCCCCGGCGGCAACAGGCTCTGCAGCTTCTCGACATTTATCGAGTCCACGTCCAGGAATACACACCCGTGCTGCCTTGGCCCAGCGTTCTCGACAAGTTTGCACGGCTGTACGACCGGCCCGTGCGGTCAGGTTGCAAATCCGACTTCATCAAAGACTTTGTCCTCCTCAACGCCGTCTGGAGCATTGGGTCACAGTTGACAGAGGAGAGCGAGGCCGTACAAGAGAGCGACAAGAACGAGGTGAGGAGTGGGTGGAGATTCTTCTCGCTCGCCCGCGACCATTACGACCTCGCGGCGCCCAAGTACGATCTCGACGACGCGGCCATTTGTCTGCTGATGAGCATCTACCTCCAGGGCGCGTCCCTTCTCAACACCTGCTGGGTCTATGTCGGGCTTACCGCACGCATCATACAGGACCTAGGGTTGCACATTCGCCCCACGAATCAGCTTGTGACCCCCGCCCAGGTGGAGGTTAGGAATCGGTTGTTCTGGGGCACGTACCTGGTGGATCGGAAGATTGCCCTGACTCTGGGTCGAACGGTCGCTCTTCTCGACGAAGAATGTTCCGTCGATCTCCCGCGAGATGTCGACCCGGCTACATTCGGGGGCTCCGACTCGACCGAGATCCTCCGGGTCAGTGTCCAGACGTGTTCCAAGCTGCGCGACATCATCAACTTCACCCCGTCACCCAACCACCAAGAACGAGACATGACGTTTCTCTTCGAGATGGACAGCGCGCTGAGTCAATACTGGGAGGATTACCCGTTGCGAATGAAGGACTTTTCCCAGCCCGACGCCTACGAGCCGTCGTGTCTCAAGGTCCTCTGCATCCTAATGCAAGCCCGGCTGACCACGATGAGGCACTTCACCGACACGTCGCTCAACAAAGACTTTCGGAAGTGGTGTTTCACGCGATCCGTCCAGATCGCGTTGGTGACGCTGCAGACCGTCAACACGCTGTCCCGCACCAACGACTGGGAGCGGAAGACGGCCTTGTTCTGCAGCGGCGTCGTCTACGGCCACATCTTCCGTGCCGCCCTGGTCCTCGCCCTGGCCGGCAGCAAGTTCGCCGAGGACCTGGACACTCCGGCCGAGAGACACCGCTTCTCGACCCTGTGGGAGTTTCTACGCGCGGCCTCGTCGCGGCGCACCTCCGTCCTCAAATACCTGCAGCTTTTGGAGGTGCTGGCGAAAGCCCTGGGTACGCCGTTGGGTGAAGACGGCCTGAGCCGGACGACGCCGGCGCCCGCTTCGCAGGTCAATAGTGATCAGCAATCACTGCTGGGAGGACCGCGAGTTGGCGGCCCCGTGGGGATGCCACCAACTATGCACGATCTCACCAACAGCAACAGCCGTCTTCAAAGCCGGACAGAGTATTCAGGCCAGGAAACTGGAATGCCCATGGGCCGCTCAACCAGGACGCTATTCCCCCCGAATGATTTGCGGACGGGATACAACCCGCTACCAGAGATGCCAGAAGCACCCAGCTCGGCAGAGGATTCCGGCTTGGGCACCAACAGTGCGCCCCAGACCGTCGACTTTGACTGGGAGCTCTTCGACCAGATCATGGACTGTGACTCGTCGGCATTCCCGACGTTTCCACTCGGTCTGGACATGGACGGATTCGACATGTGAGCCGGGGGATTCCAGAGCGGGTTAGTGTGAGTAGAATTGCTAAGGTAGAGAAGCTTCTCTCCTCCGTCGTCTGTGTAGATATGGCAATATGGGACACGAAGTTTCACGCTCTAGTACGCCGTGAAGAGGAAGTCGAGAGCGTCGGCCGGTCGTCTGAGTTCATATTGCTGCCGAAATCGATTCATCTTTGCGAATTCATAATAAATAATCGCCTCTCACACGAGGTACTTGATTTCACCAACCAGGAATCTGACGTAACCAAATATCACGGGCATGAAAGCTCCCTTGTATTTTTTCAGGTCTGTCTCCATGGAGCGAGTGGCAGGACACGCACGATGTGCACAGACTGACAAACATCTCGAATATGTATTCTAGCGAAGGTGCAAAAAGACGATGGCTGCTTTACGGACGGTAGAAGTACTAAGGAAATGCCCCGGTAGAAGAGTCGCTTGCGTGTAACCCCCAAGTGCATTGTGTATGAGTTACAGAACCTTCCAAGGTATCTGCCAGGTAGATGATGAGCAAGCGCGCTTGTCACTAGGGCTAGGGCAAGCAAGGCAGCAAATCCTCCACCAGGAGCTTTTGTGTTGGGGAAGAGTGAGTGAATGAGTGACTGACTGACTGACTGACTGACTGGGCCGGTTCGGGTTCTTTAGATAGTGCCTTTAGATGGGTGTTTTAGACAGTGCTTTCTTGATATCGAACAGGCAGGTCAGCGAATTGAGGTTGTACCACCAATTTGATTTCGGTCGCCTTTCACCGTCACTCGTGTATATCAATATCAACATCAAATCATACTGGTAATCACTCCGTAGCAGAAAAAATCTCGCTCAGATAAGACAGATAGATTTCAGGGGAATTAACTGCCACCTGCGTCGCCTGTGCCGCCTCCGCCACTACCACTACCACCACCAACATTCCCGTTGCCACCACCATAGTTGTTCCCGAAGAAAAAGCCGTCAAACAGATCATACTGGCCTTGCCCATCGCTCCAGTCATGTTGGAAATCCAATCCGGTCATGCCGAAGCCCAGATCCAACCCACCGCCCACGTCCAGGTTGAGATCTCCGTCGCCGCCTCCTGTGATGGCGTTGCTCAGAAAGTCCATACCCGGCAAGCCGGACATAAAATCGGGGTTGTACGTATTTTGCATGTAGAATGGCTGCTGGTCCTGCTGTTGCTGGTGCCGCGTTTGCGTCGGCTGTGGGGTGGCAGATTGGCTGTTGAACAGTAACGGGTTGTTGGAAGTACCCATGCCGAAACCGTTGTTGATCTGTGAATTGATGCTGGACGCCGGGGACATTTGCTGCTGCCGAGGAGAATGTTGTGATTGCTGCTGTAGCGGCGGCAATCCCACTGCCATGGACGTCTGCGGCGATCTTTGCTGTTGTTGGAGGTTTTGGAGGGGTTGAGGAAAGGAGAAAGATGGTCTGGTACTCGGTTCGAGGTCGTCAGGGAAGAGCTCGCGGAGATCCATGTCGAATTTGGGCGGCGGTCGTCTAGGCATTGGTTTCGGAGCGATGCGCGGGACAGTCGAGGAGGCTGATGAAGGGTAAGAGTCGATTTGCATTGGCATTGGTTGGGTCTGAGATTGTGCGGCCTGGCTCTGCAGGCTGGATTGACGGGCGAGTGGTTGTCGTGGTTGGTAGTCTCCGTGGGGCTCCAGCGAGAAGCCAAATCCAGGTGTAGACATGCACATTTGGACAGTGGCCTTGCTCATTCGCTCAAAAGCGTCGCGACAGGCTTCTGCTGGTGGGCATTTCTCCATGAGATCGCTGAGGACAGACGTCGCAGCGAGGACTGTAAAGTCGAAATCATCGAGAGTCTAAGGAGGCATTTAGCGGAGCAACGTGAGCAGAGGAGTGGAGGGTTTCTTACCAACCGCGCTCTGACAGCCGGAGAATGCCAAACAGCGTACAAGAAGGAGATGCCGGCCATGAATAGGTGATGAGTGGCAAGATACGTGTAATTGACCAGGCGCTGTCGGTGAAGCTGTCTGTAAAGTTTCAACGTCTTCTGGCCAGCTTCAGCACATTTCAAAAACACCAGATCTTCGTCCTCCTTCTCTTCTAGCCTTAGACTTGACGGGCTGGACACATCCTCGGTCGGGCTAAACTCGTTCGCCAAGGGTGCCGGGACACTGAGACTCTGCCGGTAGAGCATAATGACGGCTTGCCAGTAATTGAGCTCCAAGAACTGTACTGAGAAACTGACTCCAGTGTCCGATGGTTCCGGCGCCGATTCTTTCCATTCATATAGTCGCTGATCAATATCTCGTCGCCACGAACGGAATGAGTCGAACTTGATTAGGAAAGGTGATGGGAGCTTGGTGTGCATGAACTGATTGCGGCGATTGGTGCCGGTCAGACGAGCTTGTTGGGCTTGCTGATGTTGGAGCACTTGCAGAATCTCGGATTGTAGAAGCCTCAAGCGGAAATAGTGATGCGAGACCCATTTGTACGTGGGTTCATCTGGCAGGGCTGGCTGCAAAAATCCAGCTCTTGTGATGTACTTGTCGTCGAGCAGGGAGGGGAACTCGGTGGTTACGACTTGATCTGTAATCCCAAACGGTCTTCCCACACAAGTACTGACCAGGCGGTCGAAGGTATAAGTGCACCACCAAAGTCGCCTGCGAAGATCACGAATCCATTCTCGTCGTCCCTTTTCCTTCGCGTCGACTGGTCCCAGTGGTTTTGAATCCATCGAGGGCCGCGGACCCTGGTGGTCGTCGATGTTGTCTGCGATACCGGTACCATCTTCGTAGTGCAGGCCGAGATCGACGGCCAGCCTCATTGCAACGCCTACAATATACCAGAGACCTGGCGCCACAGGTCGAAGCAAGGCAAAACTGCAGAGCAACAACACAGCCTGGAGCTCCTCTAAATCACCATTGGGACGCTCAGCCGCTTCCAGGGATGAACTCGCAGCCAAAAATGACCCAAGATTGACGATGGCCGAAGCGTGGTATTCCTCGGGTTGAGCTTGTTGCATGGCCAGTCTGACCCGTTTGTGAGCATAGTCCCCTTGTTGGGAGTTCGGCTGGGGGTCAGAAGAGCCCCAGATAATGCCTGCACCAATTGCAAACACGATATTGAGCAAGTATAGTTCGCGACTGCTGCGTTTCGAAGGATCAATCGAATAGGTACGATCAAACAAATCCATGAATTCACCTCGATGGAGGATTGGGATCTGGGGATTGGCGTGCTCAAAATACAGATGGACCAGCTTCTCGCCTAAAGGACGATCTGGAAATGGAGCTTCCTTAATGGTGGGCTTGGTTTGGAGGCCGAAGTAAGAGTCTCGCATGGAGCTACCTCCCGACGCGGCCATATTGGGCAACGGACGACTCGGTCGGACACCAGCTCGCTCAGAATTGTTGCAAGACACCGAGCTCTTTACAGCAGCCAGTACGACGCGAGCAAACGATATCCCAGATGTAGACCCAAGATATCGTGCATCGGAAGCCCCTTGCACAGAAACCATGCCGATGTTGGACACCAGCTTGTTGAGCTTATCGGCATCCTCTTGCTTCTTGTCCCAGTCTTCGTTTTTGATGGGTCGTGGCGAGCCATTACTAGGGGATTGTGGCCCTATCCAAGAACTCTTTGCGCTCGCAGGTGACTGGACGGGATCACCCAGCTCCTTGGACTCGGCATTGTAGACCTCGCCAGCATTGTAAGGGATCCCATGCGTCTTGAGCTGCTGCTCGAAATATGCCAGCCGCGTCTCGAGATAGTAGACATAACTTCGGGGAATCTCCCTCTTGGTAATGGGATCGTAGCCTACGCAGCGAACATTGGCCTTTTCGCACGTGGAACACGCAGGGAGACGTTGGTCGCAACGGTTCTTCCTGATCCGACAGCGATTGCAGGCCGAGACATTCCTGAAGGCCGAAGTGGCCGACGCCGCGGAGAGGGGAGGAGGGGAATTCGTTGAAGCGGCCGCCGCACCATCCTGTGGTAGTTGGTGGAGGGGTTCGTCAGCGGGAAACGCTCGCTTGTGACCGGCGCTCTGAGGAGAGGAGGCGGAAGAGGGCATGTCATGTATCGGAGAGGGACACTGACATCTTCTGCCAGTAGTTCTCGAAAAAGCGCACTATCCCTCAGTGCTACGGAGACAGCATGCGAAGTAGACTCGAGCAGCACAGGTCAGCCTCGCGCGTCGTGTGAATGGCCATGGCGGAGCCTGTTTTTTGGCCTGGGGAGTAGAAACAAGTTCTCGCATATCGCAGAGGATCTCAGTGGCTGGTTGGAGAAAGGCCCTGGCGAACTTCAAGCACAGCGGGCAAATGACGACCAAGGCTTGCTTATCTCGAGATGGTATCTCAGCAAATCACGTCTCTACATTGTCCACGGCGGGGCAGATAAAACTGCCGCGGTTACATTCGCGAATCGCTAATCTGAATTTGGGATCCTTTGACAAGTACGCCAGGTACCGAGTACGAGGTTCACAGAAACTACCTACTTAGGCACCATTGCCATCACGACGATGACGGATTTGATTTTATGAGTACCGCATGCATTGACCAAGACCTTCCCTCTGGCCCAGTGTCCGTCAGATGCCCTGCGAAAGAGAAGAGTGAGTGATTGACAACCATCGATGAAAGGGCTCGGTGGGCTATGAAAAGATCACTAGATCACTAGGGAAGAGACCCTACAAGGCTGATTCGACGGAATGTGCCCTCGCCATCATTTCACGGGACACGGGTTGCTAGTCAACGACACAATCTCACCATCGTGTCCGCGCTTCTGACCAAACAAGGGTTTGCCCTAAGAAGACCAAGATAAAACACATGCATTTCCGAAACTTGAGCGACAATCTCTGGGGTTCAACAAGCAAGCATACGATGGACCCGTGGCAAGAAAGACCATACTGCGCGGGTGTGCTTTACTTTCCCTGTTGAAGTAGACTCCTATGACAAGAAAGCGATGGACGCCTATGGCAAGACTGGTCTACCTACCGTATGTCAAAGGGTGTGTTATTGAGAAGCTTGGAATACCGAAGTTACGCGGTGATCTTTCTCTGCCATTGTCTGAATCATTCTCGGGACTGTCAATGTGTACGTGTCGAGCAGTGATCTGCAAAGTGACTCTTCCGTCAGAGAAGCATGTCAATTGTGGCCGTGCACCATATGTCAACTTCTGGGTTGTTTGAACTGATGACAGATCGTGGTGTGGTCGATACACGCATCAATTGTCACTCCAGAATATCGAGGCCCCAATACTTCGAACACTCACCGAGACTAACCGCCTAGCCTCAGCAACGCAGCCTCGATGGCTATCATATCCACCTCAGGTCCATAAACAGCCTTTGTCAAGGTATCGCCTTGCCAGTCGAGGTCTCGACATGAGTGGAAGAGAAGGGATAATTTCCGCAGGTCACCCTCACTGGGCACTTGGCGGATCTAGTTCTCGTCTGGGTGCCATCATCAATCGAAGCATGTCGGTCCCGTGCCAGAGCCACTCCCCAAGCCGTCACTCTGTCCTCTACAACCACGATTCTGGTCTCAGCTTCACCCTGACTCCTCCAGACCTCCACATGTAGGCCGTACTTTTCACTGTCGCGGGGCGCCGGAATGTCTCGGACGTCAGAAGGAATTTTTTGCTTGTCCAATCTGCGACCCCTACTCATGTCCCAAGAGTCAAGGGAGCCCAACTCCATACCTACAAAACAAGGAAAAAGGCCTAAAAGCGAGGCAGGTGACCCATTGACTGCCCGAAAGATCGCCACCAGACGCCCTGCTTACGAAGGGTCAGGGTGTGTCCCCTTCGTTGCACGACCACGATACCTTTCCGCATGGTGGGTCACTGTTTCCCCCACAACGCCACAATATCCAGCTTTTCCGGCAGTGCATGGTCCGGGTGGGTTTTGTCGAAACTGGTCAGAGTTATCGAACTGCGTCGGGGTGAAGCAAGGACGTTGGGCGCAGGCGGATCAACGCAGACCAGGCGATCAACATCCCAGAATTCGGTGTTCCGGGTGTTGTCAGAGTTTGGGTAAGACAAACGAACGGCAAGGGAGTGTGAGAGACCGAATAGGAGCGAGACACATACCATCCACAGCATGCAGACTCACCAGAATGCACGAAACACTCGCAAGACTCCATTATTTCCGACCAAAGTACCTCGGTGGATTCAGCTCATGCGGGATCCAGTGGTCTAGATTTGGGGCATGTCGACCGACGCAGACGTCGTTGTCCATCGGAGACGATGCAACTTAATCTGACCGCTACTTGACTGACTTGTCGGGTCGCTTTGCCTTCCCGGGCGAGCTGCGCATGATTCATTTTCGGTAAGTTTGGACAGGTCTGACTGATTGTCGGAGGTGAGATGACAGGTCACACAAAGGTAATGCATACCTCTCGGCCAGGCCAACCACGGCGATGGGAAGCCGTCCACCCGCTCCCAGACTGGACCTTTGACCGTCCTCGACCAGAACAAGTGATCTTCTCACCGGTTGAGGGGGTTAGTGACCGGCAAGGAATGTGCTGGCACCAGGTGGAGGATGCATTGACTGAGCGGAAAGTAACGGTTGTGGTATTGCCCGACTCTGCAAGGGAGATGTCAGGTGGCGCCTTGGATGTCGGAGATGGGGGTTTCCTGAATGAGGCTCCAAGATGCAAGGCGACGCATGGCACGCAACTCTCTGTGAGGTCCTTTGTGAAACCCGAAAAACACATACGACATTGTGCATGCTCTAGGGCCTCTGCCCACGCTGCTGCAATCTGCAGAACCTGAGGAGCGATTTTTCTCCGACTTCTTCATGTGGGCAGTTGTACTACTCGTACCTCGCCAGCCACGTAGCTGAAGTCGAGCTAGTTTAGCTGCAAACAATTCTTTGTCATGACAAAGCCCTTGTGGTGCTCCTGCAACTAGGTCTTATTTTTCCGGGGCACAGGCATGATGCAGCAAACAGCAGACCCAGTCTTTCTTCCAATGGAACTGGCTCTTTTGGGCGATTGACAGCAGGTCTCTTCACCGAGTGACTGAACAATAGGCACACAAACCTCGCAAAATGGGACAGAAAGGACCACTTGCAGATGATCTGAAGAGACGCATCTGGCTTCTCTGGGAAGAGACATCGTTTGCTATGCACTTCTTCCCTTTAGAACTTGACCAGAGAAGACGTAAAGGCAAAGGCGCAGGTGCCGTGGGGGTTTGCTCGGTGCTCTTGTTGCGGTCATTCTAGCCTATGAATTGTCAGCGAACCGTCACACAGAACGACAATTCTGGTGATTAGTCCATGCAGCAATACTCGTACGATGTCAAGCCCTCGACGAGTAGGATCGGCCTCAAGATTTTCCGCGTTTACCATGGGATGTCGTTGCTGCTCGAAATGGACATTGGACAAAGGAGCCCACTTGAAGCGAGGGGGGGAAAGAGGCCGGGGACACTAAGGGTGGAGTTGGGTGAATGCCTAACACGCTGCCTAAACTGTACAGCCGATCGACCCCCAATCACTGCCGGGGTCGCCGCGTTTAAGCATATGACCGGGACTAACTAACTAGGACGCAACACTTTACTGGTACCTAAGCACCTAAAAGTACCTACGAGTACTGAGCATATGGTACTTGTAGGTACCTAAGTCGGCACAGTTGTTGGCTAATAGGGTCCTTTACTTAGTAAATACTTAGATACCTAAGGTACCCGAAGGGGTGTACCTGGGCGAACTCTGTGCTATTGTTGGCGTCTGAACCACTTCCCCGGAAACTTTTCCACTTACTAGAGATTTGAAACGGCCTTTGGATCATGCTCTTGCCTCATCAATCCTCCGTGCCTACCTCACTCTTGTCACCAACTCCTCCTTCTGGATAAGCTCCAAAGGGCCGCGACGCCCACATCGGCGGTGCTCCCGGTGGCGTCGTTCTGGAAAATGAATCAGGGGCTACCCGCCAAGTCAAACAACGAGCCTTCTCCGGGGCATTGGCGGTTGAACTTCCGCTTGAAACTGGCGAATTTCACTTACAAAGTCAATTGTGTGAAAGGTTTGCTCCCATCACCCGCTATCACCCACTCACCAACCCCTTGCTTCCTTGTAGGTACTCGTAGGAAGTTCTGTGGATTCCTAGGTACCTAGAAGGAACCGCAGGCGCTGGAACTTCTCGCTACCCTTTGCTCCCCGTTCAGCTGCGATAGTAGGCCCCAACTCTATTCCCCTGAAAGGCTGGTGTCCTTCCAACGATACGGTACCGGCTGTTGGATTGTTCGATTCGAAGTTCTAAGCGAGCGACAGAAAGGAGAAGGACTCCCTAGAGCTTCCTTGCCTCCTTGCTGGTGATGCTTCCCGGCTCTCTTGTTTGCTAGTTATCCCTTGTCATCAATGTCCATGTTTCTCCGTTGGGTGTCCGTTATCCATCCCTTTTCATCCTCTCACTTCCACCTCACCTTTTCACTTGCCTTTCACCCGCGCTTGGCTCAGAATCTGCCTTGGGCTGTGCGTCTACCCTAGTCAGCGCAGTCGAATCATTGTTGCAAAAACTCATCACCGGTGAACCTTGTGACCCATGCCTGTCTCTGCTTTACCCGCCCACCTGCATTTTGACATGTCAGACATTTTCCTTTTTCCCACCTTGTCCCCCCCAATCCACTTCCCCTCTTCGTCGTCTACGTAGAGAGTGAAGGGGAACCTGGTCCGCTCATCTTCCGGATCCTTTGGCGGCCCTTGTCTTTCTCCAGGTCTTTTCGTCATACCGTACGAGTAGACAAACTGAGTCATTTTGCAATTCCCCGCCTGCTGCAAGGGTACCGTCTGCTGCCTGTTGGCCGTCACCCAAAAAAACACCCCTTCCTGTGCAGGATTAGTCGGTCAGCCAGTAAATAGCCAGCAGATTGCAACAGATTGCCACCAGAACCGAGTAAAGGATCATCGTCATCATGGAACTCGGGTACAAGTACAGCAGGGTGGGGCAACATCGAGCGCAGTCACACACCCTGCCAACTCGAAATGCTTTGATCGGGAAACCGAGGCGACGCCCACTACTACGAAGTACTACCCGTCCTCGTACGACTGTCACTCGCCAACTCCTGAAATCTGACCCTGGTCAATGACACGTCCAGCTCTCTGCGCTTCACTCTAAACCCCACGGCCGCCCTTTTTGATCGCCAATCACCGCCTCAGCACTCCCTGACAGCTCTCCCTCTCCCGTACAGGCCCAAACTGAATCAATTTACCCACGAATCCGTCGGGCATGACCGCCTTTTTCACCGCCTTCTCTATCCCACGTCGCCGAAGGTTCGATTGGTGAGAAAACAAGAAAATTCGATGATTACAACTTCAAAATCCAGTATAATGTCAAAACTTGGGTCAGGCCCGTGCGGCGCGCTGGTCACGAGATGCATGGAAACGAGGAGGATGACATGCTGCTGATGCAGCAGCAGTTGGTGGGCGGCGCCTCCTTGTCACATAACTCGGTACAGGGCACTGGGCACTGAAGAGGATTCCTAGCCTGCTTGTTCGCCACTGGACCAGCGAACAAGCAAAAGCTTCTGGGGGCAGTCTAGCGGCACGCCCAATGCTAGCCGAGTGGTGGAACGGCCAGCGCTAGAGGTAATATACTCTTCGGTAAGAATGCTCCCCGGCCTGCGGAAGACCAGGATTGTTGTTCCTAGCACTGTTCAGCTTGGTCCACTCGAGCTCTGGTCAGGGGTAAATTCCACTCTGGCAGACTGAGGCCCATGCATATCGATCCTCCGAATCACAAGGCCCCAAAGGTACCGTTGTCGCGGTTCCTGGCCTCATGCGCTTTTATTTCTACTGGCCCTTGTACATGATGCCGAAATTTTTGCTGGATCAACACCCGATTCCGCCGTCTTAATTGGCTGGCAAGCTGACCTTGTACGAGTATCAACCCGGGTTGTTGCTACTAACCCCCCCTGTCCATTCCGCCAGCTTGTTTTTTCTTTCTTTTTCACCTTCCTTTTCCCTTTTTTGATACGACCTGATGTTTGCTGAGTCCTTTCGTCACCCAAGTCTCCTTGTCATGACGCTTCAACTGGTATCCACACCGCTACCGTCGCATGGCAGCCCTGAAACCCACTTTCTGGGGCCCAAACGGCAGAGAAAAGCCAAAGTGTACAAGGGGAGCGGCTTCTGGCCTTCTTTCTCCATTTTTTTCAACATCCCGGCACCTCGACTCCATTCGGTGCCCACCTGGCCAGGGATCTAACAACATCCCACCTGGGGCACAAGTTGCACCCTTCCCCGAGTATCACGCACCACTTCCCGGCCCTTCCTGACTTTCAACCCGAGTTGCCCAACTCTCGCTCGAAGCGTCCGATTTGAAGAAGCATCATCTGGCACCCCCGTCCCGTGCGGGCATTTATTTCGGGTGACTGCAAACTGGTCTGACGGCATCTACGGCTCAGGCTCTAGCGCTGTGACTGGAGCTGCCCAACACCGCCTTCTGTGGACAACCGGGCGCGGATGTCAGAGGCTTTTGCCCTGATTGCCTTTTTTTTCTCTTTCCGCCCTCCCTCGCCCGTGTAACCATGGCTGTATTTGGACCACTGACTGTGCGCAAAATGTCTCCATCGCAAGGTTCTGCTCGCTGCCGCGTTCTGTGCTATCCCAACTGCTCCGCAGTCCACCGCCTCTTCCACGCGGCGGCGGATGCACCATTCCGCCAGAAAAGAAAGATGAGAGTGCCCCGCCCGCCCTGTCTATCGTTTCTCGATCCTTTGTCTCCTGGAAATTTCCTTTCCCTTATTATGACCGCCCGCCTCGCGCCGTTGTGCTAAATGACCCTCCTCTTTGCTCACCTCCCTTCCCGTTCTCACACGACGAGTCCTTGTCATCCTCGGTGACGATGTCGAACCCCTTCACCAAGCTGTTCCCACGTGAACTCTGGCGGAAATACTTTGACAGTGGTTTTCCGTATAAACAGTTGTTCATTCTGTGTACGTCATCTCGCAGGCTCTCCCAAATTGGCAAGCTGTCGCGAATCACTAACACATCCAACAGCAATATGTCGCCTATGCGAACCAATCGCCTTCATGTCAATATTCCCCTATGCATACCGCATGATTGAATCGTTCAACATCACCCAAGACGAATCACAAATATCGGTATACGCAGGAATGCTCATTACAGCCTTTGCCTTTGCCGAATTTTCCTCTGGTCTGGTTTGGGGCCAAGTTAGCGACCATGTTGGGCGCAAGCCTGTCCTGATTATGGGACTTGCCGGGACGGCCTTGAGCATGATATGCTTTGGATTTGCGCCGAATCTACCTTGTGCCATTCTCGCCAGAGCGGTCGGCGGACTCTTGAACGGCAACGTGGGGGTGCTTCAGACCACGGTGGCAGAGCTGGTTACGAAAAAGGAGCACCAGCCTCGTGCGTATTCCATCATGCCCGTGGTCTGGAGTATTGGTTCCATCATTGGCCCCTCGATAGGTGGAACCTTGGCCCAACCCTGTGAAACCCTTGGGTTTCGCCGCGGCGGCTTGTTCGACAAGTTCCCATTTTTGTTGCCCAATCTCGTCTGTGTCGCAGTGCTCCTCTGTGGCATTACCGTTGGAATTCTTTTTCTCGAAGAAACACATACCGAGAAAAAGGGTTGTCGTGACGCCTGCCATGCGCTGGTCAAGGTGATTCTCCAACGGCTCGGGCTGGAAAGTCTTTTGTCGCGACTCGGTAAGAATCGTTCTGCCTCAGGAAACCCAGCGGACTCGTTCGACCTTCGCGATCCGCCTCCGGGATACCGGAGTACGGAAAACTCGCCGCTTCTGCGCTCAGCCTCCACCAAAGAGCTGGACTTGGAGATGCTGCGGGAGAAAGAAGTGCGCAGCCTCGCCAACCCCTTTAACAGGCAGGTGAAACTAATCATCTTCTCATACGCGATTCTTGCATAGTATGTGCCATGTTCTTTCCTTCCCACCTGGCCCCTGGCTGCAACTGACATGTTCTTTGTAGCCATAGCGTTTCGTTCGACGCCTTGATGCCCACCTTTCTTGCCGAAGAGCCCATGCAGACGAAGCCTGTCCTTCCCTTCCTGTTCTCTGGAGGCTTCGGCATGAGCGCCAAATCTATCGGCACCATGCTAGCAGTCCAAGGCGCCTACTCAATCATGGCGCAATTCTGGATCTTCCCCTACATGGTCCGACGCATTGGCGTGCTCTCTGTGACCCGGCTTACCTTGACCAGTTGGCCTCTGCTGTACTTCGCTGTGCCATATCTGGTGCTTGTCCCAGAACCATATCAGAAGGTCGCCATCTACACCGCCCTTCTGTCCAAAATGACCTTTCAAGCAATGTCATTTCCTTCGAATGCAATTCTTCTCGCCAATGCTGTCCACTCCAAGAAAGTGCTCGGACGGGTCAATGGCACTGCTGCATCGATGGCATGCTTGGCACGTGCCTGTGGGCCCGTTGTTACGGGCTTGGTTCATACAGCTGGACTGAAACTTGGCTGCGGCGGTCTGGCGTGGTGGGCTTGCGGACTGGTCTGTGCCGCAGGTGCCCTGGAATGCTACTGGGTGGAAGACCCCGACGAAAACCCGGATCGTCTGGCGAGCGAAGGAGAAGAATGCACCTGCGAGCCGTTGATGCATCCCTCGGTCGTCGAGGGAAGTGAAGAATGCCTCTCGCCTCGCATTGAGCGACTGGCCTTTATCGAGGACCTGGATCTTACCGAGAGCAGCCCGGAGAAGTCATGAGCCCGGTCCCCTAGCTCTCACCAACAGCAGGACTGGTTTGGGACATTCTACTTTCTCCACGGTTGGACATTCGACATCTACGTCGCCTCTTCAACACACTTTCGGCCGTTCCTTACTGAGGATGGAGTTCTACATCTGCAGGCTGAGCGACTGCCGGTGCATTCTTGTACCACGCGTGCGAAATTTTCTTTCTCAACTGATGACCCCAAATTTTACGGAAACAAAAAGACTGGATTCCAATACGGCGCGAGCCGCGATACCATAACACGAAATCAATTAGAAGGTGCTGGATGGCGAAGGATTCGATGGGTATTATTGGCAAGGGATTTTTTTTGGGACGGCGCGTTTGTTTTCCACCTTTTTGCACCTTGTCTGCGACCTATGCGACGCACTGGATTTTGTTGAATTGCTATTTTTGTGTACTTTTTCATTTTTCATCATTTTACGAAAAAAAATATTGGGAGGTCTTTTGTCCAAGATACCTTGCAGGTTTGCGCCTGGCAACTTGAAATGTTTGTTTTTATCGTTTGGGAGGTGTTGCGAAGTGGTCTGGTGGCGGTGTCCACAATCTGTATGTAACTATAACCTGTACGTTAAGAGGAAGGAATCACAACCGAGTGAGTCGTATGGCGACCATCGAATGATATGAAGAGGTCGGGGGATCTAGATTTCGGTGTTTTTGTGGGTGGTTCTTTTCTAGCGGTCGTATATGAGATACAGTTGGGTATGATTGCTCCACCATCTTCTGACTTGAGATGATTGCTGAAGCAATTGTTATTGAGCCTCATCAGTCTCACCTCCCTCTACCTCTTTGTAGAAATCGCCTCGGAGCTTGGCAGCCGATGTTTCGGCAACGGCGCCGTCAACCTCGTCCGAAACCATTTCTCAGTTCAACCGCTCTCCGACACTCTACAAACTCCTTCTCCTGTTCATCGTCCTTGTGTACACTTCGTGCCACATTGTAACTTCAATATGGATGCCGGTAGAGCTCTCCGACTAGCCTTAGCGGGCCAACGTGGCTCTACTTCCCTCCTTCGACCCCGACCTCTGACATCGGTCAAGTCGCGGAGATATTTCGCATCTGTCCAAGACTCTTCAGCAAGCACAAAGACCGGGAAAATTGCACCGCTGGAAGGTGTCCGGGTGCTGGACATGACACGTGTATTGGCTGGCGTGAGTGCTTTGCTTGTTTCCCTCTCGAGCTTGAGCAGTCTGTGTCCTGGCAAGTGGTCCAGTGGCGTTGCACCCTGCTGGTCAGGGGCCGAAACACTGCATATACCACTGTGGATCAATGACTGACCTGGCTGGACATTGAACCTCACAGCCATATTGCACACAAATTCTGGGCGATCTAGGGTAGGTACGCATTATATCTCCCAGTCTTCTCCATGTTGTGGGCTTTAAAACGCCGGAAAGACCGAGCACTCGCCGAAATCTGTTGATATATGTCGATTTCTGGCCGCTGACAGAGATCCTCCAACCACCTCTAGGGCTGAAATCATCAAAATTGAACATCCTACGCGAGGCGACGATACGAGAGCCTGGGGCCCGCCGTACGCAAAATATAAAGGAGATGGTAATGAAAAGCCCACTGGCAGAGGAGCAATTCGCCTCCCCGATTTTCCAAAATCTCCAACGCAAGAGGTGCCATCGACTAACTCGATCTCTACCGTGTTACTACTATAGCGGCAGCAAAAGGCGGCAGACCTGGGGAGAGTGCGTATTTTATCGGCGTGAGTTCCTCTAGCTCTGATCAATGCGCATACCGTTTATGCTTGTCATTTCTGGCGCCGTGTGCTGACGTGGAGGAACACACTTGCTTCTTCCAGGTCAACCGTAACAAGAAATCTGTCGGTCTCTCATTCCAGCAACCCGAGGGCATCAAAATCCTGCATGAATTGGCCAAGACGTCGGATGTGTTAGTGGAAAACTACATTCCAGGTATGTGGCCCTGTTCAGTCGGAAAGGAATGGCCGAAATATGGATCGGAGACTTGTTTCCTTCACGGACACCTTGGATTGACCACTTTGCATGACACTGGTAGGGGCCTTGAAGAAATACCAGTTAGACTACGAGTCAATACGGAAGATTAATCCTCGGTGAGTATTTTCGCGGAACAACTTCTCTCCCTCCTCCCTCTTCGTCCTACCGACAGAGTCCACTGATACTTTGGCCCGTGAATCAGTCTAATCTATGCTTCTATAACCGGCTACGGCCAATACGGCCCCTACAGCCCCCGCGCCGGCTACGACGTCATGGTGGAAGCCGAAATGGGTCTCATGCACATCACAGGCGAGAGGAACGGGTCGCCTGTGAAAGTGGGCGTGGCGGTTACCGACCTGACCACGGGGCTCTACACGTGCAACGCCATTATGGCGTCTCTCTTGGCTCGCCAGAAGACGAACCAGGGCCAGCATGTTGACGTGGCGCTGGCGGATTGTCAAGTCGCGACCCTGGCCAACATTGCGAGCTCGGTGCTGATATCGGGTGAACGGGATGGTGGACGATGGGGCACAGCGCATCCGAGCATTGTGCCCTACAAGGGCTTCAAGACGCTAGACGGTGACATCATGCTAGGTGGTGGCAATGACCGACTCTTCGGCATCATCTGCGACAAGTTGGGCCGGCCAGAGTGGAAGAGCGACGCGCGCTTCGTCACAAACGACGTGCGAGTGCAGAACCGCGACGTGCTCGAGGAGATGATCGAGAAGATCACACAGACCAAGACCACGAAGGAGTGGCTGGCCGTGCTCGAGGGTAGCGGCATGCCCTACGCGGCCATCAACGACGTCAAGGACACCCTGGACCATGAGCACGTCCGTGCCCGTGGCATGGTCACCGAGCTCGATCACCAGGCGTGCGGCAAGATCAAGGTTGTCAGCCACCCGGTCAAGTACTCAGAGAGCGCTGCTGGGGCCCGTAGCGCCCCTCCGACGTTGGGTGAACACACCGACGTGGTGCTGAGGGATATGCTCCAGATGGGGGACAAGGAGATTGAGACGTTGCGACAGTCTGGAGTGGTGGCGTAGAAGCGAGCGACTGGGCGAGCACGGACAATCTGCGCATAGTCTAAGAGAAAAGCTTCCTCCCAGGCGGTAGACACAACATGCCAACGGAACAAAAAGGCATGATATGATGAACCAAGTTTAGGATCATCAATGGCGGTCGAAAAAGAGGAGATGAGAAGGCCACACCTGACCTCCTCCTGGTATTTATGCAACAAGCTATCTATTGGATGGCCTGAGGTAGACTAGAAATATCACGAAACCGACGTTAGAGCGAGGTGATTCCATCACTTCTAAATACGTGTAGTGCAGAGACGTGGGTTGGCACCGGTGGACATGTTACCTCGGTATCCTTCCTCGGTTGAGTTGTCTGGCTGTCTGGGGTGCAGAGTGGGGGATGTGAGTACTTCGTTTTCCGCCTAGGGTAGGGCAGGGTAGGGTAGGGGAGGACTTCTCATAGCGACGGAGAGAATCGCAATGAGAAGGCTTGTTAATATATCTGCGGCAATAGAGATTCTCTTCCCTTTCCCCTGCGCGCTTTGTGTTGAGCGCAGGCAGTGCAGGGGTTGAACTGTGAGATCCGAGCAAAGGCACCAGAGGTAGAGAAAGGCGCAGGCAGATCAACCTACCAACCACCAACCAAGTCACCAAGTCACCACCATCTCGCTTCAAGGATTTCTTCCTCCGCACCCAACATCCACCCCGTGCCACCCCAGCTGATTGTCCTTCACACACTTTGCTTGGCTGGCTCCTGGCGGCCCTTTCTCCGGCAATCGCCCTCCATTGGACAATTGACCGAGGTCCGTCTCCTCCCCTCCTCCACTCAGACAAAAGGCGGAGGCCAACTACAAAAGCGATTACCCCGGTACAGAGGTGTAACGTCCACCCATCTCCGCTCTACACAAAAACAGGGGTGAGGAGACGTGATGGAGGCACCACAGATGCGCAAAAGGAAGCGCTCGGCCATCGCATGCACGCGCTGCCACGATCGAAAAGTTCGGTGTTCGCTGGCCTTTCAGGGCATCCCGTGTGCAAATTGTGCTCAGGATGGCACCATTTGCAAGGTCTATGGCCAGCAGCACGATGTGGCGGTGCCCATGTCTACTCCGGGTCATCAGTTAGGCCACTTTCCGCCCCCGATCGACTACAATAACCGTCAAGATCAAGCGACCCTGCCACCAAGGCCACTTTACCCGCTGGTGCCATCTCCAAGATCTATACACAGTACCGAGGCAACGTTTCAACAAGCATCGGATCCCATTGCAATCCCCCGGGACCGCGTAAGTGCGGAGCAGAGTCCTGTCCATGTCCCGTCCCGAGACGGTCAAAGGGGGCCGGACACCTCAAGTGAGATCCCAGTCAGCACTCAGCAAACGCCGACCACGGCATCGGTGTCGATATCTGACAAGCCCCGCGGACCTGAGCCCCCTCGGGACAACCTTGTGCCTTATTATGCCGGTATTTCTCAACCTCTCTGGTGTGGCTGGACAGTAAGTCGGTACTGACTTTATCGTCAGGCGAGGGTAAGGGACTCGAATTCGTGTTCGACATCTGCTCACCAAATCGGCCGGTGAAGGGCAGCCCTTATATCATCAGTCGCAACGTCCTCAATCGACAGTTGTTCAAACCCGAGATAAGTCCCGGTGCCAGGCCCCAGTTCTCGCCCTCGGTCTGCGCCCAGCTCCTTCGAAGCTTCTTTCACTACGTCTACCCTGTCTTACCTGTCGTCAATGCCGGGGAGTTTATCACTACCTACTCCAAAGACCCGGACGGCGTCAGCTGTCTGTTGCTGTGGTCGGTGTTTTTTGCTGCATCCATCTTCATTGATGCGGAAACCCTCAAGACTGCCGGGTTCCAGTCTCGGAAGGTCCTGAAGCAATTGTGCTTTCAGAATGCCAAGGCAAGATACATAGATGCGTCCAAGAGATGAGACACAGCGAGCTGACGGCATCCAGAGGACATATGATGCACAGCTCGAGACCAACAAGTCCGCTGTCATAGCATCGGTGCTGCTCCTGGGCTACTGGGCTGTTGATCTGGAGGATCTGGACGGGCCGTGCTACTGGATCGGTGCGGCAATCCATCTCTGCTTCAGCATAGGACTCCATCGGGAACCTAGGTATTCGCGGCTTCCACGATGTCCTTTTCCTCCGTCACAACTAGCACTCTGGAGACGGTTGTGGTGGTGCTCCTACTATCGCGATGCCTGGCTCTCCTTGATTACTGGGAGACCTATGCGCGTCCACCTCGACGACTGCGATCTGGAACTACCATTGGTTCCCGACGTTTTAGAAGATCTCAAAGATCTGACTCCGGAACTGCGCGAAACATTCCTGCCACCCGACCTCGATGCACTGGCGGACCTTTGGATTAAATTACTCCGCTTGTCGATCAAGTTGGAAGACGCTCTCGTTCTCCATTACCGCCCGAGAAGGCCGCCGTTATCTTTGACTCGATTGGATGCTGATCATGCGGATATCTCGCATCTCCTTGACAGTCTTCCCACTGACATTGAGAACCAGTCTCGCATCCTGATGCTCCACATGAGTCATTTCCGATGCTACTGCCAGACGGTCATCATCGTATTACACCGGCCATACATCCTTTCGACCCCTGTCCACTTGTCACCAGCTGAACGAAGTAGACTCCAAATGGCGGCCACTCAGAGATCAAAGCTGGCCGCAGCCGACTCCACCAACACTCTCAACAGACTAATTGCGCAGGATATGATTGAGACATCGCCTACGATGCTGGTCACCGTCATTGTGGTCACCATGCAGATCCATCTTTTCGAGCTCGCTCGATCCGACGGCATCATTCGTCAGCATGCGGGACATAATATGAACCTGCACCTGATGGTCCTCTCACACCTCAACAAGACCTTTTGGAGCGCAGAGATGTACCGGAACCTCTTCGCCGAAGTCCTCAAAGTGCTCAACGCCGGTTCAGGGCACGTGGACCAATACTTGGGTTGCGGGGTGGGTTTACTGGAGGCGACCGGGCCAGCAAGTACTCCTCACGCTCGCGACGATCAGGTCAACGCCGTGCACTCGCACTCGCACACGCACGCACACACGGTTCTGGAGAATTGCGGGCTAGGCGCCGCGGGCTTTGACGAGTTCCTTGCGTCGTTTGGTCCGTTTGACAATTTTTACTATTTGTTTGACGAAGGGTAAGTCTGCTGGCGTGTCCTTGAAATGTGTTTTGTCCGGGCTCTGACGATGATGTAGGAGGGTCGATTACAACAACAATAACAACGACAACGACAATGAAAATCCAGACACTAGCCTGGTATGAGATTTGACGACGAATGACCTCGCAGTGACCTGTACTTATAATCCATCCACTGGGGATCCGGATCTAGATTGAGGTGCGTGATGCCGATGCTTGGGGGTACAGGGGCGTGACGTGGTAAGGGTATATTTCTCGTATATTGAATGTCTCATGCGCTGAAAGATGGGTTTGTCGGAATGAACCGGTGTGGCCGGCGTGTCAAATGTTGGGCAATGAATGGTAGACAGAACAGACGACGATGGCGTGTCAATCAATACTGCGTACTTTGGGAAGAACAACACTCGTACTATCACTCGTACTCGTAGGGACTTGGGACTTGAGGTGAACATGTGTATATGCCCTTGGGACTCCTTCCAATGACCACCTACGTACCTAGGATGTAGTGCGTATCTGGGTAGGTAAGTAGGTAGGCAAGTAGGTAGGTATAGATATACATGTCATTTCGGTATGGTGTGGTCCCTGCTCGTCGTTGTCCAGATGAATCGGACAAAGCAAATAAAAGGAGTACGTAGCTAGGTAGCTAGGTGGCTAGATTACTAATTTACTGAGGAATTTACTCGGTACCCAAGCACCCAGCCAAGGACATGAGTAGCAGGCAGACAGGCAGGTAGACAGGTAGACAGGGAGACAGGTAGACAGGGAGACAGGTAGACAGGGAGACAGGTAGACAGGGAGACAGGTAGACAGCAACCCAGATGAGTAGACAGACACCTCTCCACGCGCCAGTGCAGTATTGTATTATAGAATCAGTATCAGTATCAGTATCAGTATCAGTATCAGTATCAATATCGATATCAATATCTAAACCATTCAAACACTCCTTGATAACCCTTTGGTCACCTTGGTTCCCCTTGGTCCCCTCAAGGACATTCCGACCCCTGGACGAAACGCCGAGAACGTTGATCTCTTTTTCCACCCCTGTAATGCATTGAAAGAACCCAAAACTCCTCTGTACCTTTTGCTAAACAACTCGTTGGCGAGCTCCAGATTTTCTTGATTTTTGTTTTGTTTTGTTTTTTTCGTCTTTAATTCTTCCAAGTTCCTCTTCATCATCGTAATCAATATCATCATCATCATCGCAGTCATCATCATCACTCCTCGTGGCCGTCATCACCATCGCCATTAATAATCATAATCATAATCGTAATCGTCATACCCGGAACGGATTGTTCAGATCAAACTGATACCCGCACGACAGCTGCGGCACCTGGGAGTAATGCTGCTGGAGGAGGGCTCTGGTGTTTTGCAGAATCTGTTTTTCACACACACTCCCCCCACGAAAGGGTTGGGTAGTCTGTTAGTTTCTTGACTGACGAGATTCATAATATTGAGATAGTGAGGGAGAGGGAGAGAGAGGCGGTCAACGAGAAAAGGAAATGCTAGGGGGACAGGGAAAGGGAAAGGTTGGAGGGAAGGGCTGGGGAAAATACCTGTACATAGGAAATATTCCAGTAGACGTCTGTCTTCATGGTCTCGAGAAAGGCCCAGGACATGGCTCCTACAAACATAACACAGCACCACACCCAACCAGTCAGTCAGTCAGTCAGTCCAGCAGTCAACAGGTCGGAATAAAGCATCTCCAGTGTCAAAGGTCGCCTCTGTCTGGACTTGGATTCCCCGGTGAATTTAGGAGAGAAGAACATACCGACATGCCGCCCGTTGATAAACGCGTCCGCGGACGTCTGCTCGTCCTTGCACCCGGAAAACATAAACACTGACTTATTCTCGGGGCCCCAGTCCTCCTCGAACTCGCCTACGGCATGCAGCCCTTCGTCGTAGTCGCCGTCGTACTGGTGCTTGAGGCCGCGGAAGAAGGACGTCGCGCCGGCGAGGAGGTGGCGCGCCTCGCCCGCGCTGTCGAACGCAAAGTCGCCGCGGATGAGGTGGGATGCCTGTTGGGGTGGGAGAAGAAAGGGGGGTTTATCAGCGCGCTGAATCTTGCCATTGTGGTGGGCGCGAGACATGTAGTGGGTGTGGAATGGGGACATGGACATGGACATGGACATCACATGAGACGGGTACAGGATATATTCCCGACAGGAGGCTCGACAGTTTGTAAGAACTCACCTCGCCAATCAGCTCAGCACCAACTTTCAGATTGTCCATCAGGTTGACATTGCCGTCACCGTCGGTCCCTGCATTGGGGTGTCAATATCCAAACTCGAACAGGCCGCAGAGGATCAGATCGTCTGAATGTCAGAACAATAACCGAGAAGTCATAGACAGACAATAGTGCTAGAAAATCATATACATGGGATATATTTTGAGCTCAAGGGGTGACATGAATAGACACATGATATGATATGTACCAATGAGCGAGACTTACGATAGACAAAAGGCAGCTCGACGGCGGAACCACTGCGATTAGATTAATCGATTAGGGAGGTCCAGAATCAATACGATATCCACCTTGGTAACAATATCATTCACCATCTTCGTCATCTCCTCATCATCACCTGGAATCATCACGGCGCACCCATCCTCACCAAGGGAAGCGGATTTGAGCCCAACACCCCAACTGCGCGGGAAAAAAAGGGGCATGAATCCTCACCTATGGCAGCAATCGAACAAGATAAACAGCGTACTGCTGGGATGCAACGCGCTGACTAGGACACGATGCAGCATGGAGCTCTGGATCTGGCCGGTCGTCTCAAAGTCGACGGGGACGATGGTATCCGCGAAGCCACTCCTCCCCTGATCCTCGTCGGGGACCTGCCCGCCATGGCCTGAGTAGTGTAGGAAGCACATGCAGCCAGGCTCGCTGACGAGCCAGCGCATGGCGGCGAGGATGTTGTGCGCGGTGGGGAAGTAAGGGCCGCGGGGGTCGTTTCTGCGCGCGTCGTCGGTGAGCACCACCATGTCGGCCGGGTGGGAGGAGAAGCCGCGCGAGGCGAGGAACTCGGCCACGTTGGCGACGTCGTCGATGCACCCCTGCAGCTGGTGCTGCGAGCCCAGGTAGTTGATGCCGATGAGGAGGGCTTTTCGGCGGCCACCCATTGTTTTTTTTTTATGGGGGGCTTTATTGAGCGAAGCGAGGCGAAACGAAACACAACAGAACGGTATATTAGTCAATGAATGGGGAGATGATACTCGCTTGCTGAAATGCGATCAAGGGGGAATGGATGGGAATGGGGGCTGGAAAGGAGGGGGGAAATCGAGTTCTGTGTTACACCTACACCTACTGCAACAGCTACAGCTGCACAATACATAATACATAACAACCGATAAACAGACAGAGTGAGTGACTAACCAACTGACCAGTCCAAGAATAGAAACACCCATCAGGCAAAAAGAAAAATCCGCGAGAAGATACTTAACGGGGGGGACTTCTTTGTCGTTGGCTCCCGGGCAAATCCTTGGGCCGAAAAACCCTCATCTCAGCTCGCAACAAACAGCCTGAACCAGGTAAAAGAAGGAAAGAAATAAGACATGTGGCTGACAGACAGGAAAACTCTGAGTGACTTGAGTGACTGATTGATTCGTCATAGTAAGATTCCGAGGCTTTGTCCCATTTCGGTCAATCCCAAAACACCTGGTCAGATCATCAGGACCATCAGACTGTGACACAAGGGTCATCAACTGCATCTAATAATGACTACGAGGGAAGTAATATAAATTAAAAGTCGGAATTCTTGTTGTTACCAACTCGCAAATTCTACCATAATTCCCACTTTTGCCAGTTCCCCTCCCCGTCCGCCATGCCTAAAGTGCAGACAGTAGATAGAACCAGAAGCCCCCAAATATACATTCCAGAAAATATCCCTATAAATAAATACCTTTCGTCCTTGGATACCATCCTTCTCCAAGGAAAATATCAGAAGCAGTAGGCCTTCCAGCAGCGCACTCGTGACCTCGTAACACATAAAAAGACACAGGAGTCCAACCCCCTGACCTCCATCATCCGAGGTCTATATACTGAACCACTCGCAAATACAGTTTGATCCCAGCTGATCTACCGTGTTGTATGATCGCTTGGACATCATCCTCCTCCTGCTATCAGCCCCAGACGTCGGCGTCCCGTAGTCACTCTCTTCGATGCAGACGGTAGGCACATTAGGGATCGGCATGATTTGCCAATTGTTGAGCACTTGCATCTGTTGGCAATAAGGTTGCACATTGTTGTCAGGCTTCCGTTTCTCCACCATCTTCACAAGCTTGGGGAAGTCCGGCGATCCCACCGTCGCCTGTCGTTTCAGTTTCGTGCCAGGCCAGTAGTCATCGTCAGTCGGTTCGCTGGGATACGGCGTGGTGGCCGACGGGTTCGCAGTTGTGGGCCCACTGCCATATCCAGGCGCAGTATGTGTCATTGACGTCCCCGTGCTGGTCGGCGTGCTGGATCCAGATGTGATTGTAGACGTCGAACTATACATGTCGTACGCGTCATTCATGTTCTGGTCCAAAAACACCCAGAATTCGCTGACGGTCGAGTTCCAGAAACAGTACCAGGGCTTGTCTCCCACAGCGAGGTACTCGAACCCCCAGTTGCCCATGCCTCTTTCAGACAACTCTCGGGCAGGTATCGACCGTTTCATGGGGTCGGATTCGGGAGAGATTTGATTCGACGGAACTGTTCACTCAAGTCAGTGGTTGTTGATCGCAAAGAGAAGAACAAGTGCCCACCTATAATCAGCTTGTCGAATAGGACACTGAAAAAGAGTGCGATACCAAGTTGATCGTCCTCTTTGTCTCTGAATGGTTGCATCTCAAAAGTTGACCCATTGAAATCGGGAGGTTGTGGTCCGTATCGGAACAATTGTGGTCTCACCGAGTAGTCGTCAAACACTACCGAAAAATTCGGGCCCTTGTTGAAGACATTGACCCCAAGTAGGGCAAAATCCAGACATTCCCATGCACGAGCGTACTCGTCATCGATGACGCACGTGTCAATCTGCTGTGTCTGATTCAAGGGGATGGTATAATGGCCTGTCGGACATGGTGGTGTCGACGGACCCGTTTGAGCGGGGTCAGCGTCTAGCCAGACTGTGGTGGTTGCGGCACTATGGAGCAGTTAGAAAAGAATGCCAGGAGACGGTGGATTAACCAACTTACGCTTCGGCCTGGTGTGTCCCATGTTGATTCCCAACGACGCCGCCAATAACCCCACCAATTACCGCTGCCAGCACGACAATGGCAACAACAATCACGACCGTCCAGATAGGTAGCCCACAACATGTCCTCCGCCGTCGCTTTTCGCAGAGTCCTTCTTTTCTGGCAACTTCATCCTGAGAAGGAGAGCCCACGGCCATTAATTCAACATCTGAAGCAGAACCCGCAGGAGGTGGGATGTTGGAAGCAGGCCCCGATTCTTCCGTGATGGTCGAGGTCTGCGGGTCTATCCGAGCCATGTCTCCTTTTGCGATGACGTTGTCGGCATATCGGCTGTATGGAGGTAGTTGCTCGATATGTCCATCACTGCCAACAATGTCACCCACTTCATTGCTGGAAGATGATGTGTCCGGTGGCGCAAATGATGGACCCATTCCAGGAAATCCCAAGCCAATGTCCGAACTGTCATCTTCAGGCACTGTGTTTTGGGGATACATAGAGTACGGGTGTTCTGGCCCCCCTTGTGGAACAAAGGGAAGTTCCAAAGGCCGAATTGTCGAATCGCTGACAACACTAGATGCTCTTGTAACTTGGGGATATAGACCATAGGGTTGACTCGGAGCCGTCGGCCCTCTGTAAGGACTCTGAGCTCGTGGGATGGAAAATCGAGACGAAGTGCTGAGGGTTCTTCGGCTATCGGCGATGGATTGGGACGAGACTGATACGGCTCGGTGGGGGTGGGCGGAGGACTCGGTTGGGAGGGCTCGTTTGGAGATGGAAAGTCTGTTTAATCCCATTGTATTGCCAGACAGTCCAGGAGGGGTGTATTCACGCGGATTGGTGTTTGTGTCATTGCGCTGGCTGAGGCTCAGCTCTTCAGGTCGGCTGTCAATCGAGTCCGTCGGACTTGAAGCGCCTATTGATTCGGCAGGGTCGACCGCATAATCATCACTGAAGACATTGGGATTTGATGTTGCTATTGATGACCTTCGCGGCGTGGAATCACCGTCCATCGATGTTGATCGTTTGGAAGGAGGTCGTCGCGCCATGGGCGCTGCGCCACCTTTTTAGGAGGCCGGCTCCGGACACGCGAAGACAGGCAATTGAGGGGAGGAGGAAGGCGTTGGACAATTGGAAGGTATTATAGATCGATGTCGGACGTGGGAAGGAAGGTATCGGAGGCGTGGCGGCGGGTGAGGTGAGGGTGGTGGATGTTGAACTGGTCGGATGAGCATGAATTGTGAGAGCGGAACAAGAAGCAGCAGGAACAGGAGGTCTCATTAGACTCAGTCTGCACTTGCCGTTGCCATTCCCTTGAGGTCTTGGCTGTTGGCCAATGGCGTGCTAGTTTGGGTTAGCAGGCTTGGCAATCCCATCGATCATGCTCACTTTGAGACAAGCGGCAGCGGCATCAGGCCTCTCGCATAATACTTTGGCTGACTTTACGACCATCACCGGCGTTCATCGGTGTCGATCTCCTTCGTTCTCTGATACTGCAATCGTTTACCCGGGGCTGCGCGAATATCGCCAGCGTTGCACGTCGCCTTGTGCCTCCAGGGTTAATCATATGTGGTATATCTGGCCCGTCAAGCAACATAAAGCATGACTGCTGCGGCCGAAGTGCAGGCTTTGCTGCGTTTCTTGACCAAAGATGCCCGCATTCCATTGGCAGAAGCCATGCCGAAGATCCACGCTCTTCGAAAAGAACAGCTCAATACGCCCGAGAACATCTCCAAGGCCAATGAGACTGACCTCAAATCTATCTTTGCTGATGAGAAGGTGCTGAAGCAGGTGATCAACGCAGCCAAGCGTGTTTCTAATCCCAAAAAGCGATCTGCGGCGCAGTCAAATTCCTCAGCCTCGAAGCGCACGAAGACAGACCGAGACGCCCTCGATGATGAGGACTCCCTTGCACTTCCTCAGACAGACATATCCATTGCCGAGCTAGAAAATATCACTATTGAGACGAACCGCGCACCTCTTTTCCTAGCCTTCACTATCGCTGTCCTTGCATATACACACCCCGAACAGCCTCTCTCGAGTCGCTGGAGCTTGGCGCAAGCTGTTGTAAGCGCAGGTGCGCAGAGCAAAGCCAAATACCTTGGCTTGACTACGGGGCCAACTGCGGAAGAGGATGGCTGGGCCCTGGGCCAACCTAAAGTCAATATAATGGGACGTGAGGTGGCAGTAATGCGAAGACACGTGGCTGCCTCTGCTGAAGATGAGACATCTGCTCCCAACATTGCGTTCTGGGGACTTGATCTAGAGGCACTTCGGAAGTCCAATGGGCCACTGATTGCAGGGAAAGATATCAAGAGTCCTACCGGTCCTCCCATACACAAACCTCTTTCGCCTCGAAATTACCTTCTCAAATCCATGGTTGTTGTCGAGTCCAGCTCCACAGACTCCGTAGAGGATACCACAGCGAAGAAGCCAACCCCAAAGAAGAAAACGCCAAAGGAAATGGCAAGTAAGAGAGAGGAAGCTGCGGCTATGACACTTAAAGCCATCGACACAGTTTGCAAGAGCTGGGCGTCCACACTGAGCCCGGAACAACTTGACCAGAGAGCACAGGTGTGGTACACCCGTGTTCGGCCAGATGTCGAACAGGGCCAAGCGGGCTGGGGACAACGAGGCCAAGTACGCCTGGCCGACATCCTTGCTCTCAGGAAAGGGTAGAGCATGCATATTATTGCAGGTCAAAATACATCTGCTCTGCTCAACACCAAAGGAAGACAAGACGGAAACCCGTTTTAAGTCATTCAGGTGACAACAAATCCCTTGACTGCTCCCAACCGCTAGAGAATTGTTGAACTATGAGTGTGCCTGTGCGTTCATATCGATTGGAGAAGGAACCCCCTCTTGCTGACACCTTCGCGCAAGACATGTCCTTCGTGACAAGGTGTTTTCAGTGTGCTCTCCAGGCCATATCTATAGAGGCAATTTCACGGAAAAAAGCGATTCCCCAGCTGGGCTTCACTCGTACTTTTGAGAGCCTTGAACACCTGTTGCGGTCTCAGTTCCGGCACCACAATCACGCCCCAGATGCGTATTGCATATCACGCCTCTTCGGGCCAGCTGGATCCTCACTACTTTTTATCCTCTGAAGGACGTCCAACATCGCCTGCCCGATATGGTTAGATTATACCACATCGTACAAGCATGGACAAAGACAAACCTTTCCAGAATTTTTTGTCCACCTTGTTATCGTCCTCACTCAACTGGTTTACTGTCCTCTCGTGTCGTTGTTCCAGTTCTTCGTTATGCTTCCGCACTTCCGGGTCGTTTTCCTCCGCGGCTGATTTGGGGCTGTGGATCTTGGGACTCGCCCCCTGGCTTGAGGATGAACTTCCGCCCTTGCCAGTTGCAGGAGCTTCTGGGCCAGGATGCTCCATGTCGGACTTTGGGTTTTCCTGGTTGGTGCCCTGCTGCATCCCAGATTGCTCGTTCCCATAAGACTGATGTGCGAATCTTCGAGGATGTGCTGGATAGGAAAGAGCTGAAAACTTGCGAGTAACTCTGACTGGCCTTGCGGCCATACGAAGGACGGGCTGCATTGTGGTTGATTTAACGAGGCTTTGGTGAATGGTACTACAATCTCTTGATAATAGGAGATCACAAACGATATAGCTCAGTGAGATACCAAAAGGCAAGGTCAAAATGCTTTCAAAACTTGACGAGTGCCACTGATGATCCTCTGATGCATTGCGTCGACTTGATGACTTCATTAGATGCCAAGCCTATTGATTGTCCTCCTCATGAGGCGCTCCAGCCTTGCCTGGCCCTGACGCCTCCTTGACCCGCACAATGGGTGTTGGAAGACTACTTGCTTGAAGGTTACAATACAGAGGTTGGGGGTTTCTTTTATTCCTCGAGACAACTATCCAGATAGACACATCGAGCCTTCGATCCTAGAATTATTGTCCTGCGCCCGAAACAAAGAGTGCCTGCGCCACAAGCATCGGATTTGTTTTTCACACTAGCTAGTCGTGACGTCAGGCTGAGTTTTCGCGAGTATCGCTTTCCCCGCATCACGAATCGCGTCAGTTGCTGGCGTCACGCACCTGGACCTCTGCAGCTGCTTTGTTTCGTCGGACTCATGTCCCGCCACAATTGACTGGCACACAGTGTTGCTGGGTAGGCACACATCATCCAGTAAAAGTAGCTGAACGTACTTGGTAAGGTGCAAATCTTCGGTGCCTGACAGCATGTGGCCGTGGCCTTCACCTGCCTGTGGCGCCACTTCTGCCTCACCTCTCACCTTCTTCATCACTGCTCATCGAACCATTAAAACGGGGTGACGGTGAACAAACTCTGACGTCAAGGTTGGCACAAACATTCAATCTGTCAACTTTGCCAAAACTCATTCTCTTTCCACCTTTTTTTTAAGTCCTTGGTTCACACAATCCTCTTCTCTCTGTCTCTACTCACCCTCCATTGCCTACCAGAAAACACCCCGTCTACATCCGCAACCATGAGGTTCTCCCTCTCCAAAATCCTCGTCGTTGCTCTGGCTTCGACTGAGGTAGTTGTTGCCAGTACTTGGTTCAGCAAAGCTGGTATGGACAAAGTCCACATGGACCTAGAGGAACGCTGCTGACCTTCTTTCCTAGCTTACAACAAGTGGCATGAGACCGAACTCGAGCGATGGCTCTCCGATCACGATGTCCCCTATCCCACTCCTGCAGACAGAAAAGACCTCGAGAACCTCGTCAAAGACAACTGGCAGGCTAAGGTGGTCGACCCTGTCGCTACGACTGGGGACAAGACTAGTGATAGCTATCATAGTGTCAAGGACTGGATCTTTGACAGGTAAGGGTTTGGCTGCTCCTTGGTTGTCACCCTCGCTAACTTTCAACAGCTGGTCTGAATCGTCTCTGAAGAGTTTCCTTGATCACCACAACATCCCTGCTCCTCAACCACGAAACAGAGATACTTTGTTGACTACCGCCCGCCAGCACTACGATACTGTTGCAAAACAACTGGGAGAGTACGCTTCGTACCCCGGTGACTGGCTCTACTCGACTTGGTCCGAATCCGATCTCAAGGAATTCCTCGACGAGCGTGGTATCCCTGTTCCACAGCCCACCACTCGTGACAAGCTCATCGCCCACGTTCGCCGCAATTCTCGACTGGCCTCTCTCAACGTGTCGTCCGCCGCCTCTGCTGCAAGTGCTTCCTACTCCAGTGCTAGCTCCATCGCCAGCAAATCCGCTTCCAGCGCACAAGCCAGCCTTAGTGATGCTCTGTTCGATGCCTGGTCTGATAGCCAGCTGAAAGAATTCCTTGACACTCATGGAGTTCCCGTCCCACAAGGCAGCAGGAAGAATGAACTCATCGCATTGGCGCGCAAACAACGTGGGAAGCTCGAAGCAAGCGGTTCCTCGCTTTCTAGCACAGCCGCTTCTGGATTCGGTGCTGCGACTTCGTCAGCTGGTAATGAGTTCGCAAAGGCAACCGACGACGCCTCTCTCATGGCCGATGATGCTTTCAACACGGCGGTAGATTCATGGTCTGATTCACGTCTCAAGGCTTATCTCGATTCACGTGGTGTTCCAGTGCCTCAAGGCAGCAAGCGGGACGAGCTCTTGAAGCAGGTTCGATTGAACAAGCACAAGGCTGCAACTGGTTGGTCGGCGTGGACGTTTGACACTTGGACTCTTGAGAACCTCCAGAAGTACCTTGAAGCTCACGGCAAGAAATACAAGAAGAGCGCCAAGGCCAGTCGCGATGACTTGATCAGACAAGCGCAGGACTCTTACGCCTCTGCTTCCAAGAGCGGCGGAACCCAATACGCATCCGTCACCAGCTACCTTGCTAAGCAGACAGACTCTGCCAAGGACACCGCTTTTGATACTTGGTCCGACAGTGAGCTGAAATCGTACCTCGATAGCTATGGTGTCCCCAACTATCAGGGTTCGACCACCAACGAGCTTCGCGCCGAAGCCAAGAAGCAATACAACTACTTCAAATACGGGACATCGTCTCCTTCGGGAACCATCTTTGAGCGAATTAAGAGTGGATTGCAATGGGTTCTTGGACAAGCCCAAGGTGCCGGTGCGACTGCGTCTGCGTCTGCATCCAAATCGGCCAGCTCGGCAGCCAGCGTTGCCTCCAAGAGTGCCACGAGTGCCAAAAGCGAATTGTAAGCGTGGGTGGAAGAATGATGAATACCCCTAAATGGAGGTGGCTGTCATCCAGTGGCGACACAAGGATCCTAGGAGTTGGTTGGCAAGGGACTATCAACAAAGGACCATGGCATGAGTTTGGCTGATGAATAACTTATGAGACTGTACGTTTAGAGCTTTTGAGCTACGATAGCAGATAGCAAGTTTCATGAAAGGAAAAAAGGCATGCTAGTATCATAACATTCTTTGCATTTGTCAGTATTAGGTGCTGTCCTATATCTTGAATGCCCTGAGTATAGTGAAACTAATGGAAATCGGTCTTCTTGAAAGGTACCAGTTTGCCCACCACCAAGTACTAGATTGTAAAAACTTTGTTAGTATATCCATCTCAAAGCAGCCAATCTCTTCTCCGGACGTGATATAGATATGTATATATATATGTGTGTGTGTGTGTGTGTGTGTGTGTTTTCGCCATGAACGATTGATTGATTGATGGATTTGACTCACCTTCTCATCAAACCTCTCGATCCACCCGTTCAAATTGTCCAGCTGCTCGGGCGTGAGGTCGTCACAGGGATCCAATGGCCCATCGAGGTCCTTTGTCAACATGTCCTCGTCGAAGCTCTGGCAGGCCAGGCCCCTCGTGGCGTCGCGCCCGGCAAAGTTCTCGTACGGCCCGCCGGGCCCGTAGAAGTTGCGGCCCGACGAGACGTCGTACACCTTGCCCCGCACGGCCAGGTAGACCGGGTTGTTGGCGGTGCCGTTGTTCTTGAGCAGAGTGCGCGGCGTGAAGGTCTGGAAGACGATCGGTTGCGGGCCCGGGGGTAGGGACGGGGTCGATTGTGGCCGCAGCCGCAGGTACAGGAGCGTGAGGATCAGGATCACCAGCGTCACATTCAGGGGCGTGAGGAGCGGGGTCGTCGTTGCGAAGCTGCGCTGCAAGGTTAGCTTGAAAACATACATATGCTTGCGTGCGTGCAAAGGATGGGAAAGATGGGGACTGCTAAAACTCCCAGGGTCGACAACAGGCGTGGGTTGGAGGGGAGAGGACAGAAGAGAAGAGAACGGTGGGAGGGTAGGAGGTAGGCATACAATGTCTCCCGCATGATCTTATGATGCGCTTCGACTTCTGTTTTGATATCGTCCCTCTTCGTGTTAGCTAGACCGTAGTTCCAATTCATTTATCGGCTAGTGATTGATAGACTTCGAGCAAATACTGTCATGATGACAGCAGTTGTAGTCTGACGCAAGGGAAGAAGGAATCCGCACCTGGTGGAATCTGGCTCATGTTTCCTGGCGGGGGTCGTCACCACAATTCCAGAGACGAAAAAAAAGGCCGAGAAGAACGTCGAGGTTAGGAAAAACACAGTCTCGATGAAAGGAGCTGGTATCTCAAGGGATGCGTGCTTGAGAATGTCTATCAACTTTGAAAGAGTGCAGCGAGGCTCTAACGTGCGTGGAAGATACTGGATGCTGGATGTCGAACGACGACGGAATCCTCCCCAGAGTCCCGCATCTTGATTCCGAAAGGTGGAGAGGGACGATGGAGGGTGTTACGGTTTCTCCCGAAAAGGGAAAGTTTTCCGCGTTCAATACAAATCCGCCAAGGCTCTCCACTGCGAAAGCCATCAATCTGATTATGCTTCATCTTGGTTGTAATCTGCTTGACAAGTCACCACCCTCCATTCAGGATTTATGTAGATACTTTGAGAGACCCTCTAGTGTTTTTTTCTATACCAAGGGTGTCCCGCAGCTTGTCGTTCGCTGTGCGGCGACGAGTTCACAATGGTTGAACAACCCTTGAATATACAGGTTTAAGCGTACATTTTTCCATCTTCTGGCGGCGTCACTTCCTCGCTGGTAAATGTGCAGTGGCGAATAGCTCGCTCGCCAGAAGAGAACCGGTTTTGCACCACCCCCCACTGTACAGCTTTGAGATGAGCGTCGACGTCGTCTGGTGGGGGATGACATGCTGCACTGATGATGAGACTGCAGTTGGCGCCGAACGGAAGTCTCTGCTTGAAGGTCAAGAAACAAGTGACGTAGACGACAATGGAGCCGGTGAAAAGCACAATAGCAAATATCAGCAGGCTAAGCGGTGAGTAGCCGCAGGTACACAGGGATGAATCGACCATGATGGCACCGGCCTCGTCGCGGAACTCGATTCGTCGGAGGAACAAGCTTTGCGAAAGAAGCCAGTGCAGGACTCCCGAATAGACTGTCAGAGGAACTGCAATACGATACGGCAGTTGGAGGAAGTGCTGGCTTCGTTGTCGTCCCTCGGGTGTCGAGACGCGGAGACTCTTGCGGTGAGCGCCGTACTCGTTCCATTCGTGAGCAGAGTACATGGTCGTCAGCAGGCTGTTGGTGTAAAAGTAGGATGCCGAAAGGAGAACTTGAGGTGAGTTTGCCAGCCATGTGTTGATCATGATGCTTTTGAGATCGAAACTGGACGATGTGGCGTCGAGAGTCAGCTCCGAAGCTGTACCCCAATGCCAAAGTCCTCCGCTTTGTTTTCTCAAGAAAGCGGCTATCAAGCAGGCGAAGGTCGTCCACCAAAGTGTTAGTAGACTGCATACATGGGTCAGTAGTGGAAACCAACAGTGTGTCCGGCAGGAAGAAAGTATCGAAATAAGGACTTACATGCCCAGGAAAACACTCGCACATCGTCGACTCATGGACTTTCTTAGCTGGAACTTCGTTGACGACCAGACCAATTCGACGCCACCGGGGTCCGCTGCTTTCATTGATTTGCTCCGCATACGCTGCAGGATTTCCTTCTTCGTCGCGACACAACAGCCGATCGTTGTGGAGTCCGGTCGATCCAAGAAGGACGCTATCCCATCGCCCACAGTCACAAGAGGCTGCGCCCGCCATCGCTTCACAAGAATGCCCATGGCGCAAACCTTGGCAACGTTGCAAAACACTACAATCCCTATAAAGATAAGGGAAATCTCGACCTTGCTCGAGTCGAAGACGTGTTCTGCAATGGCAGTCTGGACATGCAGAGTCACGTCGTCATAATAAAGCCAACCCGTATCCGCGAGAGTGTATGTGGCTGACCGTGTGAAGCCCGACAAATTCTGAAAGTTAGGCGAGTACGGCTCTGGCAGAGACACATGGGGGAACATGGACGCATTTTCACGAGCATAGTGCGTCAGTGGCACGATCAATTGGCTGCTTGGACCGAAGTGGCTAGGGGGCTTCACTGATGCTTTTTCGAGCCAGGTCGTAGCCGTTTCCAAGTCATAATTGATGCCGAAGGAGTAGGCATCGACGAAAAGATAGAGATTGCCCCACTGGGTGACAGGGTTTGTGCTGTATGCTACAGCCCATTGCTCATTAGAGATAGATTGATAGGCACTATGGTCGTGGTTCGCAAGAAATGTAGGCAGGCTGGTGTTGGCAACTGTGGTGACAGTGAATGCTCGGCCACCCAGAACGTCAGACACGGCCGAGTTGTAGCTGCTGCTGGTCAGTTCATGTGGAACTCCAAGGTATATCGGAACAAAGGTCGGCCCACAATAGATGGAGAGGGAGCGAGCTAATCGCGAGTGTCCAGAAAAGTATCTGTCTCCAGGCACCTACGTAGCGGAGATTATGAAGACTCAGGACACCAATGTCGACAAATCCTCCGTCATGGTGCGCCGCATCCGCCTGCTCCCGTGTAGGTGCTGTTATAACCTGCATGCAATAGTTGCTTGCTGAAAGTAGAGCGGTGCTGAAAACGTTGATGAGAATATGGGAGAAGGTTCCCAGCCAGGCGACTTTGGTGGCGCTGCCACTAGAGACAATGCCCATGCCCCTCGTCCTACTGGCCCTGGACCATCCGACGGCGAGGAGAACAAGATTACAAACCAGGATGACGGCACACAGGACGAATCCTAAAAGGGCGCCGAATCTCCAACCTGCGAGTTTCGATGGGTCGACTCGTCGGAACCATGTGGCAGGATTCCAGGTACGTACCCTGGGTCCTGGCTTGACCGTTGTCGCCTTAGTAGAATGCGATGAAAGCGTCTCGTCAACATCAATCGAAGAGAGTGAGTAAGATGACTTGCTGGTCTGTGGCTGTTGACCGGCTGAGAATGAGTGGCGCAAGGGATCCTCGCCATCGACTAAGGAGCGGCGGGTGGTACTTGACGACTCGGATGTTGGGTAGTTGTAGGGTAGACGAGACCTGCCACAAGTTGGAGCTGGGGAGAGCAGATATCCTTCCTCTTCGTCCATTTTGATGCCTGAAGAAAGTGCACAAAGGACGAAGGCCTCGAGAAAAGGTCCACTATCAACAAGAGCTTGTGGGATCAGTCTGAAAAAACACCTGGTTACAGCCGGGTTCTGGGGAGCGCTGCCCGTGTAACCCGACTCCTAGCCGCCGCCACCATTTGTAGACTTCGTTGCCCTGGCATGACATGGACTTGTGGTTGGGGACGGGTCAGGAGTGGCGGCTGGTTTCTAGCGGGATGATAAACCCATGCACGGCGGTTGGCTGTTACGCTGGTTGCTATCGTCGCCAGGAACACTGAGACCTGATGGTCAGAAAGACGCCAATGCAGACTCGTCGACTCTAATAAAGTTGTTGGCGGACAGGCATTCGACTCGTGTCATGGGCTGGGGGGCTAACGTGATGTGCCGCGTGGGGGCGAGATGCAATGAGGGTTTTGGTATACGAGGAGATGCAGTAAGTTGCAGGCGAAGGTCGAGCGATCTCCCGGGCTTTGATAGGTGGTATGGTGGTACTAATTATGAGGAATCAGGTAGTTTGCTCGCAGATCATATATCATTTCTCAAGGCAGAACTCTAGAATCTGTAAAAGTCCCTCAAAATGGAGGCTGCGCAGTTGGCCTCTCAATTGATCCGCCGGATGGCATCATCGTCACCACCACCACTACCACCTCCATCATCGTGCACTCTTTGGTCAAAGCTTTCCCCAGATATCCTGTCGATCTCAGTCTCGAGTATCTTTAGCTCTCCGTCATCTTGTTGCCTGGGCTGGTGGCTTTTGGAGACACTGGACTTCACGGCGCACGTCTCATTGCCAGAACCCATCCTTGACAACGAAATTCGCGGCTCTGTCAACGTTCCTTCACCGGCATCAATATCATCATACTCAGCTGTGTGGTTGCGCGTGCGGAAAAGCCACTGAAACAGCACCAGAGGCGTGCATGAAACCCACATCAACTCACACAGCGACTTCGGGTGCCCATCTTCGTCGTCGCTCGTTTCTTCACCTTCGAGTGCTTTAGGCTCTTCGCCAGCCAACCTTTCAAGCGACCGCCCCATCGTTTCCGGGATGAGAAAGGAACAGAGCAACCCCAACAGTGCAAAAGCACCTAGTATCTGGATAACGTGAGGAAGCCATGGTGATGCGTCGGTCTCGCCCTTTTCAAATCCGATGCCTCGCAACGGTCCTGTCAGAGCTTGAGCGAGCACAGCACCGACTTTGCCAGAGGCAGCCGCCAGTCCATGACAAGTGCTTCTGTACCTTGTTGGAAAGCATTCACCCGGCACAATGAAGGTTGTGGAGTTAGGACCTTCGAAAAATATCAATCAAGAGTGCAGGACGGGTTGAAGGCCAATATGACTCACCAAAATTGACGAAGAACAGGATCAGGACGAACACAGCCACCCGCGATGCGTCGGACATGCTCTCGAAGGAACTCCCAAGGATCAAGAGGAGGATGGTGATCATGACGAACCCTCCTACTTGAATCGATTTGCGCCCTATACGGTCCACAAGCAGGATTGCGCAGATGGAGCCGGGTATAGCACCAGCCACCACCAGGACCAGATTGCCAACCGCACCGCTTCGGAGAATCGTGTATAGCCGTGTAGGGTCGCTGTTGTTGTGGGACCCGAATCCCATTTTTTGGAGGAAGATAGTGTTATTCAAAGCCAAGGCATAATAGGCCACATCCAGGAAAAACCACGATCCGCACGTCCCAAGGAGAATCCAGCCATTGAAACCTTGTCGAAAGTATCGCCTGAAGTCGCTCCATGACGACTGAGGTACGACGGCGGCGTCAAGGCCGCCTAGGGTCTCACCAGGTCTCAGACCGGCGCGAATCTCTCTTCGCTCATCCTCGACTTCTCCTTGTCCAGTTCTGGGTCCAATTGTGTTCTGAACCCATCCTTTGTAGTCGGCAAACCCCTGCTCCACATCACGATTCACATCAAAGGTGTATCGAGGTGTTTCAGGGATGGTCAGACGGTAATAAAGTGCGATCGCCGCAGGAACGGCGCCGACACCGATGATGATGCGCCACATTCTATCCACGGCCAGGTTTGCAGCAGGAGTTTGAGTACAGACACTGTCCTGACAGACATTGTCGTCGTTGTCAATTTGATCTCGGAATGATGCAATGACAATCGTGGCAACCAGGCTGGCGATGAACTGACCAAGAGCCTGGGTCGAGAACACGGCCGCAACCATCGTGCCTCTCCATTTGGTCGAAGCGAACTCGGACGTGATGATGTTGGCAAGAGGGTAATCGCCACCAATGCCAATGCCCATGAGGATCCTCCAAAACACCAGCAAGCCTGTTATGCCGATTGCTGACGAAGGACCGGTGATACACTGGCCCAGAGTTGCCAGCCCGATGATCAGCAATTCATACCCATACATGCGCTTTCTCCCGACCCTGTCGGCAAGCCAACCAAAGAACAATTGGCCGATGATGGTGCCAACAGAGGTCATGACCTTGATCAGGGTATCATCGACCTGAGGAATCTTGTTCCCGTGCTTCGGGAAGTAACAAAATCCACTTGAACAATTCCTGTTAGCCTGCGCAGATGACCGGGCGGCATGGGACAGGAGTCGTGCGCCACAGAAGTAATGAGAAGACGGCTTTACATCATGTCAGATACCAGATTGATGGCGAAAATCTGGAGGAATGTCAGTGTACTCCAACCCAGTCCTGGTGACAACTTCGCACATCATAGCTGTCCGTCAGGAAGCCAGTCCCCGCAACCAGGATAGCGCGAACATGAGCGCGGCTGAAAGACCGTTCATTGATATCCCGTAAGATGAGACGACGGCGAAGAGTCGGATCCTTTTGCAACGTCCATCAGCGTCTGGAATGCACACGGCGTATAGCACAACTCAACAAGTCCAACTTACCTGTATATGCTTATACTCATCCTCCAGGTCTCGAAAGGCTTTATGCCTCTTGACCATGATGGATCGCTCTGACTTGTACACAATCTACCGATGCTAGATTGAAGGACCACGAGCAAGCGAATTCGTGTATTGCACAGATGTAAATCTCTTCAAAACCATGGCGAGGATAACTGTTTACCTTGGGAAGCGAAAGGTACATGGCGTAGGATTCAAAAGCTCTCAATCAGGCTGTGTTCGCCTTGCAAATGGCCCAACCACATTAGTTTCTCTGGAAAAGGGATGGCCGTCGTTGGCTTCGCTTCCAAGGCCAACACCCAGGGGATTCGCCTTGGGGCGCAGCATGCAGATACAGACCATCTGCCTCGTACCCTGGGAGTCATCTAGCCAGCCACGCCAGCCTTATGCGATTCTGGATGAACCCCTGAACCCTGCGGCTGCACGCGCCCGACTCCCAGACACCATCGGGTCCATACAATGCCCGAGCTCCCTGTCACATACACTGACTGACCGGATCCCTGGTTCCTCTGAATCAGTCTGTTCCGCATTGAGCCAGGAAGAACAACACAGCCGTTGCCATGTTTCACACGTTGGCGCTTCTCCACTACTTGTCGCTATCTCTGGATTTCATCTAGCGCGAAGTGCTAGTAGCAAGGCTCACTTGTTGCCCACGTTTCTTTCGTGCCTCCTCCAATTGGCCCGATTTGTTCGTCTTCATCAAAGCAGAACATGTCGGCAGATTCGAGGCTCGTGCAGGACCCTCTGCCACGCGCGGAGGCTGCCGACGAGCTTTGAACCTCGCCTCACCCACTAACAAGAATGACCATGCTGATGACTCTCCTGGGGCAGGACCGTTCATGGAGTCTCTCCATGTCCATTTGACGGCATCGGCTTTTGGAGGTGACATTCTCCAGGGAATATTGCTTCTGTTTGGGGACCTCCCTCAATTCTTTTCGTCCTATGGCTATAAACGGCGTAGGAGATGTTATTGCTTTAGTTCAGATCACCACACAGGCAGCAAAGACACTCCACGCTGCTGCGCATGCCCCGTACGAGATCAGGCGCTTCATCCAGGAGACAGACCGATACCAATCATGCGTGGGGATAGCTGCGAGCAGACTACGTCGGCATGGTGCCATTTTGAAGGACCATGCTGACGTGAAGAGCAATATCCAGGGTATGCTTGAACAGTGTGCAGAGACGACAAGGAAATTGAGGAAGATCGCGACGAGGTATGAGCACATTGTGAAAAGGAAGGGGGTGGCCACTGGAGCAGACGCTGCCTGGCTTCAATGGATCGAAGCATTCAAGACCGTTTACCAGACGATCGAGTGGACTACCAAAGGCGTCGTGGTCGAAGGCCTCCGAGCAGAACTGTCACGGCATATTCAGATGCTAACCTGGCTGGAAAATGGACTGCTCTCGTAAGTTGTTGCTGGGATCAAAGAGAGATCAATCCTTGGGAGCTGATTCAGCCTCATTGCAGCGAACAGGTTGGTCAACTTTCAGTCCAGGTGAGCAACATGCATGACATGCTCGCCTTTGCAATGTCAAGCCCGTCTCCCACCCCGTTGTCAAGTCCCTTTGGCCCATCACCTAATCCGACGTCACCATCGATCACGGCAAGGGGTTCTGGAAGCCAGGTTAATTCTCCAGAACTTCCATCAACTACGCAAGCTCAACCTATGGCTCCTCTGTGGCTGCCAGGTCCAACATTCGACATTGATGATTATGACTTTGGACAGGACATTGAGGACCAGTTGGTACTGCCAGAAAGTTTTGTGGGCGTCACCCCTGGCGATCAGTATCGCCACGTCAAACTCGCGTCGATCAAAGAACAGAAGGAATTCGTTGAAAATCTTACTGCCCATACTAGCTCCACCGAAATGTACCTATAGCCTTGAACTGCGGTAATGTGCAAGGGCCATTGCTGATCTCTTCACAGTCGCGTCGAGTCGGTCCACTTTGTCTGGCGGAAGCCTGGAGCTTCAGATGGAGTTTTGATAGAGGCCAGCGATTCGGGTAGAGTGCTGCTCGTTAAGAATGGGGCAGCCGTGGAGGATATTTGGACCGTGAACGACAAGAGAACGATACGGTTCAGGCAACGAGGTCCGACTCCATTCTCCTCCCTGAACAACGTCAGTCAGCACTTTAAACCTAACAAGAGCCCCATCTTCGTCTTCTAGTGCCCACCTGGGAATACATTATTCCATACTCAATCAACGGCGACGAACTTACGGCTGTTGTCGAGCAAGGGGAGGGTTTGACCTTCTTCACAATTGAAGAGGGTCAGCGGCGGGATCATCCGAGGATTCCAACTACTTGGGTGCAGTACAAGTTCAAGAGTGTACCTGGTAAGTAGTTCCTTTGTCGCGGAACCAGTGTCGGAGTAAAACGAAATTGATTTAAAACTTGTTGGGATAGATTGCGAGCTGTTTCAGCAGGTCGTCTACGGGTCCACTCTTCGACTTGTGGTACCTGTGACTGAGATTTGTCGGCCACATCGAGGCAGGGACGATGATCGTCTGGTAGGCTTCGAGAACGTCCGGGTCTGGGAGATGCAGTCGGAGATGCGATTCATGGTGCATTTAATCCAGGAAAAAGGGAAGCGGCGGAAGAAATACCTGGAATTCAACCGTCGGTATCTCCCCGGGACTGGTGGTGGTCGTGGTACTGACGTCCAGAGGGTCCAGTGTGTCAAGACAGCATCAAGATCGAGAGCAAAGGGACCGGCCGCAAATCCACGCTATTATTGACCGGTATCCATGCTCCAATCGACGAGATGGAATTTCAGAGGAGAGCGTCCACGTCGACCCTGAACTCGGACTCAACCCTGGGTCCGACCAAGTCACTCACGAGACGTTTCTCCTGGGATCGAAGTCTGCCCTACCTGGACAAAGCTGAAATCTATTTCAGACAACAAGAAGGTAGGTGGTCAGTTGGGTGCTTTCTTTCCCTCAAGGCTCGAGGCGCTGACTATTCGTGTCGACATAGACCGTGATAGTCTCCTCCACCTTGCACTGAGCTGTCGACCAAACAGGAAGAAGAGCGGGTGAAACGACAGGAGGGACGAGTGGACCGCGGCACGAACTTGCAAAGCAGCGTTGACCTGCAGCGTTGACCCTGGGAGTGGAAGGTTCGAAGGTTGCAGAGTCGAGATGCTGAACACACACACAACCATTCCTCTTTGACCGGTGGACATAACACGATATGGAGCGCTTCTTTCACAGCAGCGAAATTGTCATGAAGGTCTGGAATATCTTCCGTCGAGAGTCGCACCACCGCACGAGAATAGCCGGCGATGGACCCGACGGTCGAGCTTGTCATTCGAGGCAACCCGGAGGTATCCAGAAATCGCACAGTATTTCCTGGGCAAGGAGTATGAACGAGGCGATCAGACAAGGCATGCAGCCCGTTCTAAATCGCATCCCATACCATACCCAGCGAAGCATTCAGAGAAATCGCCGCATCAAAGCCGAGCAGAACGCTGCTGACGGGCATCTTTACCTTCATAGTCACCCAAAGGCCTAACAGGAAGCTCACGACTATGTGAGGAACAGGGACCTTCACCAGAGACGACCAAGACAGATCGATTGATAGAAGGGGAAGAAGGAACAGACTTCTAGTTAGTAATAATGAAATACATACGCCAAAAGTCGAGAATTGGAACCAGCTTCAGATGCCCACCCGGATGGCAAAATACCTATAGACGGATGTATAGATTGAATAGGAAATACCCTCTCACCAGCATGTCATGCAGCTCGGGGATTTCGGACCTGTTCTATATAGACCGAGATAGACAGACAGACAGACCTTGTCGCATCAAGAGCCCACGAGGCCTTGCCACATTGAGCCTTTGTCATAGACACAACATAATATCCTTGAATGTAACTAATGTGCATACCCTTAGTGTGGATACTGCGGGCGACACTGAGGCCGAGGCTGCACAACTGATGCCGCAACGCGGGGCACGCCGCAAGCGAAGCAAAAAATCATAGTCAAATCTCGCATCATCGACCTCGACCTTGCATCCATCAAGTGCTTACCAATTGGGGTTTGTCCTCTACAGAGATTCGCACCTTTCATCTCTCCTCCTCGTACACGAAACCGCTCTTACTCGCGAGGTATAAAAAGAAAAAAAAGGGGGGAATTTGTATACCCTGCTCTCTCTCACTCTCACACACAAACACACAAACACCCCCCGTCGTCGGACAAGAATACCTTGCACCTTGCCTACCCCTCCTCTTTTCCTCTCTCTCGCCTCCCCCAGTAAAGAAATATCATCATGTTCACTGGCCTCGTCGAGACGCTCGGCACCGTCAGTGCGCTGGTGGCACTCGACCCCTCGACATCGGGCGGCAACGGCACCTCGCTGACCATCTCGGACTGCGCAACCATCCTCACGGATGCGGCGCTGGGCGACTCGATCTGCGTCAACGGTACGTGCCTGACGGTGACGGAGCTCGAGCCCTCGCAGCCGCCGTACGGCTCGTTCAAGGTCGGGGTGGCACCCGAGACGCTGCGGCGCACCAACCTGGGCTCGCTGAAGGAGGGGAGCAAAGTCAACCTGGAGCGGGCCGTGAGCGCAGCCACACGCATGGGCGGCCACTTCGTGCAGGGCCACGTCGACACGGTGGCGTTGATCGCGAGCGTGACGCCCGACGGCAACGCCCTGACCTTCCGCCTGGCCCCGCGCGACCGCGCCGTGCTGCGCTACGTTGTGGAAAAGGGATACATCACCCTCGACGGTGCGAGTTTGACCGTCACCAAGGTCAACGACGCCGACGGTTGGTTTGAGGTCATGTTGATCGCGTACACGCAGGAGCGGGTCGTCATGGCGGCCAAGAAGCCCGGCGACGAGGTCAACGTCGAGATCGACATTGTCGGCAAGCTGGTCGAGAAGAGCGTCGTCGGGTACCTCGAGGGTGCCGCGGGCGGAGAACAGGGCGGCGCCCCAGCCATGCTGGAGAAGATTGTGGGCCGATTGGTGGAGGAGAAGTTGAAGATCATACAACAGCAACGGTAGGAGTATGGCCATGTATGAGATTTTCATGGAGCAGTTAAGAGTCTGCGCCTCGGACTCAATCGCCTACCCACGATAAAGAATGGGAAGGCTGTCTGTCTATTGTCCACCAACATTCAAAACCCTCAGCGGCGCTGATAGCAAAGACTGAGCAACACCGTTTTTAACAACGCAAGACAATAAGACCCCGTTGCCCGAGCATGTGATTGACCAATGGCTTTCCTTCTTACCGCTTCGGCACCCGGTGTCTTCCCTTCGCTTGAGGGGATTTACTCGGGTCACCATATATTCGACGGTCAACGAATCGAACGATCAAATACCCCGGTACATGGAACAAAGTTTGATACTTGCCATGCATGATATTACTTCCTTTTCAGGCACGCCCATGTTGTGTGTGTGCGACAGGAAGCGCGAGAGAGAGGGTGAAGGGAATGTGAAAAAGAGACAAACAATGTGTTACGAGACCAGCCCTTTGAAAAGCCAAATTGGTGTCAAATCACTCAATTCAATCAGTTCACTCAGTCACTCAGTCACCCACTCAGGCAGCCGCCATTCTCACCAGCAGAATCGGAATGAGACATACACAGTGTTCCCTGGGAGATGGTCCCCTCGTACGTGTCCCTCGAAAGAAGGTCGATAGTCCTTCTCTGCCAGAGCTACTCGAGATCCTCGCCTGGATTCCTCTCTTGGAAGACCACAACACGTGGGACGGACATGGGACGGACATGACAATTCTACCTGGTGGCAGGCACATGGCATAGCACATGGCGTATGTTCAGACAAGGTAACAGCATTGTATAGCATAGCATAGCATAGCATATTCCACGAGAAAAAGAATCCCAGCGCAGAGCAGTGTTGATCACTCACATCGACATTTCCCAGAAATTTCCATCCAAAATTTCTGTTTTTCAAAGAACCTTCTTCCCCCCTTTTTGTTTATTTCCAAGGGAAAGAAAAGGAAAGACCTCAGGACGTGTATTGTATTGTGCTGTGTTGTGGAAGGTGGAAAAAAAAGCGTATGTTTTCGCCTATACAGAATTTTTTGGGGTGGATCCGAACAACAAAACAACAAACGCTGAAATATAAAAACAACTCAATCAATTCCCCCCACAGGGTGCTCAGGGGAGTTAACCAGGGGGGGGGGGGGTGAGAACAAGGAATTTTTTGTCCCTTTCTTTCCCTCACATCTTCCCCATGTGTCTTTGTATCATATTGGCAAGCTCTCCACTCCATATTTGGTTTTTGGTTTTGCTTTGTTTTAGAGGAGGTAGCAAACTTTTTGTCTTTCCCTTGGTGGTCCCGTCCCGTCCGGAAATATCATACCAGGGAGCTGTCTGTCCTTGTCCTGTCCTAGTCTCACATTCACATTCACACTCACATCGCCCAACTCACACCCATATACTGGTAGCTCGCTCTCGTTGGTCTGTTCGCACGCAAGCACTTAATGGCCAGACCGTTGCTTCATGATGGCTCTCCGCTCCTTTTCTTTCGCTATACCGAGGGAAAAAAATGAGTTAGCTCGAATGTCCGTGTACGGGTAGGTGGGTGATAGAGTCAGCGCGGCAAAACGTACCTTCGTCGTAAACCAAAAACTCATGCAGCGCCTTGCCTGCCGGCACCATGGGCAGCACGGGCACTTTCTTGTCGGTGACAACCTCCAAGAGCGCCGGGCCTGGGCCGCTGCCTTCGATCAACCACCGTAAACTTTCCTCCACGTCGGCGGGCTTCAAGCACCTCCGTGCCGGCACACCCATGGCGTCTGCGAGTTTGACGAAATCGGGGTTCTTCTGGTGGGTGTGTGCGAATCGGTCTTCGTAGAAAAGACTCTGCCACTGCGTCACCATACCTTGTTCCTCGTTGTTCAACACGATCACTTTGACGCCGATCTGGAATTGGTTGGCCGTGCTGAGTTCCGTCAAGGTCATGTTGAACGAGGCGTCACCGTCAATGTCGACAACGAGGGCGTCCGGTGCGGCAACTTTAGCACCAATGGCGGCTGGCAGACCGTAACCCATCGTACCAAGGCCACCCGATGTGACCATCGACCGGGGATGTCGCCATCGGAAATGCTGCGCGGTCCACATTTGATGTTGCCCTACACCCGTCGCGATAATGGTCCTCTCTTTCATGTGGGACGTCATATCTGAGAGCTTTTCAATCAATGTTTGCGGCTTGATCAAGCCGTCGGGCGTCTCCTTTTCGTAGCTGTTCAACGGGAATCGCTTTTTCCAGTCGCTGATCTGTGCGAACCACTCGGGCCGTTCTTTCACTGGCTTCACTTTGGGTACCAGCTCGGCCAGGTTAGTCGTCACGTCACCCTCGACAGCTTCAGTCGCCTGGACGACCTTGTTGATGTTCTTGGGCATGATCTCAAAATGTATAATACCTCCTCGTTTCTCGGCTGCAGCTCTCTTCGCTTCGGGCGCGAACTTGGCGATGTTGAGGGTTACTCGGTCGTCGAAGCGAGCTCCCAGAGCGATAATGAGGTCGGCTTCTTGCATTGCCATGTTGGCATAGGCGGCGCCGTGCATACCGAGCATATGTAAAGACTTGGGGTCAAGCTCATCAAAGCCTCCAAGGCCTTGGAGGGTTGTCGTTACGGGGATACAAGCCTTGTCGGCCAGTTCTCTCAGCAGCTTGGGACCTTCGGGAGATCCCAAGATACCTTGGCCCGCATATATGACCGGTTTCTTGGCAATATTGATAAGGTCGGCTGCCCGCGAGATGGTGCCCTCCAACTGTCTCCGGGAGAGCTCTCGCGCAGCAAGGGTTGCTGCAGAAGGATGTGACGGCAAGGTCGATTGCATCGGTATGGGCCTCCGTAGAATGCCAGCCGTGACATCTTTGGGCAAATCCACGAGCACGGGACCAGGTCTTCCCGAGGTGGCGATCTCAAAAGCTTCCTTTATTCTCTTGGGCAGTTCCGCCACACTCTTGACCATCACATTCCACTTTGTGCAGGCTCTTGAAATCCCTACCACATCAGCTTCTTGGAAAGCATCGGTGCCGATGGCGGTCGTGGGCACCTGGCCGCAGAACACGACCATGGGCGTCCCATCCGACAGCGCATCTTGCATCGGGGTTACGACATTTGTTGCGCCGGGACCGGAAGTCACGAGGACGACGCCAGGCTTTCCGGATACCCTGGCATACCCCTCTGCCATATGACCGGCTCCTTGTTCATGTTTGGGTAGAATAAAGTCAAAGTGTTTTGAGTTGTAAATGGCATCGAAAACTGGGAGGATGGCACCGCCAGGGTAGCCAAAGATGTGTTTGACGCCCTGTCGCAGCATCATTTCGTGGAAGATTTCTCCTCCGCTAAGGCCGACGAACGAGTCGTCAAGCTCAGGCATTTGCCTGTTAACCAAGGGTGAGGGCTCATTCCGGCGGAAGTCGTTGTTGAATGCAGGACTCGGGATCGGTCGAGTGGTTCTGAGCTCGAGGTCAGCACACAGGATACTTGAGAAGCACGTACACATCGACTCACTGTGCTTGAGCGGCCGCAGTCGTCGCAGGTCTTCTCGACTGTTCAGGGGAGGTTTTGGGGGATTTTCGGTAGGGCGACAGGGCCGCTGCCGAGGTAGTGGAGGAAAAGGATTGGGAACACGAAGGTCTTCTTCTGGACAAAGAGCGAATGGCGCTGGAGCCAGGGCGTATGGCCGTCATTTTGGTCGCCATGATTGCCTGGCAGGACTAATGTGCAATCGTGACGGCCAGAGAGAGGGCGAAAGGGGTGGGAATAAGAAAGCTATGGGATAAGACGAAAAAGAATTATGAGTCAGTTTGTGTGCACGCAAAAGTAGCTGGAGGCTCGGAAGTGGGAGAAAGCAGTGTGGCATGGAGGAGGACCGAGTGGCATCCCAAATCTGCGAATTTTGCCTTCTGGATTTGCGGAGAAGGGCTTGCTGGCCAATCACATAGCTGGGTGCGGGGCCGATGTCGGTCTTGGCGTACACCAGGCGAATCGAGACTCGTTGGTACCAACCAACCACGAAGCGGCCGTTTGATGCTGTCCACGATCATCGGACGGCGGAGCGGAAGAGGCACAAAACAACAAAAACAGTGATAGGTGACATATCAGTACGATTACTTGTGCTTGTAGCTTTTGGTCTCTTGTATACGCGCTGAGCGGCTACAAGGGTTATAAACTCGGGTAGAGTGCATCATCACGCCCGCCTCCCAAATATCCTCAACCTCTTCACACCGCCATCAGGGATAATGGTCATCTTCACGTGCGTCCACACATGTCCTTCCGGGGGCTCAGAAACCACCAGTTGGTCACCCTCAAACCCATGCTCGGTATCTGCTTGGCAAGGCTGCTCTCCTTTGATCAGTGCTGTCCATCCCGTCGCGTCATGCTTGGGGTCCGCCTCGGTGCCCAGAGCCGCCTTTGCCACCTCGGTCGCCCACCCCTCAACTTTGACCGCCCTGGGGTAATTTCCTCTGAAATCCTTGGTGTCGACGATGACTTTTTCGATCTTCCTGCCCTTCAGCCCCAGGCGGACTATCACCCAGTCGGTGTGGCCCTTAACCCTGCTTCTGGCCGTCTCCCATCCGTCGCCCATGTCCTTCCCTCTGCCGGGCAGGATCAGATAGTTCTTCCCGCCGAAATGTTGGTCAGAGCATTCGATGGCGACACCGCCGTTGAGCGCACTGGCCAGGTCTTCCAGGGGTCTCTCCTCCTTTCCCGACGTGACACTTGCCGGTAGCGACGGCGGGACAACCGTCCCGTAGACCCTCAACCTGGCAATCCCCCCGTCCGGATACTGCTTCAACCTCAAGTGCGTGAACTGCTTCCCCTGCACGCCTGGACCAGACACCTTCCACGCCTGCCGTTGAGAGGGCCCGCACTTTTGCGGGGGCAGCACTTCCATCCACCCAGCATACCCTTCCTTCGCGGCCTGACTGTCGTCCTCGTCGCTCGAAAAGGCAACCCCGTCCAGCCCGGCAAGCGGGGCCTCGTTCCCATTGAAGTAGCTCGTGTCCACCTCGACCGCTTCTATCTGTGCCACACAGCCGAGCTTGATCACCACCCAATCGAATTCCTTGGGGTTGTGTCTCCTGGTCTCCCACCCGTCATACCACGCTCCCGTGTGGACAAACACCCCCGGCTTTCGTATCACAGGTGTCGGCGTGAGGAGATTGGAGGCGGCAGCGAAGTACTCATCAGAGCAGGATAGGATGGAAGCGCCGAGCACGGTGGTGGACAGGTTCGTCGAGGATGAGAAGGTCGTGTCGATCAGCGCGGCGGGGACAGGCGTCACGCTTATCCTGGACGTGGATGTGGTGTCCGAAGTCAGCGTTCTGTCGACAATGGCTTCAGACAGTGCCTGCGGCTGGATGTTGACTTCCATGGTGGCTGGGATCGCTCTTCAGGGGGCGCTCAAGAATGTGCAGGCCGCAGGGTGACTCAACCAGAGTAATCTCTAAGAGGTTAATCAAGATATGGCTCGCAACAAGTAGACGTGGGATCGTATGAGTAAATGCTCGCAAGCAACCTGCAGAAAAACCAATCTGCAAAGTGCCAAACACCAGGAACACACAGGGAATTATCACAGAAATTTTACGCCGGGATGCCCAGTAGAGCGAGAGTTGTGTGCGTGCGTCCCCAAATCAATCTGTTTACTCGATACAAACGACACCTGGAAACGCGGGTGGCGGAGGACGCCGATAGATAGACAATCTTTCCCTCCTCTCTGCCAACAACCCCACTTTCATCATTGCCATGGATCCCCGCCACCATTTCACATGTGACGGGACCAGAGCAGAACAGAGCACGTGGTCTCGCGACCTTTGTACAAGTCCAAACAACATAAAAGTAGTACTTCGGCATAGCTGGAGTCCAGAATGGGACTTCTTCAAAGAACACGGTCGACCTTTCCATATGGCGCATTTGTACATGTCATGGCATTCATGTCGTTGTCGATGTCGATGTCGATGTCGATGCCCACCCCCGTCTTGCTCTATAGTTCTATGTGTCTATAGCCGGGGACTATACTACAATATTCTATGTTTCATTGCCTGCCTCCCTCCATGTACCGTCTCTGACTCCAAAGTCTTTGGAGACCGATATCCTTCTTAAACTCGTAAAGTCCAATTTGCCATAGCCGACCACCCACACCCAAAAAAGTCAACGCCGAACCCTCTCCTGTTGCTCAAACACCGCGGTATATCCCTTTTGTACGCCGCATATCGCTCCACTCGCTTGAAATCTGGTCGTTTTCGTCGCGTCGTTATTGCCGTCAAAATCCTTACCCAACAAAATCCCATGTCGTCCATCGACCATGACCAGATACCGATCAAAAACACTCGCGCGATCTCCTGCCCCATACACCTTGATGACTTCTTCACTGCAGAAGACTTGTCAGGCAGACCACCTCACACACCCTCTTTGCCGCCTTCATCCTTGGCCTTCTCTTCTCGTCTTTGTCTCCTCTTCATTTTCTTCTTGTTGTCAACGGCCTGTCTCCAGCCCTCCCCCCATATCGTTGTGGCCCACAAACAGACAGCGCTGATCACTAGGAACACGGCAGAGATTGTGCTGAACCAGCCAACCCCGATCGCCTCGATCGCTGGCAGACACACGGCGGACGCCGCAGCAGCGAATGCGTACCGGATCATGTAGTTTCCCGCCACCACTTCTGCGGATTGGCCCTTGTATTGCATGACGTCCAGACAATAGGTGTTGAGGCTCGGGAAGCAGAAGAGCTGAGCAACCCCCTGAAGGAACATTGCCGCTACGGGTAGAGGGATGCCGCCTACCGCCTTTTCCACCGACCATCCATAGATGAGCATGCAAGCGGGCACGACACCGCCAACGAACACATAACATGATCTCAAACGATCCTCGGCCACGCGCCTATTTTTCTTCCGAATCCACTTTTTCACGATGTGGTCGGCCCAACGACCACCAAAGAAGGTACCCAACAGATACCCGCAGCCAGGTGCAATATAGAAAAGGCCAGACTGGATGGGAGATGTCAGGTGGAACCGAGGGTTGAGGACATAACGGATCGGCGTGAGCAAGCCGTACATGTTCCAGACAAGAGCACTCGATGAGAGACCGGCGATGATAAGGTTGGGGTACGAGAAGAGTAGGACGGCGATACGGAAGGGAGACACCCAATGAATTATCCGCAGTGTCCGCTCTTTCTGGGAGTATTCGCGAAGCTCGTGAATCTTCTTTTCCGGAATCGTCTCAGGAAGCAACAAGATCACCAGGACGGCAGCGAGGCCACCGAGGGCAGATTGCAGCCAGAAGATGTCACGCCACGAACGGAACGTGACGATTATGCCTCCGATAAAAGGCCCAAAGGCAGGGCCGATCAGTGTACCCGAGAGAAACCAGCCGAGTGCGGTGGCTCTCGCTGTCGGAGTGTAAATGTCTCCCAGACACGAGTTTCCCACAATGAGAAACGACGTCCCTTGATATGCGGTGAGCATTCGGAAGACGAAATAGGATGCCAGATTGGGTGCGAGCGCAGTCCCGACACTGAATGCAAAGAACAGAATGGCAGTGATGATGCACACCCATCGACGGCCATAGATGTTGGACATTGGACCCCAAAGACAAGGTGACAGACCCATGAAGATCAGATACAGCGCATTCGACAAATTGATCATGGTGCCGTCAGTGTTGTAGGTGGCTGCTACCTCCGGAATAGCAGAAAGGATGGTGGTGGACGAGATCGGAGACAGAAAGCCACACAGCGAGAGGACGCAAGTAATGACGATTTTCCGGCGCTCACTGAAACGCTCATATTGGGCGGCATTGATTTCGACAAAGGTGCTATCATGGCTGGGCACACCTTGTATGTCGTGCGCCGAGATGGCCGACCGTATGCGTACCAGATCCGGTTTCTCTTCTGCGCGATGATCTCTTATGCTCATGGTTGGTGTTCTCTCGAGGTCCAGGGAGACAGGGTAATCTGATGGCGACGAGATAGGAAGAATGTCGGGATTGGTGTTGTCACCTTGGACGGTGTCATGGTGAAGTTCGCCGGTCATTGTGAGTATGTTTGGAGAAAAGGTCTTCGAGAGGCGATGGTCATTTCCCCTGAAAGGAACGGCTATAGTCAAACCGGAGGGCGACCCACAAGAATGTAGGGCTGTATCTTGAGATGCTTTCGCGAGTAGTTTGGGATGTGGCAGGGCGATATATACGCCAACACAAGACAGACGATTCAGACCGCAAATATGCAGGGGGATGTAAAGAGAAAATGACTCAAACAACAGTACTTGTAGATCGAGCAATCATCTCGAGGTCCTCCTTCACCGTCACCTTCGAAGTTACCCCAACCCTTCCCTCGTACTGGTTCGCAGGGGATCCTCTTAACCACCCTGAACCACGACGGATGTGCGATTCCTTTTTTGGGCTCAGCCATCTCGAGTCCTTTCCAATAATCGTGGCTCATGGTTGGGTCGTCCGATCTCGGGCATTCCCCGCGCAGGGAAATCAGAGGACCTGATTGGGTCTGGAGGACCTGCGCCCTTGCCATTGTCGTTGAACCATTGCCGATTACCGAGTTGACCAATGACCGACAAGAGAAAAAGGACTGGCAGAGAAATTTTTTCCCAGCAAAGCGTGGTGACAATCTCCAACCGGCAGAAGCGGCGACTTAGGTCATGGTCGTGCCGACGGAAACACTTTAAAGTGTTCGGGTCACTCCGACTTAGCGTGGGTGAGTACACTGGTTCGAATCAGTACAAGTGTGTTGCTTTCAAGGATTGGTTAAGCTAAGAGACAAGAAATAGTGGAAGAGCAAGAGCAAGGTGGCAAGCAAGCCCTGAATTGGTCACGTGAGGTCACGTGCCGAGACGTGCACGTGCCTACATTTTGATCTCGCAGCCTTGCGGCCGTTGGCGAGGCTGAGAATGAATCATGGTTGTTTCGATGCTGTACAATCTAACTCTTGTGTCCTTCCCCTGCACAAGTCTAACCCTGTTTTGATCCAACAAGAGGCTCACTGCAATTACAACTTCGATGCCGTCCTTGGCTTCGACTCTTTGAGCATCTGCGTCAGTTCGCGCCGCAGAATCTTCCCCGAGGGTGACTTGGGAATGGCGTCGACAACACGGATGCCTCCTCTCAGTTTCTTATGGTTGGCGATTCTGGCATTCAGCCATTTGTCAATGTCCGCAACAGCATCCTTCTCGCCCCTGGCCTTTGCTTTCTGGCTTAGAACAATGAAGCCGACCGGAACGTCAGTCGCTTGTTCTTCGATCCATTGCGGGACAACACAGGCATCCTCAACGTCAGGGTGTTCCAGGAGTTTGCCCTCAAGCTCCGAAGGGATGACTTGCAACCCCTTGTACTTGAACATCTCCTTGATCCTATCGACAATGGTCAAGAATCCGTCCTTGTCAATGGTCCCGATGTCTCCGGTGCGGAACCATAGCCTGCCTTCTTCGTCGGTTGCAAACCCATTTTTCGTCGCCTCTTCATTCCGATAATAACCCTTGGTCACATTTGGTCCGCGACACCACAGTTCCCCCGGTACTGCAGAACCATCTGACTCATATCCTGTGTCCTGCATCGTCTCGGGGTCAACCACCCTATACTCCATGTTAGGCGTGATAGCCCCGACCGTATTTCTCTTCTCCGGTCGCTCGGCGGTGACTGCAGCGCCTAGTGGACTCGTCTCGGTCATTCCCCAGGCCTGCAGTCCCAGTACCGTCGTCCCATACAACTCCTTGAACCGTGCTTCAACAGCCTCCCTGAGCTCTATACTCAAAGGAGCTGCGGCAGAGTAGATTCTTTTCAAGCTGCTGAGATCGTACTTCTTCATCAAGGGGTGTTTGGCCATCAACAACATGACTGGTGGCACCACGTTAACCATTTCGGGCCGATATTTCTGGCAGTTCGACAAGAAGACTTCGGGGTCGAAACGGCTCAGGATGACAGCAGTGTTGCCCACAAATGTGTTCATGGCCACAAAAGAGGTAAGACCGTAGATGTGACTGAGCGGTAAAAATGCCACGGTTATTTGTTTCCCCGTGGTTTCACTGTGCAACTGGACAATCCACTGCTGAATATTGGAAACCAGATTTCTGTGCGTTGTCATGACGCCCTTTGCTCGACCCGTGGTTCCCGAAGAGAAGCACATGAAGCAAAGCCGATCCTCCGCCTCACTCGGCTTGATGCTGACGAGCGGACTGGGTGGACAGTCTGAAGCGAGGCGTTCGGCGGTCGGTTTGCCCTTCTTGTCGCGAAGCCCATCTGCTTGAATAACCTGAATGCTGGGGATGGATTTCACCACCTGCTCGGCCGTTGGGAGCAGCGAGGAATGGACAATCAGGAACCTGGCGCCGCTGGTCTCGAGTTGCGCTGTCAATTCCAGTGGTGTATATGCTGCGCTGACGGGCGTCACGGTGGCGCCACATCCTATAATCCCATAGCAAGTAATAGCGTAGTCGATACTATTGGGGCTGAACAGGGCAACAATATCCTTGGGCTTGACACCTAATTCTCGCAGACCGTGGGCAAGTGACCGAGTTCTGCGCTTGATCTCTCCATAAGTGCGACAAGCCCCGGAGACGGCATCGATAAATATTGGTTTATCTTCTGGCGTCTTATTCGGATTTGAGAAGAGGTAGGTCAACAGGTCGCAGTCAATCACCTTGACCGACGGATAGGATGAGCGGTAGATTCTGGCCGGCATCGCGGATTAGTTGGGAAGGTACAAAAGCCCTGAGATCAGTATGAGTTCCAATCCAGACACAAAAGACGAGATGAAAGGGACGAGATGCAACGAAGGAACCAGCTGATAAATGAATTGATCGCCGCGAGACAAGTGCAAGAGATGTAGTCGGAATTATGCCACCATATCGCGGAGCCATCGACCCGTGTTCCGGTTAAGGAAGCTGACACAACACCGTAACCAGCCAAATGAGATTGGCATCAGGATTGGACGAGAGTCTGAAGTGCCAGGGCCTACTTGCGGCAACCATGGCTATATTCCTTCCCTGGCTGTTTTCTGGGTCGCATCTGTGGGACTTGTCAGCTTATGATCTGACCCGTATCCTAGTGGCGATCGAAAGGGGAAAGCCACTTCTGGTATTAGACTTCAGATCCAGAGTGCCACGCCATGCCCTTGCCACCTTGGGGATGGGGAGTATCCGGGCGATGGTGATCGGGTACATCATTCCACTGGGTAGTCAGCCTTGCGGCAGCTACGAATAGTCAGCCCAGGATATACAGAACACATGGCCAGATGCTTGTAGGTGCATTCGATAAGAGGCCGAGCAGAGGCTATAGTGAAGAAACTTTTGGTGGAATAATCGGGAGCTTAGAAGATTGTCATCCACTTCTCTGGCCAATATAGGGCATTGAAGGTAGCTGCTAAGCTTACAACAGCCTAGTTACCGTGGTCTGAGGATCGACATCAGGACACTGGTTCCACGCGGCGTCATAGTAAAGCAAAGCTAGTGGAAACCGTGGTTACAACGGCTGTAAGTAAGCGAGGCATGGCGTTTGTTGCGGCCAGTGGGAATTGAGCCGGGCACCGTGGTTTGAGTTGAGTAATCATTCATCGAATGGTGGATGCCTTCAGTACATAAATCCGAGGTTATTGTTCTGGATTATGTCTTGTTGTTCGAAGAAATCATGGCTGTTCAGATGTGTAAATAGACAGAGGATCGTGCGCAGGTTGACAACCACCACCGAGGTCCGGATGATCAACCCTGACCGGCATCTATATCGTGTCGCAACGTGAGTAAGAAAGGGAGGTCTCCAGTAGATGCCGGAGCATGGAATCCTTTGTCCCCCGTACAACCATCCAGCATCATTCCCAGCCACGAAGTACCTGCTCCCACTCATACATCAAGCGCCGCACCGACAATGAGCGACGACCCTTGGCTGGGTTTCGATACGACAATGGCTTCTTCGAGCTTGTCTTTGCTGATGTCTGGGAACTTTTTGAAATAGTACTCTCGCTTGAGGGCCTCGGTCACGGCAGCAACCTTATGCTGTGGTACCAGATGCACCGTGCAGCCACCCCAGCCTGCGCCTGTGAGTCGAGTTCCATAGGCCCCGGCGTTGTGGGCGATGGAGCAGATCTGATCAATCTCCGGACAAGAGCATTCGTATACATCTCGGCACGAAGCTTGTGTCCTGTTCATCAGGTCGCCAAGATAGAGCAACTTCTCTTCAGTCAATTTCCCCGAGGTCGTTAAAGCCTCTCGGAACTTGAGAACACGTCCGGCTTCTTCCAGGACATGTAAGGCACGCTGCTTCAGCTTGAAAACATCTGCTCGAATCGGAAACTTTGACATATACTGCTTTTCAAGTTCTTCCACGGAGATGCCCAGAATCTCGGCAATATCTTGTCTGGTGTAGCCCTCGTCTTTGAGGTTTGACTTGATGATCTCAACAATGGACTCGACCTGCGCGGCTAGCGGCTCATCCGTGCGACCTTCCTTCTTCATAACCTCCTCTTGAAAGTTTCGCAGGCAGAATCCCAGCGAGCTCTGATCTGGATTCAGAGCAATATCGTGGAGCTTTGCTAACACCACAGTGGCTAGAGTACACTCAACGACCCTGAGGTTGTAATGAATCGGGGCAGTCACCGCCTTATCAGAGGTAACGAAAGACTGTGCAATCAGGAAAGTGACTTCTGGATCTGATGTTGGGACGGGCACATGCTCTGCGGAGAATTCTGGGAAGAAACGGCAGTAGAGGAGATAGCCTCTTTCAGAAAAGATAGATGCGGCTTGGTCCATGCCTCCCGAAAAGACACCGACCGCGCGTTCCGACACTATGCAGAGGTCAAGCAGATCCTGTTTCGAGATGTCGTGGTGATTTGCGGCCATGACACCCAGCGCAGAAGCACAGACAAAGGCTGCGCTGCTAGACAAGCCACCGCCCGCTGGGACATTTCCATCGATCAGGATTTCCATCCCATTGGCCTCGAAAGAGGCGCCAAAGTGCTTTCGGAGGTATTCGAGAGACCCTTTCAACCCAGCCAAGAAGTAATTGCTCCATGAATGATTCTCGCGGTCGATTTCGACTGCGCCAGAGTCTGGTATAACCAGCGTCCTGGATGGATACTTTGTAGGATTTACGTTCGCGATCTTGATTCCAGCTGCGCCTCCATTCTCGCGGGAGATAATGCGAACGGCTATCAGCACATCCACAGTCAGAGCAGTTGGCAAGACATTGTAGAGCGAGTAGTCGACATGTTCGCCGATTATATTGACTCGTCCCGGGCTTCTGGATACAAACTCTGGCTTGTGACCATATTCGCTTTGGAAACTCTGAATCAAATTCTTGAAGCGTTGCTCGAGCTCAACCGGCACCGTGTGGCCTTCAGATGCTCCTGCGTACACATGGTCGAGGCTGTCAACCTTTGGCACTAGAGCTGTCATGGCGTGATTTGACTCTTGTAAGGTGGATTTGGTTAATCGGCTGGACAGCTCTGACAGCAGCTTCAAGACTCAAGGGTTTGGAGACGGTAAAACCAGTTTGAAGTTTGGCACACAAAGTGAAGTTGCATTGCAACGCATCACGAATCACGCGCTCGGAACGGAAAAACGACAGCGCCGAATCTTGTCGTTCTGCTGCATCAACTTGCCAACGCTTGTGTAAGATCCGTCAACATCACAAACCCAACGCCCCGGCCAGGCACACTCCGGCCAGGGTCAATACTGCATCGAGGAGCCCGTAACCCAATAATATAGGGTTTTTTATACGCGATGAATTTGGCCTATTTGTAAGCATGCATGACCCATGGCCAATCCCGCATTTTGCTGGCGCTGCGGAGAACAATGCCTCCTTGACTTCAGTATAGTGAGGCCTCTCCATACAGTGCTGATCGCCAGATACCCAAGCCATTAAGAGAGACCATCCCGCACTCTCAAGCTATGAGTTGTGAAAAAGCCCATTGTCTCATTTTGATGTTTGTTGGTCTTGCTCAGGGTTGGTATGGAGAGCACTGGGAACAGGCCATCCCCTAGGACTATACCTTCAAATAACCAACTGCTTTGGGTCCACCATGACGCAGAAAATACACTCGCGCTGCCGCTCAGGCGTCAGATATATTCGCACGTCCAAACCCATTATCGAGCTCGGAAGCGTCGCGAAGCTGTAAGGACAACTCAGTCCTCATCAGGCCGGAATCAGAGGAGAGTCCATCCCAGGACGGACGAGGTTCACCAGCCGGCCTCGTTGCTACAACCGTCGTCTGTAACACCTTATGCCCTTGCTAGGGCTATGTCGCCTCTCTCACTAGTGGGTAGAGGGAATTCGGACCCATTCTATGTCTACTCCGTTGCCATTGGACCCCAAGAAAACAATCTCCTGAGCCTCTACCGAGACTACATACTCCCGCTGACGTACCACTTTAGGATTGGTGACAAAATCCTCAACGAGCTTGCTATGCGAGATTGGCGAGACAATGTGGCCACGCTCGAAGACAAAGGGACTGCACTCGGTACTTTGGCTCGCTATGGCTCGATAGCCACCCGAGCGAATCCTGGCATGCGGCCGATAGCCCTGCAATACCTGCATCAGAGTATTCGAGCACTCAGAGATAAGGTCTCGCGCAGTGAGGACGTGCAGGACACCGTGGGCTGTTTGCACATGAATATGCTGTTCAATGCCGAGATCATCAACGGCAATTCCTCTGGAGCCCTTGTGCACGGCAAAATGCTTTTGCATGTCTTGAGACAGCGATGGAGAGAACAACGACTTGATTATAAGATGTTGCTGTATCAACTCCACAACGATCTACAGTTCACTTCTACGTTTCTAACCCGTCCGATATTTGACAAGGGCGATTGGTTGCCTGACGTGTTGAAGCCACTTTGGGACGCCGCTGCTCCATATATGCCCGTATTTCCTGAAGAAGCACTGGATGGCGCGATACAAGACGAGGTTGTGACATACTGGTTCAAAAGGCGTCGGCAGATGCTCAAATATGAAAAGCTTCAGAATACCGACAGTGAGAGCCTTCCACCTCTACCACTGGTGACCACGTCTGTGATGGCTGCCTCGTTTCTGTTCTACAGTCGTATGATCAACTATTATCTGGACAACGAGGAAAGGCTCAAAGGTGAGGGACTGAATGACGGGGTCGAAAGCTATCTGTATGGTCACCAAGCCCTCGCACTGGCAGCGTGCCAGCTCCTGAAATGGACGCATTACAGTCCACAAATCATGGGCGTACCCATTTATGAAGACTCTCAGCTCTTGAGCGCTTTATGGCATGCCCTAGAACGCTGCGAGGCGTTTGCAGCACGGGGCTTGGGGAACGAGTTTCTGAATGCGAGGATGTGGGCATTGTACGTTGGCTCTCTAGTTGAGCGTGGCACCCCCTTCGACCAGGCTCCGACAAACCAACAGCGGTTCAACCAGAAACTAGCTGAGCTAGCTTGGTCGATACAGATCTTCACTTGGGATGATATCAGACCGATTCTAAATGGGTTTCTATACGAGGACATTACACTATCTCAAGGGTCGATCTGGTTCGAAGGGATGATGCTCGAGTATCGATTGGCGAGGAACCACAGCAATTGCTGAACCGAAAATCTCTGTCGATGAATGTAACTTTTCTGCTACTGGTATCTCAGGGCATCTCAAGCAAGGGGTACCTATTCGCAGTTGCGCGAGATCCAGAGCTCGAGACATCTGTGACACTCCCAGTTCGCTGGAATGAGCGCTGAGACTGCTTGCGCTGCATAGGGGAGGGCATGATGTTGTTGAAGGTGCTAAAGGAAGATTGCATCGTATGGGGGTGAAGCATACAAGGCACCTCATATCAGGAATCTCTCTGAAATATCTTGCTGAGAGAACTTGCATAGCGCTAGCCTAAAACAGTTAGATATCCATTGTCACAATAACAGCGACAATTACGTATCTGCGGAGCACCCTGCGCCGAGCGCGGGAGCGAGCCTGCTGTGCCTGTTCGTCCTAGTCGAACCACAATGACCAAGACACATGATCTGTTTCCTAACGTGAACAAAGGAATCGCCTTTGCTCAATATATTACCGGGATGTTTTGACACACTCGCCAACGACACATGAATAACTAAATTCTGCCGACTTCTTCAAGGCGTGGGTGGCCTCAGCCTGCCTTGATTTGGACAACTGAAGTGGCCCGCAACTCCTCTTCCTCTTCCCCGAGGCATCGGCCTTCGCTATGGATTCAGAAGGCGCTGATACCGTCGTACTTGATCACAACTCCGCAGACTCAGCGCCAACCGACAACAATGCCGCACCATCACCATCGCCAAAAGACAAGACTTCACGACCGCCGGCGCCCTCACGAGCCTCAACCTTCGGACCGAAATGTTGGATATGTATGAGCGACAAAAGCGAGGATGACCCAAACAACCCCCCAATCTGGCGTTCGCCGTGCTCTTGCAGTCTGACTGCCCACGAGGCATGCCTGTTGGACTGGGTAGCCGACCTGGAGAACCCTAAAAATAAGAACAAGAACTCTGGACACATTCTGTGTCCTCAATGCAAATCAGAAATCAGAATATTAAGACCGAGAAGTTACGTGGTAGACAGCTACCGCGCACTTGATCGGACACTGGGAAAATTGGTCCTGCCGGGTCTGGGTCTTTCTTTTGTTGGTACACTATGGGCTGGCGCATGGTTTCATGGATTTCAGTCCGTCTATTTAGTGTTTGGACATCACGACGCGGATCGAGTCTTTAGGTACGCGATACAACGGAGCGAGTTTGCTTGGATGTACAGCCTGATCCCGGTCAATCTGATTCTCGCCCGTACCGACTATGCCGACTTTGCGCTCCCGGGGAGCAGTTTGATCCTTCTTTCAACACAGATCACAGACAAATTTGACATTGACATGACGATATGGCCACCCCTACCAAGCACCGTATTTGCTTGCTTACCTGCAATGAGATCAATCTACAACTGGTGCTACCACAAGGCATTCTGTGACCTCAACCGCAAGTGGTTAGCAGAAGTACAACCCAGACACAATGACCGAGGGGACGTGCCAGGGGAAAACGGTGGCGACGATAATGAGGACGATGTGGAAGAAATAGTCGAGGAGGGCGAAGTTGTTCTTCAAATTGATGTCAACTTGAACGGCGAAGATGATGAAGAAGGCCTCGGCGACGAACAGGCTGCCGCTGCCGGGAATGGAGCCAATGTGCAAGGTCAACCAGAAAACCAACACGTTCGTCGAATATTGGGCCGCCACGATCTTGTGGATGGTAGTGGCAGTATTGGACAGACTATCCTTGGGGCGTTAGTCTTCCCTGCAGTGGCTGCAGGAATGGGCAATCTCATCAGCTGTGTCTTGCCGTCATCATGGTTGACTTACAACAACTACACGAACGGCCGGCCCGGGCTGCTGTCGACGAAGTGGGGAAGGAGTGTCGTGGGCGGATGCCTTTTTGTGGTGCTCAAAGACGCTTTATTGCTGTACTGCAGATGGAAGCTGGCGCAGGGACATCGACAGAGGCGCATTATGAATTTTGATCGGCGAACGAAACAATATTTAGTATAAGGGTTCTCACGAATCGTTATTGACTATGACCTGATGGATTGGAATGAGAAAGCCTGGTGAAGTTGGCAGCATTGGAAGGCCTCTATTCAGTCATAGACAGACATTATGGACTACTTCTTCAGAGGGTTACCTGAGGCTAATATAAACCCTTGGGGATTGGGACTCACATTTGCATCCGATCTTGGTTCTGTGCTGAATTGAATCCTTTGTATGAGTACATACCTTACACTTTAGCCGGCACCACGGCCCATGCAAGGCTGGGTACCACAAACATGCCAAGCCTTCAGCCTTGTCCGTGAAAGTTTGCTCCAGACCTGTGGGTTCAATTGAAGTCAAGCTTAAGATTTAGAACGACTTCAGTTCTCAACCTAGGGGATTCCTGCGAACTCGATCTTCCCACCCAACGACTCAGTCTTCTGGCCACATCTGGTGCGACTACAGATGCACGCCTCTTCGATCCGTGCCGCGCTGGCACATGCTTTCCAGATCACGGCTCGTCCGTCGCTGCGCAGAGTGATTCCGACATCGTTTTCTTTGAGCAGCAAAGATGCGCCTCAAGGAGCCACGAGCTCAAAGTTGTCCTTCTCAACAAGTTCCGCTCAGTATGCGAAGAAGAAAGGCGGTGGCAGACCTGATAGACGAATCAGTGAGTCTCTTTATTTCTTTGGCCGCCCGTTGTTTCTGCTCGCCTCTCTCTGCATCCTTCCTCTATTCTTTTCCTTCGTACCTATACTCAATAGTCTTCTCTCCCATCTCCCGCCAGCCTTGGGCAATATATTGCACAAGGGTTTTTGCCTACAGACAATTCTTTGCTTCCGCACCTCTCACCTCTTCTCAATCGTGCTAACAAGTAACTCTTCTCAGCTTTGATCCGCTATTTCCTGCACCACCCCACGACCCTCACACCGCGCCCGCTCCGCTTCTCACGCAACAGATACCTGCGACACTGGACGATTGCTCGCGCGTGGAACCTCTATCGGCACAACCTCAAGAAGTCGCGCGAACTCGAGCTGGAGCGCCAGTACAACGCGATGCGGGACGCGAATGAAGAACTCCGCGTCGGCGCCGGCGACGGAGGGCGCCTGTTCCGCAAAGCCCAGATGAAGACCGGTGTTTGGGGCATAGGTGGGCCGGGCGCCTCCTCGGGACCCGCGGCCAGAGGGAGGGGAGGCGTCCCCATCGAGTACGCCCGCGGGTTGGTCGAGTGGGTGGGCAGCACGGGCGGATTGGGCGCTGGAGTGGAAGAAGGCGCCGGCGAAGGAAGTGGCAGCAAGGCCAAGATATGGGATTACGCGTGGAAAAGACATTGATTTCTGTCCTCAAGGATCACACGAATCGAACCTTAAGACACGAGGAGGAACCCCGGCCGGAGAGATTTTGGTTCAAAACCGCCAGCGAAGCAAGGGATCAGACTATGTAAAATACAAGACATTCATGCCGACAGACCACGCCTGTCTGTGGTGGATGGTGGACTCGGAAGTTCTACAATCACCACGTTCGATTGGACACCACTAGGGATATATTGATGGTTGGGCGCAAGAAAATGACGAGGGTTACTTGGTGCTCTAGATTCAAAAAGCAGGGCAGGGCGAAGCGGAAGAGGAAAGGAAAGGAAAAGGGCAAGAGTCTCGTCCAGGCGAATGTTCTGAATCTCTTTCAGCTCGATGCCAGGGTCAGGGCCAGAGTCGGGGGTGTGAGGGCCGGAACGATCGGTCGGCGAAATACAGAGTTCTAGTCATGGTCCGTTCAACAAAGTCCCTCCCAATGCACGAGAGCAACATATATCTCCTGGACGAGCATGCGTAGGTCATTGCATGTGCCTACATGACGGTAATTCTCCAACAAGGAGAAGTGAGCGAGATGAAGCATCGACAATGTATATATACACATGTATAGTATACACCGAGGAAAAAGTTTTGGGAAACTTTTTTGTATCTGTCACGCCAGTGACCGAACCTTCCTCGACCATCAAACCTGAATTGAAAAAAATGACGAAGGCATACAGTAGAAAGGTCCATCGTTGATGTCAGTTCGCTAAATCGAGTATGAAAAAATTCGTTCGTCTCGTGTCGCACAGATTCAAGCTCATGCCTGGTATGGTTCAATCCGTCCCCAGACATCGTGCCCCGGTTCAAGACTTCATTTGTCCAAGAGGGAAAGGTACAACGTCCGCCTTTTCATCATTTTTGAGTGTCGGTATTAAGTCCCTCGGGGGTGGCGTCCTCCAACTTGTGCTGATCCAAGTGGAAACAACCGCCCATTGTGTTTTTCCAACCCGGCCCATATTCATCCAAGTCCAATCTTGTGTCGTGCATCACAGAATGACGCAACATCCGCCGCCGCCTTGCTTACCATCAAACCTCAGAAGAGCAGCTCTTGTGGCAGCCTCGAAAACATCATCCACACCTTCGCCCGTCAAGCTTGAACATTCGAGGTATTTGCGAGCGCCACAAGCCTGAGCCATCTCAGCGCCTTCTCGCGACGTAACAAATTTTTGACTCCGCTTCCGCATCTCTTCAATGGCCATCGGGTCTTCTCTCAGATCCTTCTTCAGGCCCACCAGAATGACAGGCACATCGGGACACCGTTCACGGGCTTCCTCAATCCATTTATGCCGCACATTTTCCAAGCTGTCGGGGCTGTCGACGCTGAAGCCGATTAGGATGACATGTGATTTCGCGTATGCCAGCGGCCTCAATCTTTCGTAGTCTTCTTGCCCTGCTGTGTCCCACAAGGCCAACTGTACTGATCTCCCATCCACTCGACAATCTGTAACATAGTTCTCGAAGACGGTGGGAACGTAGGTGGTGGGGAAATAGCCGAGTGTAAAGACTGATAGCAGTGATGTCTTGCCGCAGGCACCGTCGCCTATTATAACGAGCTTCCTATAGAATAGACACATCAGTTACTGCTTTGGATTTCTTGCCAAGCGCGCGACTCTGGCAGCCTTGTACGGGAAATAGCGATGCCAATGCATCGCTATTCCCACCACGTGGTAGTCGAAGTGGACAGGACCGACATACCTTCTCATCACATTCTGTTGTGCCTGGTCCTGCGCCATGTTGGTAGAAGCTGTCCGGGCTGTGTCCTACGGGCTGACAGATCACGGAACTACAGAAATGGTGGGCGAGAGGACAGCTTCACAGGCCCTAGAAGCTCTCGAGGAAGACGGTGAGTTGCTTTTGCGGATGAGAGAAAAGAAGAAGCGGATCGAGGGCTTCAAGAATCTTAAGTCGGCGTGGTGCAGCGGATAAGAGTGAGGACGAGCTGAAATGAAGTCAAAGGGGAGTGGAGGAGCGGCCTGGTGTAACTGGACGCAACTGGACGCAACTGAGGTCGCATACAGCGAAGCCAGCGAAACAAATCCACAATCGGGTACGTTCACCTCCACCAGCAACCGGCACCACCAGCCGCAGTTTCAGTTATTTGCAACGATGTTGTACCGTAGCTGGGGAACAGGTTATCTTGTTTCTGAATGACTGAGACTAGTCCGCTGGCAGTTCGTGGGGTCCAACGGAGAACCAAATCCACCCCGAGCGGCACGGTAGTGACCTTGAGACGAGGCAGTGGTTGAGGCGCAGCCACAAATAGATCTCTTGGTGACCAGGGCTTTAGATCTCGCGATAAGGGGCAATCCTTGCCGTCGGATCAAGAAGGGGATGATGATAAAATCGCAGCTATCGGTTAGTCAAGGCTTGAGATGCGCAGAGATGCGTTTTCTCGACGTCGGCTGTGGTACGAGTATAGACGGAGGACTGGAGTTGCAATGGCTGGGAAGCAGATGGCCTATAATTGGCGTACCACAATGGGTGACAGGGCAATTATTGAACCCTTTTTGGCGGCTCCTCGGCGGACAGCGAGCCATCCAGACGTGCCTTCAAGGCCCCTTTGCCGCACCGCAGCTTCCCTGGGGGAGGCACTGCACCGCGAAGCGCAACTGCAGCCTCAACTGGACGTCGCCGCCCCACGAAACTGAAGGTGAACCCGACTGGGACTGGACTTTGAGACTTTAGACATCGAACAACTCAACTTCCTTCACGTTCAGACACCCAGGAGCCGCCATTGTCCCGCCATAACCCTCGCTTTCTCCTTTTCAACAACTTTGGCTCTTCGGCGTCTCCCTTCCTTCACCCTCCTTGTGCGTTTGCCGTCCCTGCTGCATCTCCTGTGGTCGTCACTTACCAATTTGTGATACCCCACCAGCAACCGAAACCGCCGTGCCTTTGATGTGAACCTAGCAAGATCAACATCGATATCGAACCTAGCAGTCCTTCAGTGACGGCTTGGCGCTATGCCTTCCAAGAAGAAGGCCAGTACACAGGTGAACGCAGCCAAACCACAGCCGTTGCCCGCGACCACTTCAGCAAAGGATGCGCCTGCACAACCTCAACCCCTGCAAAGTTCCGGGCCGGCGATGTCGTCGACCTCTTCTTTGAACCGCCAGCCCTCACATGCAAAGTCAGACGCAGATCTGAAGACCGGTGACACCACCGAATCAGCTGGAGAGCCTGCTCAAACCACGGCTGTAAATCGCAAAAAGCAAAAGAGACGGGAAAAAGAGGCTGCAAAACGGGCCGCGGAGAATACGCACATACCGATGCCTAATGGTCATGTTCCTGCGCCAGAGAGCAAACCGAATGGACAACTACCGCCCGTAAAACAGGGCCGGGGCCCTGTGAAGGGTTATTTCACTGAGGAACCTGACTATCCCGATCCCGCAGACCCTGCCTATCCAGATATTGGTAGTCCGGAAGAAGCTTTCTATAGCGGCGATGAAGACCCCAACTACGGAGAAGGAGCAGATGCGATGCCAGACAGCTCGTGGCTAAATACCAGTAAACGGAAGAAATCCAAAACCGCTAACGATGCCCTGTCGAGGACTTCAACCATGCTATCTCGCTCCAACATTCCACCTTTATCAAACGCTGCGATGAGGGCATCTCAGAAACTCTCAAGTGATCACATCTGGAATACTTCAACTCAGGCCGAGCGGGAAAACATCAAGCAGTTTTGGCTGGAACTGGGGGAGGATGAGCGACGATCGTTGGTCAAGGTTGAGAAGGAAGCCGTCCTGCGAAAAATGAAGGAACAGCAGAAGCACTCATGCAGCTGCTCCGTATGCGGACGAAAACGTACGGCTATTGAGGAAGAATTGGAAGTGCTTTACGACGCTTACTACGAGGAACTCGAACAGTTTGCCAACCACAACTCGGATCTCTCCAATGTTCCTCAGATGATGGCCCCTCCTCATCCTCCGTTTAAACGAACAGCACATCCCATGGCTGGGTCGTACCCTTCGCGAAGTCGGATCAATGAGATCGAAGACGACGAGGAGGATCTCGAGGACGATGACGAGTACGACGATGAAGACGACGACGGCTATAGCGACGATGAAGGAGAGCTCGACGATCATGGCTTGCCGCCTGGTCCCCCCGACTTTTTCCAATTCGGCAACAGTCTTACTGTGAAGGGTCTGGCTACCATGTTCTTCTGAATTGTTTGATGGACTAACAGGTTGTACAGATGGTATACTCACCGTTGCGGACGACTTGCTGAAGAATGATGGAAAACACTTCATAGACATGATGGAGCAATTGGCAGAGAGACGCATGCAACGTGAGGAAGATATTCGCTACCATTCCTCGTCATTAGCTCATCGAGACATTCATCAAGGTCACAATCATCCTCCCATAGACGATGACGATGACTATGACGATGAGGAAGATGACGAGGACTATGACTCGCAAGAAGAGGATGATTTTGAGGGGGACGATATGGTCAGTGCAGACTTTCAATGTTGTCTGCAAAACTTCTGACACCTTTGCCTTAGGATTCCATGACCGAAGAACAGCGCATGGAAGAAGGTCGACGCATGTTCCAAATCTTTGCCGCTCGAATGTTTGAACAGCGTGTCTTGACAGCCTATCGAGAGAAGGTTGCTGCCGAACGGCAGAGAAAGTTACTCGAGGAATTAGACGAAGAGAGCCGACTTGACTCGCAGCGTGAAGCAAAGAAGGCCCGAGAAGCCGCTAAGCGGAAGGAAAAGAAGCGACTCCAGAAACAAGCGAAAGATGAGGAGAAAGCAAAGAAGGAAGCCGAAAAAGCTGCTCAGGAAGCAGCTGCGCGAGAACTAGAAGAAAAGCGGCTAGAGGAACAACGACATCGCCGAGAAGAGCAACGCAAGAAGCGCGAGGCCGAGAAGAAAGCCGCCGAGGAGGAAAGACTCCGCAAGGAAGCTGAGAAGCATCGCAAGCAACAGGAAGCACGCGAGCGCCAAGCCGAACAGGAGCGCAAGGCACGGGAAGCCAAGGAGCGAGAACGGCAGAAGCGCGAAGAGACGAAAAAGAAAGAGCGCGAGGGGCGAGAAGCCAAGGAGAAGGAGGCCAAGGAGCGAAAGGCGAAGGAAGACCGGGAGAGAAGAGTGAAGGAGGAGCAGATTCGGAAAGAAAAAGAGGCGAGTCTGAGGGCGGACAAGGAAGCCAGAGAACGTGCCGCCCATCAACACCCGACAAAACAGCAACCTGTGGCGCTTCCTCCTGGCTTGCAGCCTCCGTCGCGCGGTCCAAGCATACAGTCCCCTCAAGTGTCTGTTGCAACACCGGTTATCCCTCCGAAAGTCCCGACGCCTGTACGGAATCGACAACCTTCACAACCTGGCCAGCATTCTCATGGCTCATCTCCGCGGTCACAGAAAGCTAGCACTGAGATATCCCAGAGCTCTGCTTCTCCAGCAACCGTCGCCATCCCTCAAACGCCAGCCCTTGGACAGCCAGCGAAAGCACAAGGCCAGCCTCCACCACTCCACCACCCGCAACCCTCCGCCCCGAGATCGCCATTGAATAACCACGGCCGGGGTCAATATCCATTCAACATGAATGGCTTGCCTGGGTTGGGAGTAAGTGGACCACCACCGATGGGTGCTCCAGGGATGATGCCGACCATGATGCCCCCAATGCACATGTACCAAGGGCCCCCGATGGCTAATCAGCAGCGGTTTTCCCAGAACGGCATGCAGTATCCCCCGGGGTTTCCGAGGCCGTTCCAACCAGGTCAACAAATGCCCTTTGTCCCACAACCTCCTAATCAGGCACCTCCTATGGTCAATCAACAACCAGTGCCCAAGCCTCAAGTACATTCCAGACAGCCATCCAGCGAGCAGGCTCCGATAGGCAGACCTGGGCTGGGACCCATCGCACGACCATCCAGTACCACTCCGGACAAACAGAAACCACACAACAAGACTCCGGACAGGGATATTGATCATCTGGCCACACAACTCGGTAGCAAGGCGTTGTTGGACGATTCAGATGCGCCCTTCTTAGGGAATTCGGATTCACGCATGAACCTTCCGCCTCTCGGTCCGCCTGGTTCCGCAAGGATACCATTCGCGAGTAGCTTCCCGGAGCACAAGCAGGAACCATTCGGTATGGGGAATCCTGGTTGGGGTGGCTTCAACCCTGGCATGGGCCCTACTCCTGGCTGGGGTCCACACGGATCGCAACGTCCTAGCCCGGGTTGGGGACAACCCCCCTTCGGAGCCATCGGCTCTGGGCCTCAAACCATTTCAAGGTCCCATCTCCCACGGCCGATCGCAGTGAGACTTATGCTTGTTCAAGCTTGCCGTCAATTGTCACAAATCCCGGTTGCAAGTGCCGACGGGTATCATCCAGTGCAGAATGTACTCCGACAGCTGGAGAGTCTCAAGGCACCAGGCGAACCACCAGTCTCCATGGAGGAGATGCTTGGAATTTGCGACACCGAGGGCAACTCACAGAATGGCGGCGGATCATTCGAGGTAATCATCGACAAAGCCAGAGGACAAGTGATCAAATTTGTCGAGGATGCCCCAAGCCACCCACCCAGAGGCAGCGTTGGCGAGATTGGCAGTCCTTTGTTGGGTCACAGCCAACACATCCACCATACCAGTCCCCTGGGTGGCATTGTCGGCCAACCAAATAGCTTCGGACCTCCAGGTAGGAGTTTCTAGTGGTTGACTCCTCCAAGAACAAGATTGGGCAGAGAGTTGTTGCGCAGAGAGAACCTTCTGCACGCCAACGCTCAGCAATATCGAAGGAGTATGTCGGCGAATCAATAAGCTGGCGTGTGCTACTGTTGATTTCATTGTTCATTCGGGTTTCGTGAGAGAAGGAAAGGTGTACGTGCTCTTGCGCTTCTTGTGGAGGAAGGGACGGTATGTGTCCTAAAGACCTCATCGTAATAGCATCAGTATCACGGTGGGCTTGCTGTCAGCCTCGTGTGAGAATATTCACAGAGAGCAGCCTTAGTGCCTATAGGGCTGAATAGCTGAATACCACTGCATCTTCAACACGTCCACGGTTCCACCATTCATATACTACCTTATGAGTTGTATGTTTCAAATCAAAATGTTGTACACTATGTCCTTAGGCCTCACGACCCATGGTGCTTTAAATCTCCTCAGTTTGCCTCCCTCTCTCAGCCCCTTTTATAGCATCTCGAAGTCTAGCGACCAACGACAAGACTGTCCAGAACGCCCGCTGTATATCTAATCACCTTGTCGATCCCTTCACCCCTGATTGCACTAACAGGTATCGCCGCGACACGATTCCGCCAGCCGTTTCGCTTCCCGCTTGGGTGTTCGATTTCCCCGTGCGCCACTTGTTTTATATAAGCTGCCAAAGACAGAAAGTTTGCCTGTGTGGATGTGGCCCCAGCTGCTTCCGGTGCGGTCGCCTGAATCGTTGACTGGGGGATGTCTGCCTTCGTGGCGATGACGAACCAGGGTTTCGCGCTGATCGGAGGATACGTCAACGGGTCGAGTGTTGAGGATGATCGAGAGGGCCCTCCGGACGGAAAAATCGAGATTTTCTCTCCATCCTCGTTGAACAACTCGTCCTCAGCGGGCGGCGCTGCTTGAGCTTCGAAGGGCGACCAATTAATCAGCCTCGCCTGCGTCTGCTCACTCACTTCCCGATCCCTGAGATTTTCATACTCCCCAACTTCCTTCCACAATGCCTTCAACTGCGTGACGGCGTCTCCGGCAGATAGATCGACCACGAATGCCAAGATTCTGGCCCTTTCAATGTGTCGGAGGAAGGAGAGGCCGAGGCCTTTGTCCAGATGGGCATCTTCGATGAGCCCGGGAATGTCTGCAACGGTGAAAGACTGACGGGGCACGATACCTCCGGATGAAGAGGGGCTGCTCGAGTCTGTAGCTGGCACGCCGGAGCGCACCAACGGTCGCCCTTCGTTGTTGTCCAGGATGACCGTTCCGATGGTGGGTGAGAGAGTGGTGAATGCCCAGTCGCCGATCCTCGTCCTCGAATTCGATATCGCGCGTGTGAATGTACTTTTGCCCGCGTTGGGCAGACCTACCAGCCCCACGTCCGCCAACAGCTTTAGTTCCAATTCGAGCTTGATCCGCACGCCCAATTCGCCCTTGGTCGCGAACTTCGGCTTCGGGTCAGATTTCGTCGCAAAGTGTGGGTTTCCCAGTCCACCCACGGCTCCGGCGGCAAGGAGAATTGGTTTGTCCATTGGCTTGTCTAGGTCGAGGTGGATGGGTGCGCGAGGCTGGAGAATGGCAAGATGTGATCTTCTCGGTTTCAGCAAGTGGGAATTGAGGGAGGGTAAATTCGACGAGATCTGGTTGCGGTCGTTGGCGGTCGTGGCGCCGGCATAGATGATGAACTTGTTTCTCAGCCCGTTGTCTGGGATCTTAAGGGGGTCCTCTTCGTCGCTAATCGCGCGGAGTTCTTTGATACGAATTTCTTCTTCCACACTGGGGTCGCTCCGCCAAATTTCTCGCACGACCGTTCCCACGGGGACTTGGACACAGATGTCCTCCCCCCTGCGTCCTCCCTGGGACTTTCCTTGGCCTCCTATGCCTCGTCCGGCTTTTATAATGCCGCGTCTGGCAAGTTTGTGGAGAGATGTTTGTCCAGGGACAGCTTGTATAAAGATGTTTCCACCAGACCCGCCATCACCGCCATTTGGTGGGCCATCGGCTATATGAGCATCGCGGAGGAACGAAACGCACCCGCTCCCACCGGAGCCTGCGTGGACCGTTATTTGGCATTTGTCAATGAAGATCGATCGGGAGTAGTCATCGGGAGAAGGATTCAAGTGTGACAAAGCAGCATGAGTGGACGGCGTGGAAGCGCCGAGGGCAGGATCGTGGAGAGAGGCATTCGTCTCGAGAGTGGGAGGTTTATTGAGTCGACATGTCTGATGTAGGTGTCGCAGGCGGAGACGGTTGTGGAATCGAATCCGACGTGCTTGAACGCGTAGGCAGTTGAGAGAGGAGGGGTGCAAGAGGCAAGGGTAGAGAAAGGGCATCAATGTGCCCTGCACTGCATTCATACTGTCACAACCTTTCCTATGCCAGCCAGAGTCCGGGCTTGGGCAGATGGACTTAGACTCCAGGGACACTCGTTTCAATTTCGCACTCCCACGCGTCCGCGGGAGAAAAAGTTCGCGACCCGCCAGCGGAGCGGAATTGATGCCGAGACTTTGGGAGTTTCGTCAGGTTTGAACGAATAGAAACGCCGCAATCCGACAGAGCCGGAAACTCTAAAATCCCCGCGATTCTCTGCCCTTCGTTTTAGTCTTGGAGAAAGCTTGAAGGACAGACTCGACATACTCCAACCTGACTACAAGACTGCAACACTGCAACACTGCAACTGTTGACTTGGCAAAACCATCAAAGAACCCCATGACAAGGCCACGACGATGACATGCTCCTCAGCTATTTCGAAGAAGGAGAATTGCCGCGGTGGATCGCCAGCCATTCTGCCACCATGTAAGGAGGGAGATCCTACTGGGGAAACCAGTTCGCCAGGGAACAGCCATCCCCAAACGTCCCCAATGTCATTTCCAGAATGCTATCAATCCTCTATTGTGGGGGTCAGTCTAACCCCCCGCCGCTGGGGCCATGACGACCCCCATGCCTGTGATTCAGCAACTTCCCGCTGGGATTCCAAATGTGGCACTTGAAGAGACTATGTCCAGCGAGAGAGGTGTTGAGACCCAAGCCCATGGAACGATTCTCATCGGGCTGAGAGGTGGGCAGATCATGTCAAGGCTCGTGAGGCGGTCTGTCTCGTCAGTTGTGTACTTGCATGCATGGAGAGATATCGCTTCGGGATAACGATTACCGATCCCACGTGTATTACGCCCTGGACTATTGCATTGGCGCGGCGAGGGCCCTCTACCTTGGTACCGATACATGGGGAAGATCACAGAACATGTCGCTGCCATACGGCCGTCCTCCCTAGAGGCAGACAGGAGCCGGAACCGCTACCACCTCGTCACATCAGTGCCAATTGGCTAGTTCACATTGCATATTGAGCCCGTTCATGCCGCCAGCTACGCCCCGTGTGCATTGATTGATATCAAATGCTATGCAAAGCAATTTATCACTACCTCTTCACAGATGGTTGGGAAAGAAACGGTCCGAGTGTTTCTCCTGCCACTCCCCATCGTGCGCGAGGACAATCTCTACTGGGACGCCATTCAGTCCGTCTCTTTTAAGCACGCGCATCATGTTTAGCGTCTTGTATGCTGCCTCGAGGTCTTTATGAATCGTGGTCGTCCGTCCCTTCTCATCCGTCCAGGCCCCGAAGTCCGTCTCGCCGTTGAAAATCCGCATGTGGTGGCAAGCATCAGCAGCCAGATAAACCCATTTGTTGACGGCCGCGCGGACCAAGACATTCAAATGTCCCGGCAGATGGCCTGGGCTATCCACGATATACACAGTGCCATCGTTGAACATATCTATGGCATTTTGGATCAGAGACACGGGCTGCCAATACCACCCGTGAGCCTCGTCAAACACCTCACTGGCTTTGGAGCTTGGTACTGCCGGTAACTCGATCGTGCGATCCGCTGGCAACAAGTCGGGCTCAAAGAAAGGGTTTGCCAGGTCTGGTCCCATTTCATTTCTGAGGAGCTTGCCCGTATTGTGGCCGGCAATGAAAGTTGCAGAGGTGAAGTCGGATGGAGTGCCTACGTGGTCCCAGTGCACGTGGCTCATGATCACATAGTTGATCTGTGAGGCTTCCACATTTCCCAGTGCCAACGCTGACTTCACATCGTCTTGGCTGCTCAACGGGTGCCGTGTCTCGAGGTGCTTTTGTAGCCCGGGATGGTATTTGGTCAAATCTTTCCGGATGCTCAGATCAAAGACAATTTTCGACTTTGATGCCGGGTGCTGGATAAAGAAGGCCATTGACGGCATGGTCAGTTTCTCTCCCTCTTTTGCATCCGCCACGAACTTCCATGCTGGAGGCGAGAGATAGCCGCAGCGAAGCGGTGATACTGTCGGATAGGAGATCGTCATGCTGACATTCCTCTCGATGGTGAACTTTGATCTGGACTTTACTCTCGTATTCTCGACTTATTATCTACCTGCAAAAAGCATTTCGCTGTCCAGTCACTGCATTTCTGTTTCTCTCGGATTGCGGCCCCTGCCCAACAATGATTCCCCACGACATACGGCAAAAGCCCGACGCCGCCGCTTTCGGCGTAGCTCCAGCTCCAGCTCCAAAGGTCGGAGTCTTCATTCTCGTGGGGGTTGGTTCGCGTGGGGAGCAGTCTCCGCTCTCCGCTATGTGCATTTCTAGGCCTTCCTTGGGACGATGTCGGCTTGACCACCCGTTCGAGCATGTCGCATATCAAATTCATAACGGTTTCGGGGGCTCAACCCCGAAGAACCGAGCTCAAGTTTCGAAGACGACTCGATGGTATGCTATCAGAAATTGGGGTTTAACAGCCTTCTTGGCTTAACGAAAGCAATCTGCTAAACTATGGGCTGACTGGTATCAACAGGTTCTCTATGTGGTGGGCGATTCGAAGTACCTCCCCTGCCTATGTTCCCGCCTACCAGTCGAAGATGTCCTGCGCTGTTGGGAGGTAAAGACCAAGACGCCTCGGTGACTGTAGTTTCCGAATGCGGCCAAACAGCCATGGGAACTTCGACTTTTGCCTGACTTCAAATTCATAGATCTTTTCCTCGCTCAAGAGGGTATTACTGATATCGTCCAAGCCGTTGACCAGGCAGTGCTTGGTGTATGGATCCATGTTGAATGTTGCGATCAACTTGCCATTGGCATCTCGGATCTCCTGGTTAGGTAGATCCACTTCAACTTCGCGTCCGGCGAGACCTTCAGCATGGATTTTCTGCAGAGCTTGTGCATCATCGAGAGGAATCGCTAGCAGTCCATTCTTGCCAGAGTTGTTGAAGAATATAGACGCGAATGAAGGGGCGATAACACAGCGAAAGCCGAAGTCGACCAGCGCCCAAACAGCATGCTCCCTCGAAGAACCACACCCAAAGTTGTCCCCGGTGCATATCAGTATCTTAGATTTGCGATAAGGGTCTCGGTTCAAGACAAATTCTGGAACTTCCTCGTGTGTTGTGCTGTTATACCGAAGCTCCTGAAACAGATGCGGCCCTAAGCCGGTCCGCTTTGTGGTTTTGAGATACTCTCCGGGTATCACGAGGTCGGTGTTGATGTTTTGCATATCGAATGGAGCCGGTACAGACCGAACTACATCAAACTTGGGAATCCCTTCCACACTGCGCAGGGCTTGCTCTGATGGCCGCTTCGCAATAGCATCATCTCCGCCGTCAGATACAGAAGGCTGAGTGCTTGTGGTCGCTTCAATTGGGCCATAGCTCCGGACCTTTTCACCCTCGAGCGTCAATTGTGTCACCCCAAGGGATCCGTTCTGTGAGGTCAAGAAGTCCCTGACATCGGTAAAGTGTCCTTTGATAGCAGCAGCCGCTGCCATGGCTGGGGAAAGGAGATGAGTCCGGCCACCAGGTCCTTGTCTTCCTTCAAAATTCCTGTTGGTCGTCGAGGCACACCGCTCCCCAGGGGCGAGGACATCGGGGTTCATGGCCAGACACATAGAACAGCCAGCCTCTCGCCAGTCGAATCCGGCGGCTTTGAGAATAACATCCAAACCCTCATTTTCTGCTTGTTGCTTTACCAACCCCGAACCTGGAACGACCATCGCATAAACCGAGTCTGCAACCTTCCTGCCCTTTGCCACTCTTGCGGCAGCTCTCAAGTCTTCGATTCTCGAGTTCGTACAAGACCCAATAAATACACGGTCGATCTTGATATCCGTCGCGAGCATATTCGCCTTCAAGTCCATGTACTTGAGCGCCCGACGGATTGCAGCTGCTTTGAATGGTTCCTTTTCCTCATACTCTGCTGGGTCCGGGATCCTGCCATTGACCGGGATGACATCGTCCGGCGAGGTTCCCCAGGTGATTGAAGGAACTATGTCGGCAGCGTTGATGTCGACAGTATAGTCCCAGTGCGCATCTTCATCGCTATACAGCGTCTTCCAGTATGCAAGAGCCTTGTCCCAGTCGGCCCCCGAAGGAACAAGCGGTCGCCCTCTTAGATATTCAAAGGTCACTTCATCAGGTGCCACGAGGCCGCTCCGTGCCCCCCCTTCGATGCTCATATTACACAGCACCATTCTTGCCTCCATGGACAAATTTCGAATTGTCGATCCACAGAATTCGATGACACACCCAGTGGCTCCCGCGGTGCCAATTTGGCCGAGCAAATGTAAGATGATGTCTTTGGAGTAGACGCCGAGACCAAGTTCGCCCTCGACACGAACGCGGAAGTTTTTGTACTTCTTCTGAAGCACAGTCTGCGTTGCCAGTACATGTTCAATGTCTGAAGTTCCGCCACTGACGGCCAGAGCACCAACTGCTCCGTGGGTCGGGGTGTGTGAATCTCCACAGAACAGTGTAGATCCCGGCAGAGTCAGCCCTTGCTCCGGACCTACGACATGGACAATACCTTGCCGGCGATCGGGCATGCCAAAGTACTTGATGTTGTTTTCTTTGACGTTCTGCTCAAGCAACGTGATCTGAGTTCTGGCCTGTGGTTCTTGGACGAAAGATGCTGCGTCCCGATACTGGGAGCGGTCATCTGTTGGGACATTGTGATCGACTGTGGCCAATGTCAAGTCCGTCCTCCGTACTGGACGCTTGTTCTTTTTGAGTCCATCAAATGCTTGGGCAGTCGGCACTTCGAATATCAGATGTGAATCCACGTACAACAGCGGTGCTGCCTTGTCGTCAGGATTTACCAAATGCTCTTGGTAGATTTTGTCGTACAACGTGAGAGGCATATTGGACTTGCTTGGCTCGACTTGACTTTGTTTGAAGTTGGTCGTGTGCTTCAGGGCCAGTTCTCAAATCCAACATACTGGCGACAAGAGCTATCTATCATATGGTTCACGTGTCCGGGGAATGGCCGGTACCGTGGGGGACGCTCACTTGAGGAACTCGGGTGGCCGATCATGGGGTTTTTCAGATGTCAGTGACGATCAGCTCCGATCGACTTGCATTTAACCAGACGGTGCATTACCCCCAAAGCTCCACGTGGTCTTCGGGAGAGATACAGTGCGGCGTTTTCAGAATCCGTGGGGGTCAAGGGAGAGCATCAGATTCGACTCATGGCCCACTATCTACTGATCTATCGAGATGCCTTACAGCCTAGCGCTCTCAGAGATGGCATTTGTATCCGCCTTATCCAGAATCTGCATGAGGGCAGTCACCACAGCATCCCCCATCTCCGTTGTCGAGGCACTGCCTCCGATGTCGCCTGTCCTGACCTCGAGACCGCCAGAGGCTTTGTCGTCCAGTGCGATACTGACGGCCTCGTCAATGGCATTTGCCAACAAGTCCAAGTCACAACTGTAGCGCAACATCATGGCGGCGCTTTGGATGGTGGCAATGGGGTTGGCTTTGTTGGGCGGCAAGTCTGGTGCAGAGCCGTGACTAGGCTCATACATGCCGGTAGAGAGTGGTTCACCTGGAATGCCAGACAGACAAGCAGATGGACTGAAACCCAGTGATCCGGCCACAGCGGCTGCTTCGTCCGAGAACAAATCCCCGAAGATGTTGTCGCACATGACAATGCCGTTCAGAGACCGAGGGTTCTTGACCATGATCAGGGCCAATGAGTCGGACAATTGATGATGGAGTGGAATGTCTGAGAACTCCCGGTCGTGCACCGTTGTCACCGCCTCACGCCACAGCCGGCAAACGGCCAGCACGTTGGCCTTGTCGACAGAAGTGATCTTGCTGGGCCCCTTGGAGCCTCCGTGTTTGCGGGACAGATAGGCGGCCATTCGTGAGATCCGCTCAATCTCCCATCGGTGGTAGCCCCAGACATCATGGGCATAGTCGACCTCCTCCTTCTTTTCGCCAAAGTACACGCCTCCGAGGTTCTCTCGCAGCACAATGAAGTCGGTTCCCTTGACAAGATCCTCTTTCAAAGGCGAGCATTTGGCAACCCCGGGAGAAGGGATTTTGCACGGTCGGATATTGGCCCAGCAATTCAGTGCCTTTCTCAAGTCCAGCACCGAAGTCTCTGGCCGCAAGGCGCCCGTCATGCCCCATTTGGGACCGCCGACCGCGCCAAAGAGCACGGCGACCGAGTTCTTTGCTTTTTCAATGACCTGGGGAGTCAGAGGGATGCCGTGGACATCGATAGACTGGCCACCCAACAAATCAAAGTCAAGGTCAAATTTGATGTTTTGCTTGGCCACTGATGGATGGGCTTCCACAGCACGAAGCACTTTGACAGCCTCGCGGATCACCTCAGCGCCGATGTGGTCTCCCGGAAGGACCAAAATCTTGAATGAAGGCATTTTTGAGTCTCGGTTCAACAGGACGGAAGACGGTAAGTTGTCAAATTGTCACGATCCCTTGTCAAATTCGGGACCGGCTATCTTCTTTTTAAAAGGGCAATGACACGGCGACTGACCCCGACGTGCAGCGACGATATCGCTCGACAATCCCCCACGCGAGGATTGAATTTGCCCAGCCGGCCATTCCCCGACCGTGTCTTTTGCTCTAAGAAAGCATGTCCCAAACCAGCTCGTTTCAACAACCCCGATTTCTGCGGCAGTTGAGGCGGAAGGACCCTTGCAGGGACTTTGCCCGCCCGGAGAGTCGCCGCAGAGGCTTTCCCCAGATTTGATCACCACAGGATCCACAGAGAGTCCCAGTGGGGGTTTGGGATTCTCCTGGGACGTTGGGATAGATCTTCCCCACGGGTCAGGCCATGATACTCCTGCCGTTACCCCAGGAGGTTGGATGAGGAACGGTGCTTGAAGAGCCTCCCCCGGGCAGCCTACATAAAGCGGTAGGACGAGTCCTCGTGTCATCAGCCAGTCTCACACTCTTGTCCTTTTCCTCTGATTCCACCACTCCCTCTCTCGTCGAGCAAAGCTATCCGAGCATGGCCGAAAAAGACACTGTCGTCCAAGCCAAGACCGACATCACTCATGTCGAAGGCCAGGACATCACCGCCGCCCCCGAGAATGAGCAGAAGATTGAGGCCGTCGGCAGGTTGGAGGCCCTCGCCTTCAACTACACCAACGCCGAGGAAAAGCGCATGCTCCTGAAGATCGATGTCATCGTCCTCGGCTATGTATCCGGGGCATACCTCCTGGCCTACATGGACCGTGGCAACATTGGCAACGCGAATACCGCAGGCATGTCCAAAGATCTGGGTCTCAGCGACAGCCAATATCAGTGGCTCCTGACTGCATTGTACCTGGGTTATATCCTCTTCGACTGGCAGACGGTCTTCTACAAGATCTTTCCAGCTCGGTACTACGTGCCCACCGTCATCATCATCTGGGGGGCGATTGCCGGATGTTGCGGCGCAGCTCAAAACTTTGCGGGCATGCTGGTCCTGCGACTTCTGTTGGGCATCTTCGAATCCTCCTACAGCCCTGGCCTGGCCTACTTCTTCTCTTTCTTCTACTACCGCAAAGAGATGGGTCGACGACTCGGCTGGTATGTGTCGATTGCCCCTCTGGGCGCCTCCTTTGCCGGAGCCTTTGCCTACTTTGTCACAAAACATCATCATGCCATCGCAGGTTGGCGGGCCTTGTTCCTCGTGGAGGGTCTACCTGCCGTTGCCGTCGGTCTCTTCGGCTACTGGTGGCTCCCCAGCAATCCTCAAGACTGCCAGTTCCTGAACGAGAAGGAAAAGAAGATTGCCCGAGCCCGCATGGTTCGGATGGTCGGCAACGTCGAGCGCGACCGGAAGATCAACTTGAAGAACTTTTTTCAGTCACTGCTCGACCTCAAGAACTGGCTGCCCACGCTCATGTACTTCTCGTGCAACGTCAGCTACGCCTCTCTGCCCATCTACACGCCCACCATCCTCCAGGGCATGGGCTTCACGGCTCTCCACGCCCAAGGTCTTTCCGCCCCGCCCTACCTCTTCGCCTGCCTCGTCGTGCTCGCGGTGGGCCATCTCTCGGACCACTTCCAGCGCCGCGGCATCTTCCTGTCCATGTGCAGCGGGACCGCGGCCGTGGGCTACCTCATCCTGTGCCTGGTCGAGGTGGTCGGGGTGAAATACTTTGCGCTGTACCTCGTCGCGGGGGGTCTCTACCCTTGCATCGGCCTCGTGCTGTCGTGGGTCGCCAACAACAACGGCAGCGACAGCAAGCGCGGCGCGGGCTTCATCCTCATGAACTTTGTCGGCCAGTGCGGGCCCCTCGTGGGCACGCACATCTTCCCGGCCAGCGAGGCCCCCCACTACAAAAAGGGCTTCTGGATCAGCTTTGGGTTCTGCACCTTCGCCTCCCTCCTCGCCCTGACCCAGGTCGCCTGGCTGAAGCACCTGAACAAGAAACTCGACGAGAAGTACGGTCCGGTCAGGGAGATTGTCAACACCGAGGACGAGATCGGCGCCGAGACCGACTCGAGCGAGAATTTCAGGTATATTTTGTAGGCAACGCCTCATTGACCTGGCCTCGCCTCGCCTCACTGACCTGACCGGGATTTGGATCGGGGACCGATATCACGGTCAGTTCATCCTGGTATCCGAGTACAAAGTACACGTACAAGTACATGCCGCAATTTACTCTGATACATGGGATAGAGACCCCCCTGAACAAGCAAGTGAGCACGCACAAGGTGAACAGGTTGTCAATCGTCGACATGACTGACTGGTACGAGCCCATGTCAGATTTGGTATTGGGGAGGCATACATACATATAACGTACCGAGTATAGTTACGTACATACAAAACACCGCTCATTCATGAAATGAGCCACTGAGCCCATGTAATGCGGGTGCTTTTGGTTACAAATCGCATTTGACATTTGTGCTACGAAAATAAATGTCCGTCCTTTTTTCAGTTTTCACTTCACTTGCTATATTTTAGGAGACGGCCGTGATGTTCAGCCGCTTAGGTACAAGTACACGAGGTCAAGGCGAGTTACTCAAGGTCAAGGCGAGTTACTCAAGGTATGAAGAGAGTACAAATAGCCATGTCTCGTGATTGTAAATGATGGGAGTCCATCATTCTGGAGTAAATCCCTGGCCAGAGCACTGTTTCACCCCGTTACCAGTACTACCTACCTACCTACCTACCTACCCACACACAAGTAGAGGAAAGGTGCGGTGATGGAGAAACCGATTTCGCCACCCGTCATCACGCAGTCCGTGCTCAAGAGGGGAAAGGGGGAAGGACAAGGGGGGGCAAATCCCTCAGAGCATGACCGAGAAGATAGATACCCGTGGAGCATGCATGCATTGACGGCACCACAACCATGCTCACGCTCACGCTCACCGATTGTGCCACTGGTTGCGTGTGGGGGGTGGCTCCTGATCCTCCTCTTTGCGTGTGTACTTGTACTCTGGTCCGTGATCAGTCCACCACTCATGTGGTGCTCGTTCTTTTCCTGGTCCTCGTAGGCTACCGCGGCCGCGGAAGTGGGCCTACATCAGTGGCATCAGTGGCACACATCACAGCTTGGAGATCAGCCGCGCAGGGTCTGCCTCCTCGAGGATCCTCTCCATGACGAGCCTCCACTCGCTCGCTCGACCCGGGTCAATGGCACATCCATCGTAGCTGACGCCGAACATCAAATAGTCGCCATCACCGACGACCCCGGCGAGAAACTCGCCATCCCTCGCGCGGACCGTGGTGTGCAGGTCGCGGAAGTCGGCCACCAGGTCTCGTGGCCCGGGATTCTGTCCTGCTTGTCCTGGCGATGGTGGTGGTGGCCACGCCGAGGAGTCGCCCCTCGTGTCGTACTTGCCCGAGGCGATGAAGGATCCTCGCGCGCCCACTGAGCTCACCCCACAGGTGGCCAGGCCGGAGCCTGTGCTGGCCGGGTACTGGCCCTGGACGGTCCAGCCGCGTTTCTTGGCCTGTGGGCTCTTCCTCTCGAGATACTCCAACGTGGACAGGTAGAGCAGGGGCAGCAGCTGGCTGGGGCTCCTGGAACCGAGGTGGCCTTCTTCATGCACGCTCCTCGCCCGCTTCTGGTACTGGCGCAGCTGGCGGTGCGCCTGTTTGCCCAGCAGCCGCAGCCGGCCCTCCAGGTCCAGGTCGCCGGTCAAGAAGGGCAGGGTGACGCCGTCGCTGAACGCCAGCATCAGACTGTCCTCCTTGCCTGTCGTCGGGGTGCCGCTGAGAAACGGCCTCGGGTTGACGGGGAAGGAGCCCACAAAGGGCAGACGCTCGTGCGTGGGGACATGGGGGTGGCGCTTTTCCTCGAATAGCATCATCACCAGCGCCACCAGCGCGAAGCACCCACTCCCAATGCTGATTCGGGCCTCGCGGCACACTCTGGACAACCTCCTCGTAGAGACAGGGCCAAGAGTCGCTCGGAGGGGGAAGGTGTTCAGTGGCGGTGTCCGAGTGTAGTCCAGAACATTGGAGAACTTTGGGTCGAGGGGAACGGCTCGGGGTAGTGCTGTCGTTCGTCGAAGCGGGTTTTGGAACGACGCTGGAGGTGGTTCTCGGGTGTGGCGCAGCATGCGAGTCAGGAGCCACGACCATCGCTGTCTCGCGCGAGATCCTTTCATGGGGGGATATAGCGATTCTTGCGCGGGCGGAAGCCTGTCGACCGGCGGCGTTGTGCACAGACGGCTCGCTTCCGAGGACAGTTGCTCGACTGGTTGGTTGAGCAGGTCGATGAACGAGGACATCCATCGCATCGAGGTCAGGCCGTCGACAATCTCGTGTCCAGTGATGAACATGAGATGAAGCTGATGCAGGCCATCCGCATCCTTCTGGATCGGCATGACATAGAGCCTGCTCAGCGCGTGGGCCTCGTCGATGCACCGACTCGAGTTCAATGTGTGGATGAAGAACTCGTCCATGTCCACCCGCGGATACCAGTCTTCGACGAACACGGCATGCTTTTTCGCCTCCGCCAACATCATTCCCGCGTCGTTGCTCGGCTCAAAGACATATAGTCGCTCTGCGGGTGCGAAGGAGGACTGTCGCCCGCCGAACAAATCAGCAGCGCTGGCGACTCTGGCGGAGAGGAGGACGTGTTTCTGCCGCATGACGCTCCAGGTGAGCAAGATGCGTGCCCTCAGAGCTTCGGCCGACAGAGATGTCCTCATTTCCACGTGCAGGTGCATCGTGAGATCAGCTCTGCCCTCGAAATCCGTGCCGTCCGTGTTGAACAGGCCCTCGACAATGCCAATGCGGCGGTAATACACGACCCGGCCGTCCTTTGACGTTTGCCGCCAGTCATGCCGGTTCGTCGCGTAGCTCTCGAGCCATTCCGCAGGCTGGGAGGGTGCTTGAGACATGTTTCCCAGCTGACAACTCTGTGAGATAGGACGCTGTGGTACAGGTTAGAAGCACATCTCGTCAAAGGCCAAGCACTCCGTGTGTTTACAGGACTGGTGTGGGATGGCTGTATGATCAACGAGGCGAGGCCAGCACTGATTACAGTTGGGCCACGAGAGTCAGAGCAGGCGGTCAGCGAAGAGGACGCGCACGGGAATTGTTGCGGCCGTTGAGGTCTTTGTCTACAAAGTAATTACTTCAAATCGTGGCTCTGTCCGCGTCTCGATTTGTGTGCGGAGCCGAGGCTGAACCGAATGAGGGGCGCATGAGGCGCCAATTCTTCGGTTTCCAGTTCCGGCCAATATACGAATTTCGGTATCATACTCGCAGCTACATGTGTATATCGTATATAGGCAAATATAACACACCGGACCCTTTGGTCTTGACCTCTCCCCACAGGCTGGATTCTCAAATTGGTTCTCTCACATCGCCTTGCCACATAGCCAAGGCAATCTGCCTACAATGAATAGAGCCACTGTGAAGACTCAACCTCCTACCTGTCCTACACTGCGACGCTGTGGGCCAAGTATTTTGCGTCGCCATGTTCTGGAGTGGGGTGCTCAATCTCCACAGATCGGATCAGCTTCTCGTGGATGGCCGAGCGCGGGACGATGTCGCATTTGAACGGCTTCGGGTGGCTGATGATGCCCGTGTCGAAGTCCACGACGGGGTCAATCTCCTTCCCATTCTCGACGCACTTGCGCACGTTGAAGACGGCCAGGAACGCAGAGATAGACGAAAAGAGAGTCGCCTCCGCGAACAGCTTGCCCGGGCAGATGCGACGGCCGAATCCGAAGGCTATGTTGCGAGGCTCGGGGGGTGGGTTGGGAACAAGAAAGCGCGAAGGGTCGAACTTGTCGGGCTCCGGGTAGACGATCTCGTCGTGCAGCATGGCCCAGATGTTGGGGATCAGGACGCTGCCTTCGGGGATGAAATAGTCTTCGTAGACGTCGGCCTTGGTCGTCAGGTGAGGCACCCCCATGGGTCCCACGGGATGCCAACGAAGGACCTCCTTGACGAGCGCGCCAACGTATGGAAGGGACTCGCGGTCGGAAAAGGTTGGCAGGCGAGAAGAGCCAACCACGGCATCTATTTCGGCTTGGGCTTTGCGTTGGACCTCGGGGTTGAGCGTCATAGCCAGCACGAAGCACGCCATAGACGACACGGTGGTGTCGGCGCCTCCTGCGTACAGAGAGAACGAAGACCACTGCGCGACGTCTGCTGCCTCGGGCGACAGAGGTGACCCATCCTCAGTTTGAAGGAGCTTGGAGAGGTACGAAGGCTCAGCCACCCCGCCGCGAAGCTTTTGCTGCACAAACTTGTACGGGAGCTCCGAAACGGTATCAAGAGTCGCTTTCCATTCCCGAGCGGTACGCTTGAATTCAGTACCGGGAAGCCAGTCAGGTAGATACTTGAGCGCAGGTATCACATCCACCAACCAGGCTCCCGGCGTGCAGGCTTTGGAGAAATGATCGAGGGATCGCTCTGCAAGATCCACCAGCGGATCGCGCCCCTTGGGTTCAATTGAATAGCCATAGCTGATCTTCAGAATAATAGACCCAGCCTGGGTGCGGATAAGGTGCAGCACTTCTTGAGGATTCTCAAGCACGCTGAGCAGGAAACGCCGTGTTTCCAGCTCGATGAGTGGCCGGAATGGATCAATGGCAGAGGACGTGCCAAGCACAGTATGTAGCGCTCTTCTGTAAGCCCGACTCTTGTTCGAGTAAGGCATCAGTCCTAGAATCCGGTTCCATCCACACATGTCAGCCCCAAACACCGGCTTTGGTCGAGACGAGTGAGAGGCGGAACGCTTCTCCATCAAGTCAACCGCGACCTTCTGATCGCTGATGATGATCATGGTCTGGCCCAAAACGGTGAGGGAGCTGATCGGGCCGTAAAGCTCTTTGTGTTTGAGCCAGTGGAGCCATTCTTTGGCGCCAGCTGGAGGAAGGTCGGGTAGATTTCCCACCAAGAATCTGGGCGTAGGACCGGGCGGGAGGGAATGGCCGGCCTTGGATTGCGACTTGGAAAAGAACAATCTGTAGACGAGCAGGGCTACTACAAGGACGCCTGCAACGCCGATGAATAGTTGCGTGGTGCTGAACTGGGCCATCATGGAGGTCTGGCTGCGATCGAAAGAGGGAGCGCTGGTAACAAGATAACGACCCTTACCGTCTGTATTTAATCCCGGGTGCCATGAAGCTCACCATAAGCGCCACGGCGGCCATATGCAAGACCTGACACGAGTGGAGATCGGCTTTCTCATGGACCTTTATGATTCAAGACACGTTTTCCCTTTCTCGTCCTTCACGCCGATCAATTCAGACAAGACGACCGCAGCTCGATGAAGGAGACTATGAACCATTCCACCGGAAGGGTGTTGAACGGTTTCATTCCGAGCAGGGCAGCTCGTAGCAGTTTTTAATTGGCATGTCGACGGGACGCACTTTCAGGAGGGTAATTGCCGTTTTCGGTTACGCAAACTCAAGCTGCAATGCCTGAGATACGGGGAATGGCACAATTCGACCTGTTTGACCTCGAATTAACATCGGAGCCAGGGGTGAGATCGACGAGGCTGGTTCAGTTGGGTCTCGTTGACGCGCTATTAGTCAACACGCAGTAGCGATTGGATGACGACGGTGATGGTTTGCCTCGTCATCCTTGCCGCCCAAGAGCTCGGAGCAAAGTACTCAAGGAGGAAAAGGCTGGTAAACGGCATACGGGGGCGCTGCGCCGACTTCCCCAGAATTCGCGATGGGTAACTGGAGAAAACTGAAATTAGTGATGTGACATCTGAAGATTGTCAGCCAGAAGAGGCGGAGTTTACGCGATCTGTCAGCCGTTGAGTAACATACGAGTAATATTTTGATCGTTTTGCGGTTCTTGCAGAATGACTGGAGCCAGTCCCTCTTGAGAAGACTTGGGAAGCAGTCTGATTCGTAAGACCCTAGCTGCAAGTTGTCCGAATCTGTCGCATACACGATAAGAAATCATAGGATGCGAGAACATCGAAGGGCTGAAGGGAAGAAGGGTCTGTTGAAGATGCTGTTCTAACAACTTCCTATTCCGGACAAGTTCCCCATTCTATCACGTGCTGTCGCGTCCCCTGCCAAGGCCACACGCCATCAGACGCGGTTCTCAGGTCTCTTCAGATGATTGAGTCCAATGCGCAGTACGTTTGTCGCTTCCAACAAGTATCGTTAATTGCAACAATGGTGCTTTCTGGATGCTATCATGACGCCGGAAGAAGTGGCGCGTTTCGCCAGTGATGTGAGGCTGTTCTCTCCAGAAGACATTGACCGTTTACATCGTGTTCTCTTCCGTCTCCAAGAAGCCGACATCAGCTTCACTCCATCAGCGTTACAACGCGAATACAATGCCATATTCCCAGAAGGCTATGTATCGACACAGTACGATGACGCGTGCTTGCAGTGGCTCCTCGACCTCCTCGAGACCGATCCTCACATTCCTCTCAACGAAAAGTTCCTCGATGTTTTACAAGAGGCGAACATAGTGTTGACGACCGATGGAACTTCCACGGATGCGGCGACCGACTACGGGGAAGGGCGGAACAGCCGAGTCGGCAGTTATATTTCTATGCCAGTGCGACCTGCCACGCCTGACTCGATCGACTCGATCAATGAAAATGACCCTCTCTGGCAACAAGCTGTTGCACTTGACAACCGAAAATTAGCATCGCAAGCGCTTGAACAGTGGCGCCAGAAGCTGCAATTGCAAAGAGCTGCATACCTGGAATATGAAGACCCGGCTATGAATGCAGTGGCAGACAGTCTGTACCTGCGCAACCTCGCAAGAAAGGTTTTGTCGCATTGGCGCAACACAGTCGCCGAAATCCGTCAACTTGACAATGTTGCGGATGGGTTTCGTATGCGAAGGGATGCCGCATCTTCGCTCAAGAATTGGACACTGGCTACTCGTGAAATGCTCTTTGTTAAGATCAGGGATGAGAGAGTCCTCCGTAAAACTCTGGGGAAGTGGCAAGAGAGGACTGCGAACCTCCGAGAGATGGAAGTTGCAGCTGCTGACGTCCGTGACCGACAAGCACTTGAAAATGCGTTGATGAAGATGGTAGCCAAGAGAAGCCAGATCCGACAAGCAGAAACCCAGGCGGTTCTTGTGTATGAAGGGAACTTAAGCCGCAAAATGCTTCAGATATGGTTGGTGCAGCTTGACCACATTCGACTAAATGAACGACGAGCAGAAGCCGCAGCAGACTATTTTGCAAGCAAACATACGCTCCAGAAGTGGCGGGAAAAGGCTCGACTCCGAATCGAAGAGAAAAAAGCCATACAGGCTCGCAAGCATGTTTTGAGCTTTACTTACTTTCACAAATGGTGCGCAGCAACCAAGAAGAGCAAGGAGGTGAAATACTCTGAATCATACAAAATCATGAGACGAAAAGTCAAGATGAACATCGCTCGGACAGCACTGAATGTTTGGAGGGAGAAGGCCACCCAGATGCGTCAGATGAATGTGACAGCTCAGGAATTCCGGGCTCGCAAAGATGTGGAAAATGCAAGGCGCACTGCCCATAGCGCAATCATCATCATGTACAACAAGACCGAGCAAATCCAGGAAGCCAATGTCCGAGCCGATGGTCTGTTCCGCAAGAACCTCATTGAGCGCCTCGAAATCTTCGGATCGAATTGGCTTGTGCCCACCCGGCAAATCCTCGAGAATCAGAGGAAGGCAGACGAATACCGCTCTACAAGGACTGCCAGCTACGCAGTTCAAATGCTAAGAAATTGGAGGAATGCGGCATTTAGGACAAAACGACTGGAGGAGGACGCCGATGTGTTATTCCATCGTAATGAGAAGAAACGGGCTCTTGGATTCCTCCAGGCGTGGAGGCAGGCGTCCACCAGGTCCAGGAGGGAGGAGGCGGTAAGAGAGGCATCTCTGGTTCCCGCGACGCCAGCGGCTCGAAGGAGCCAACTGCTGGCATCCACAACACCGGCGTACACTCCAGCCATTGGTTTATTTGACAAGAATATCGGCGCAGTGGAGGAGGAGGAATGATGTTTTGACGAGTTACGTGACCATGAGCTGATGACCATGATACCCGACGATCTGCGATGAGTTTGTAGACACAATATAATTTTCACAATCTTTCCCTACTATCCATCCTCTTGCTGTCCAAGGGGCAGTTTCGCGGTTTGCAGAGAGAGGACTATACTGGAAGTCAGGGTGCTTGGGGTTGACAACACGCTCTCTTCTGAATCCTCCAGGCAGCTCATGATGTAACGAGAGCGACTGACATTATTTGAGATACAGACAAGCTGAGCAATGCCAGTAACGAGTAAACGAGGTTGCAGTTTCTGCCGCCCGATGCAAGCTTGTGGAACACACCATGGGTGGGACATGATTCGATGAGGGTCGGTTACGTCGATGACGATTTTCTGTTCTATTCTTTCCCCAACCCGTGACAGCAAACGACGCCATGATACCTTACAGATTGTTACGAGTCAAAACTCGACGGCTAAATCCCACCTCCCTCAGGACGAGGGTGGCGAAAACATGTCGAACCAAATCATCGCAGACACGGACACGCCTGATCCGTGGATGGTGGCCGCGCACAACCGCTTCTACCTGACCTTTACCTGCGGAGACCGTGTCGAGATATGGATGTCGCACAGCATGGAGAACTTTAGGAACTGCAAGAAGATCATCGCGTGGAAACCGCCGCCGGCCACGCCGTGGGTGGTGGACATCTGGGCCCCCGAGCTACACTACCTGGAGGGGAGATGGTACATTTACTTCTGCGGCGCGCATCCCGAGGTCGGAAACCCTTCCCACAGGACGCTGTTGCTGCGCAGCCGAAGCCAGGACCCCATGGAGGCCGGGGCGTGGGAGTTTCTCGGCCAGATGAAGGGCCTGCCCGACCACTGGAACATCGACGCGACCGTCTTCTACCTGCCACGCACGGGGAAGCTTTACTGCTGCTATTCTGGGTGGCCGCTGGGCGACTACTCGGACCGGCAGCAGGATCTCTTCCTGATCGAGCTGGAGAGTCCCGAGCTCGCGCGGGCCGAGACGCTCACATGCATTTCTCGAGCAGAACTGCCGTGGGAGAGGGCGGATGGAGGAACGCACGGCATCAACGAAGGCCCCACGTTCGTCAGCATCCCGGGCTTTGAGGGGATCATCTACAGCGCCAACGGGAGCTGGACCAGCGACTACCGGCTGGCGGTGCTCGAACTGGTCGACGGCGCGGACCCGCTGAAGGAGTCGTCGTGGAGAAAACGGCCAACACCACTCCTCATCAGTGACGGGGACAAGGGCGGGCCGTTTGGACCTGGGCACGCGAGCTTCATCGCCTCGCCGTACGGAGATGGGAGGGTCTACTGCATCTACCACGCCACGGAGCACCAGGGCCAGGGATGGAGCAACCGCAAAGCCCGGGTGCTGATGTTTGGTCCTGAGCACTTTCACCCCCAAGCCCAGCCCATGTGCTGTGCTCTGTCAGTCTCGGGGCAATGGAGCGGTGGTGTCTCGGCATCACACTCTGGCGGACGGGTTGGGAACGTGTCTGAGCAGGGAGCGGGAGCGTCGTCACCGCACGTCCGTGAGCAAAGACGAGCAAGTCTGGTCGACAAGCTTGGGGGGAGTCTATGGAAGAAGTTGAGGGAGTGGACATAATAGCCACGACGCTGTCCTTTCAGGTCGTCCCCCTCCTACTGATAAAAGGCTGTCAATTGCCTATTGATATGGTTCCAAGTCTCCAAGATCAAGAGGCCACCAATGAATAATGGGGAGGAACCCACGGAGAAATTCCGCCTCCAATGTACTTCTTCCTCCGGTTTTTTTCTTTTCCTCCGTCCCTCCACCGAACTCAATATACGAATGAATCAGTGAAGCTACTGTCAAGATTCAAAACATCCCATAGCCGAGGTTTTGCCCCTCTTCTCTCCACACACAGCACCATACTGAGTACAGTACGAGGTACTCGGTAAGCAACCACAACCTACCTATCTAGTACAGACAGGCACACAGGACATCAATCCTAGGAACAGTAGCAGCAGCATCAATCCCAGCAGCCGCATTACACCTATAGCGAGACTCTCCACTGACGATCTGTCTGATTACTTCGCTACTTCTCTACTTGGGTCACATACCACGTAAACGTTTCTCGGTTGCCGTCTATTCAGACCACTCATGGCCGTAAACAACTGGGTCTGGGTTGGCCCGCTGTCCCTGCTCGTGGCGCTGTCGGGCATCTTGTACGCGTACCCATACCCGGTGCTGAATCTGTACGGTGGACGGGCGACGGACGCAAAGATCCATACGACGTGGCTGCATCACGGGCCGGTGAACAACGACAAGTGCTGGACGAATTCTCGTTCGTGAGATCCCATCTATCCCCCCATCCTCCTACTCTTGCGTATTTAGTATCTACGGACGGATGTATATGTGCTGACCATGTTCGCCAAACAACAACAGTTGGTCAAGCTTGCGAGGACGTGCGAATCCATCATGACTCGGCGACGGCGTTCCTAGGTTCGTTAAGCCTTAACTGCCCCTGATCCTTTAAACCTCATCGAGTCTTCAATCTAACCCCAAAACTTTTCTCTCTAATCTAGCATGCGGCTATCCCGAGACGCGAGAGGCGTTTTATCCGCCCATGAACCGCCACGACACCGAGAGCGCGGCCACCTACCACGAGTACTTTGTGAAATACGACATCAAGGTGCGTAATGTCAATCACAAACAAAACCCGTCTTCCTTGACCATCCCGGGGGCGGAGGGTTCAAAGCTTCAGGACCAACAGACTGACAAGAATCCACAGACAGACAAGGCGACCAAGATGAAGATCGAAGGCCTCGACTCGTCGCACGACCTGATCTTGCACGGCATTGATCTCTACCTGCCAAAGGACGACAAATCAAAGGTAAAATTCCATTCTTTCGTGTCTCTTACTCGGTTCTCGATTCCCCGATACACCCTTGCTTGCAAGTCCTTGGACGATAAGTCACCATCCGCACGAACCAGTTGTCACGGGATATATTTCCCCCTTTTGTGCGTTTCAATCGCTAATCGCCCAAAAAAACCCCGACAGATCTACATCTTCGCCGTCAACCACGACCGCAAAGGCGAAGCCATTGTGCTCTTCTCTCACAAGCTCGGGACCGACGTGTTGACGTACGAGCGCGAGTTCCGACACCCGGCCATCAAGACGCCCAACGCCGTCGCGGCGACGAGTTTGAGGTATGCAGTTTTCTCGAGATGTCTTTGTTGAGTATTATACTAACCATCTCCTCCTCAACCTTGTCCTCCGATAAACAGCTCCTTCTTCATCACCAACGACCACTACTTCTACGGCGGCGGGCCCCTGGCGACCATCCTCCGCAGCCACGAAGACCACTGGGGCCCCTGGAAATGGGCCACCGACGTCGTCTACTGCAACGCCTCGTCGTCGGACATTGACTGCCGCACCGTGTCGCCGCCGAACGCGCACCCGAGCGCCAACGGCGCGCTGCTGGTCGACGACGGCAAAACGCTTCTGATCAATGACGTGGTCGAGGCGACGACGACCGTCTACGACGTCGACCCGGACACCAAGGTGTTGAGTGTGCGCAAGAAAGTCGTACGTCTTTTTTGACCTGCTTATTTCCTTTTTTCCCGTCCGAGTATTTTTGAGAACGGGGACTGATGATGCGCGTGAATATAGCAACTCGGTGCGGGCGCGGATAACCTGTCGCTGATACCGGGGACGGAGGATATAGCAGTTTGCAGTACGTTCTCTTTCCCCCTCCCCCCCTCTTACCACAAATGCACACGATAGCCACCTCGCCTTATAAAAAAAAGAAAAAGGAAGCGATAACAAAACTAACGCTGATATTCATCGAAAAAAAAAAGTCTTCCCTGACGTCCCCTCCCTGATCCACCGCCTGAGCGGCGAACACCTCCTCGACACGAACCTCAAGGGCGAGGCCGCCATCCTCCGCCTCGTCAAGGCCCGCGACTACGAGCCCGAGCTGCTCTACTGGGACGACGGGTCGCTGATCACCGTGCTGACGGGCGCGGCCGTGGATCCCAAGCACGGCAAGATCATCGCGGGCGGCGTGGTCGAGCGGCATTTTATCGTGTGTGATGTCAATGTCTAAATACCCTGGGAGTCGAGAGGGGGGGAGGAAGGACAGGAGAGGAGAGGAGAGGTCAAATACGTTGAGGGGGGAAGGAACGCGGAGCGGGAAAAGAAGGGGGAGGGGTGGTGGGAGGAGAAAGGAAGGAGAAAAGAAAGAACGTGTGTGTGAGAGAGGGGGGGAATGGGGGGAGGAGATATATATAGTATCGTATACCTAGAGGACAGAGAGAGAAGGAAAGAAACCTGGATTGACAAAAGGTTCGATGACCTTGAATCTACCACACTGTCAGACCAGACTCTTTTCATATCATCTATACAAGACCAACGACTCAGATTCTAGTTTGTGGTAACCTCCGCAAATCTACCTAGATACAACATTTTATCTTAGCCCAATCCTTGCACACCAAACGTGGCAATGAGAAGGTCTAGCATGTCATGCCAATTCAATCGAACGCAGTCCCCTTAGACCTTCTCCCTCAAAACCTCCGGATCAACCCCCTTCAGGTGAGCAGGGACAGTCCCCGGCTGGTGTGGCCCTTGACCACCCTGACTCGCCCTACTCGCCCGTATCACCTCCAGACTCTCCCTGGCAGTCTCGTCAAGAGACCGTCGAAAGTGGAGGGCACTGCCCATGTCGTCGATCCCTCCTACATTGGCAAAGCTCTTTGGGTTGCCCACGAGACTGTCCTTCCGGAGAACCTTCTCGTCGTACGCCTCTTCGTACGCCTCTTCCTCGTCAGGGTCTTGAGGGATGCCGTAGACAGTATGTGCCACGATCTGCTCGGTCGGCTTCCAAAAGTGACTCGTCACCGAGTAGACAAAGATGCTGGTCACAAAGCCATAGAGCCAATCGAAAGAATACAGGTGTTGCGCACCCGCCGTGATTCTTGACTTGTTGTTGATACTCCACGCCAAGCCAGGCATGCAAGGCCCAATGGCGAGAAGAAAGGCCAGCATCGCTCGCCAATTGATGCCATATATGTTGTACCGGTACCGCCCGCGAGGATCATACAGAGCAGGCACATCAATGTGTTGTCGCTTGACAATCCAGTAGTCCGAGGCAATGATACCAGCCATGGGTGCAAGGAACACGGCATAGCCACCCATGAAAGCCAAAAAGGTCGTTGCAGAGCTGAGAATCTTCCACGGAACAATGACCCAGCCACCAACAAGAGCCGCGATGACACAACCACGCTTGATGTTGATGTATTTGGGACATAGGACCGTCAGATCATTCGCAGCCGAACTGTCACCAGTTAACTCATGAGTTCGAGGACAGGACACATTCAGACTTACATGCTATTCGCGGTGATGTTGGTGCCGACTTGGGCAATATACCAAGAGAGCGCGGCAAAAAAGGCAGCGGCACGGCCACCTGGATTATCCAGCCAATGGGCGATAATGTCCAACGGGTTCCACAAAAACTCCCCATAAAGGACCTTGGAGGCAGAGGTGGTAACAATGCCCATCACACCGCAAACTGTAAATATGGCTGGAAGGAAAGGCAGCTGAATGTACTGGCCACGGGAGCTCCTGGCATAGCGACTGAAGTCGGGGATGTTGCAGGCCAACGTGGCCCAAGAACCTGTTACTGACGACATGCACGACAACCAGAGCCAGGCGCGCTGACTGCCATGAACAGTCTCAGGGAGGGAGAAGATGGCACCACTACCTCCTGCTTTGTGCACAATCCAGCCGAGAGTGGCCAATGCAGTGATTGGCGCGGCGACGAGCTTGATGACGAAAAGCCAGCGCAGCTTCGTCGGAGGGATCAGCAATAGCGGGAGCTGGATTATCCAGAAGAGAAAATAGCTGATCATCCCCTGCGTTGTGATGCCGGCATCGCTAGGGAGATGGTTCTTAATGTGCCCGTACGACGGCCAGATGGCGGTCAACATGAGGGTAATGCACTGTGCACCGTTGGCGCCTTGGATCCCAAGCCAGAACATGGCCAAGATGGACCGAGAGACGATGCAGAAGTAGGCAAAGTAATATCCGAAGCTGGATCTGACAATGACCGAGAAGGGGATATGCAATTTGGCTCCGATAGCACCGTTGAGGACCATGGGGATAGCCACACAGCTGGTACCGACAACCATGATGGGGATTGCGTCGCGCCAATTCAGACCCACAGCGAGCACAGAAGAGGCCGTTTCCCAGGTACCCAGGTTGATCGTGTCGGTTGCCCAGTATGCCATCCACGTCCACAAAGTCCATGTCTGGTACCTTGGAGGGACTGGATCCATATCCGCATTGGTCCTTGGATAGTGGGTTAGCCTGATGTTGTCCACTCCTCTATACAACATCGACTTACCACACATCCTTGGGTGCAAGAGCGGATTCTGCGGGTTTGGGTCAGCAAATATCCGCGCCTTCGTTCCACTGGGGAGACTGAATTACCTTGCTTCGGGAGCTCCCAGGCACTGAGAGTAGTCGCCCTCGCCTTGACCGTCGCCCCAGAGGGGATGTACTTTTTCGCTTCTGTCACGTATTTCGACATGTTGCCGGTAACTTGGAAGCCGAGCACAAGGTGACTACATTCCAGAGAGCGGGCAGAAAGCAAGATATACGCGACCGGGGACGCGCAACGTGGCGATAGTCGTAGGCGATATCATGCACAGGACCTCGATGCGGGAGAGGGTGGTCGTTGCTCGTTGGGTGGAGGAGACCGAAGGCAGGATCCACACGGAGATCTTCCAGGTTCTTGATAAGACGCAAATCCCGTTTGCTTGGACAGGATGAACCGGCTTCGAGAAGCTTGACCAAACGGTAATCGGTACTGAACTAGGGCCTTTTGCGAAGCATGGACTGGGGGGAGCACGATAAGACACGGGCAAGCGACATGATAGCCCGTCTTCTGGAAAACGTCTTGCCAGGGGCCGTTTATGGGTTGTTTATTCCTCGTTTCTTCAAAGGACTGTCCAAAGCGATTGATGACAAGAATATTGTCTGTGATGTCACAGGCTCTCATGACCAGGTGGACAAAGCATGAACGGGGTATCGCTCGACAGGTAAAGAGCATTATCTAGCTGAGGCTTACCTGATGTTACCCCGTTTTGAACATCTCTTGACCCTTGCACGACCTTATCTCTGCACCCTAGCGAGGGTCGTACGCCTGACGAAGAACGAGTGGTTCGACGTCAATGGTTGGTGGCACAAAGCGAGGACAACTCCATTCATACTCGGACCAGGGTAGTGATCGCTTCTGCTGGTCTTGCAGCCATGTGGACAGCATCTTTGGCAGGCCTAGGCGTGTATCTGGTCGTGGTAGGAATTGTGGAAAAAGAGACTTGTACTCGGTAAGTGGAGCATTGAAGGAGATGGACATGGGGAAAAACTACTGAATCTGGCGGCTTGGAAAAATGATCTTCCGCACCACGACAAGTCGGGCTGGTGTACGAGTACGAGTACATCACCTTAACACGAGACTTCAAGAACGAACATGTCCGCGATGCACGCCCAGTAAGCTAACACATTCATAGTGCTCAACCACTCGATATATCAGGCCTGCGACTGCACTCCCTTGGGCTGGCGCTTTTCTCCGGACGGATTCGATCCCACGCTTCTCCACACTTGATCTCTCCGTCAGGTATTCCCGGCATTCCTGGGCAGCCACAGCTCCCCTAGGCAGCTTATCAGCAAGCACACAAGGGGGTTTCTGATTTTGACCAGACATTTACAGCTGAAAAATTTAGATGTCTCATACACCAAGAGGGAAAATTGGTCCATATCAAGATTCTGGTGTCTACATATTCTCGGTGGTCAAGTTGGCAGGCCACTGTCCGGGGTGGTGTGCTATTTCGATTGGCACCTTATCGGACTACCTTGTATCTGATGTGCAGTCGAGACCAGACCCTTCGGAACGATGTGTACGCTGCGCGAATATGCATTCCGATACGGCATCGAGTGTAGGTGCTGTGAGAGCGACATCGAAACTTGACGCCAGTACGGGAAACGGCAAGCATTTGGGGAACTTGGGCGCATGCTCCATCCGAGAATGCAGAGTCGTGGATGTAGAAATAGTAAGGATCAATATCGAACGACATGACTGCAAAATACTACAAGTCTACGAGCAGTGAGTCGAGCGACATTACTATCTCCAGCAGGCCCAACCGCCAGAATCCTAAGAAAAGTAGCTGCCAAAACACCCAGTAGGTGATGCATTACCTAGATAGGCAAGGAGACCCTCCCTGGTACTGTGCCATGAACATCAATTCACCGAGTCGTGTACCAAGACTCTTCTTTCTAATGCAAATAATTCATTCATCTACTGTAGTACAAGTAGATGTTACACATACATGTCTTGACTGCGACCCGGGGAACTCATCACCCTTGTACTTTTGCTGAAAAGCGGAAATAAGGTTCAATCCGGTGCGGCGGGATCAGACCAGACGAGAAGAGACGAGACGGAAATGCAAGGAGATGCAAGGCAAGGCAAAATGACCCGTGTGCCTGTCTTGTCTGGGGAGATCAACCCACAGTCTCTACACTACCTCGTACTTTGTGTATTCTATTGCACTTGCATGCCACCGCGCCGCACAGGAATATGTACAGGGACTTTGTAGTTATGTGTTATATGTTGATGTTGACCTGCTGGGCCGAAATGAGTCACACAAGTCTAGGCAGGTACATACATGTGGCCGTCCGGAATCTCTGGGGAACTTAACAGCACTGCAAGAGTTAGATTATCATGCGATGGAAGTCCGTCATTTCATCTATGGTGGGGACAGTTGAAGCTTCAAGTGAAGAGGGTCGAGGAGAATACCTAGAGGTGCGCGTGCCCCTGGACTGTGATAGGCAGGCAAGGAAGGTAAGCTCAAGGGATACTTTGGTCTAGGTATTAACAAGCTACTCGTAAGTGTGCCGGAAAGAGAGAGCTAGGCCCGAGCTAAGTACCGTAGGTACCTAATAATACTGAATACTGAATACCTAATAATACTGAATACTGAATACCTCTGTACAAGGCACATGCAGGCACGCAGGCTTCAATTCAAGCTCATCAGTCCCACGTACTCGCACTTGTAGCCACGGGCTCTAAACCCTATGTAAGCTGAGCCAGTCGCGGAGACTCCCGGAGACCATATCCGGGGGCGAGTCTCCTGTCTTTGTCCACGGGACCCGAGTACGATTGGGGGTGTCCCGTGGGAATCAGCAGGTACTTGCTGGCAGAGACCAGCCCGAGAGGTCCATGGATTTCGTTGGATATAATATGCCTCACTATTTGCATCGTCCGCGTTGCAAAACTGGCATCTTCCGTGTTGAATTGTTGAGTTGCCTCGGAGGGGCGCAGATGCGCAGTTAATAGCTCTGGTGGCTCCGTCTCCACCGACGACATCATCGCATGTGAAAATTTCTGATAACGATAAGGCCGAAACCCAGACATTTTCACATGCATTTTTGTCCAAAGACCAGATCTCACAACAGCCAACAGCCGCGCTCAACAAAACATTGCGCTGCCGATCGCCACCACAATGAGTGTAAAATTGAGGTAACCTGATCTCATTCAACGGAAACTACCAATTCTATGCATTTTCAGAAGCGCAGACAACAAAATTCTATCAAAGGTAAATTCAGACAGGAGCAAAGGAGATCCACCACGGCGGACGCTCGAGACATAGGAAACAGGGTCTGATTATCGCTTGCTCATATGAGTTTCATGCGGTTGCTGGATTGTCGTGGCGCTGCTGGCTAACATTCTCTGGGACTCGGATTCTGCCACAAGGGCGACCGGACCCCGGTCGGTGTACTCGTAGCTCTCAGGGTATCAAATGCTGGTGCGGTCGATTTGTACATGACTTTGTGAGCTTACTCTTCCCACAATCGAGGCGCTGTAAAAGGGAGAGGGGATGGCGTCGGCAGCGATACCCTCATTTGCTGGTTTTTTCATTGACGACTACCTTGGCCTGCTCCTTCTTGGCCTGGAGGAACGAGCTGATCCATTTGAGGACATCAGAGCTCAGAATGAGGGAGGTGGTGATGACCGCCTTGCCGCCTGCCACATAGCCTTCTCCTCCGCACTTTTTGTATTCATCTTTGTAGGTATCCAGAGCCCAATCCTTGGTGGTATTTGCCGTCTCGAGGGGCCAATGGATGTAGCTCAGAACTTTGTCTTGAATATCCTTGGTCTCGGCCTTGACAATAGGAACTTGCTCGTCAAATTTGGTGAGGAACTTGTCACCAAGTTCATCGGCCTTGGCGACATAGGGCTTTGCGTAGGACGCCGGTGTCTCGAAGTAGGGCAGCGTAGGCTTGACAAATTTCGTGTAGCCAGCACTAGTCAGTTCGATCGATTTGACACCGTAGGGGTTCTCTTGAATGGTCTTGATCGAGTCTGAGACAAGAGGGTATGATTGTATGTGCTGGATGGAAAACAAGAGTTAGCAATGTTCGTGCCAGTAAGCCAAAAGTCCATTGCGGTCACATACCGAGAGGAATGCCGAGTGCGGCACGTCGCCGTTGACGGTAGCTTCGCCCATGGTTGTTGGTTGAGAGTTTGGAGGGACTGTACTGTATTAGTTACGCCTGAAGAGATGCAGACGGCGACGACAGGTGTGCAGGTGAGCGCAGACCAGTAAGCAGTAGTAGGGAAGGAAAAAGGAAAGCAATCGGTTTACTTGGGGGTTTTGCTTTGGTTGAGGAAGGTGGGTGTAGACCTGCGGTGCGCGGGGAATTTGCTGCAGGAACGCAGGGTCAGTATACTTACAAGGTGATGTGAAGTGTGGAACCAAGTACAGCTCGGGGCAGATAGACACAGCACTGGCAAAACACTGAGAGTGTATTTTCTGTCGAGGTGAGAAACAAGGGAAGAAGGAAGTGAGTGAGAGTAATACAAGTACGGTGGTGCTCTTGACTTTGGGCTAAATAAGTGACTATGTGGTTAATGCTGTCCTTAGGGCTGGCAATCTTGTTGAGCTGCTGCGGAAGTCCATTAGACCGATGAAGAGCAACCCAATACAGAGGTGGCCAGGGACCATGATTTCATGCTCTACGCTTCCCTCCATTCAGGGCGGTGGGCGCATTGCTTCAGTGGCCCGACAAAGTGGACAGGAGCGCAAGCCTGGTGATGCTGGTTGCAACCCACGCAGCCGCCAAGAATTTGCATGTGAAAGTCGCAGAAAGTCACAGTCTCGGGCCGCGGAGTCTTTGGTTCCCTCCTTATTTCTCTGACTTCTCATCCCTCCCGTCATTGCAGCGTTTGGTGCTACTGCAACGCTGTATCCATTCACTGACTCCCCCCAAGACATGGTGCTTGGTACCTAGGTATGGGACGAATAGTACCTCCTAAGGGAATTGCATCTGCGTGGAATGACAATGACACACTGACCATGGGTATGCCCAAACCACCTTCGCTTCTCCCTCGCCTCCCCCTCGCTTCCGCCTCTTGTCCTCTTTGGTCTGTGCCAGGTTGCTAAACTCCCCTGCAGACTATTGCCCGCAGAAGTATTCCAGCCAATCGTGATATTAAACTCCCTACCACATCCATCTCCAAGTAGTCACTGTCTTCACACCACTTACAAAAATCCGATCCGAGTGCCTGGAACTTCCTCATCGTCTGTGGCAATGACATCTTTCTCCTGCGGCCCGAAACGCCCTACCCACTGGTCATGACTTGCGTTACACATGCGCGGGTGGCCGGGACGTCAATGCTTGTTTCATTATCAGACAATACAGAAGGAGGTGGGATGATATGTCTATCTTGGACGAGTAGTTTTCTGCAACATATACCCCTGTTGCCGCTGCTGCTACTGCAACAACGGGTAGCTTCCCTGTTGGTCCCCTCGCACAGTCATTGTCTGACCCATCACGCATGATGCAGTAACAATCCCGTTTCCTGGGGTAAGCACTGGAGTGAAGAGTACCTCGTAATCCATGGATGACGGGCATTCGACAAGATACAGGTCACTTGCCGTGCCCTCCACAATCAATTGCCACTGGAGAGACAACCCAAGAAAATAAGAGGACACTTCCCCTTCCCCGTCGTTCCATCGCTCACGGTCATGGAGATGTGCCAGAGATGCGACTTGCATGATGGATTTTATATCATTCACAGCCTTCTGGCATGTGAAAACGCATGGGCTGTGGATCCTGCGGCTTCTAAGACCAGCCCTGCATATAATATGTGCCTAAAAGTACCAAGCACCGTTCGGGCGCGTTCATTTGTGCCTATTTCCCTCTCAACCTTTCAGTTCTCGAGTTACCCTCTCTGTCAACCTCGTTCTAGATCGCTCTGCATGTCCAACACTTGGGAGATCAATAACGAATAGCACACAGGATGCCGTACTGAGGAAACAGTTTCCATTCCCGTGCCGCTCCCTGCCATGCCATGCTATCCCATCCCGTGCCACGCGGCCTGCTCATTCGTTTCACATGTCAAATCTGTGACGTGATCCTCCATCTCCACCTCCACAGTGACCGGTCCGTGCACTCCCACCGATTTTGGACACCGGACAGAGAGGTTGATTCCCACGGGGCCGGGGACGTGTTGACCAGGATGAGAGCGGGGAAGCTTCTAGGCATCCATCCTCATACAGCGAGCGCATTGCGAGCTCTCCTGGACAGGCAGACAAGTCAGCATGCATAGATACGCACAGATACGCACGGGAGATGTGCATGTGTTTGTCCATGTCTTGTGTTTGTTTGTTGCTAACCATCTAGTGAAAACCCAAAAGGATGGTCATGTATGTATTGGTTCTTTGCCAGCACAGCTACCGTTGGTTCTAAGTTGTACTTGTATACCAGCATTCTAGCGTCGGTTTACATGTAATATATAGGTGTCGACATCTGGATACCTGGATAAGAACGTAACGGGTCAAGGACATGATTCTGCGTGTACATACCTACCTACCTACATAGAATACATACCTTCTAGGATCCTGGATACCTACCACGGTGTTTACTGCGTACCAGGGATTCACGCGACTCCCTCCC